CTGCGACTCCGCAGGCCAGGGGTTGTACATCCCGCGCAGGGCTGTGAAGTGTAACCCTACTCGATAGGATATCGTGACTCTCAAACGAAGAAGAGCTCATTGCGCGCGCCTTCCGGAACACGGAGTTGAGCGTCCAAAATAGCATGCAGGACAAGTTCGAATGATCAGTGGACCGTCGAGGAATGGTTCTCTGTAATTTATCAATACCCGGAAGATTGTTCAGGTCGGGTTCTGTGGATGTGGTCGGACCCTCGCTGTCGGACTGTGGCTACGGCGCTTGACGAACAGGAGGGAAAGCCAGAAGAAGCAAGCATAGCCAGTCGTGTCTGTGGCTGAGGCTGAGTCGTGCTGGGAATTGCGCGAGAGGGGGATGAGGCTGAGACGGTTCGGCCCCTTAGGAGCTCACTAGGCCCCTATTATGATCATGGCATTGGCGATCTCAGTGGATCGCTCGTATCACAACTACCGGGGGTTCTTATTCTTAGAACAGAGAGGTGACATCACTAAAATAGAACACCGACCAGAGAATAGCCGAAGCCAGGTTACAGGATTCTTGTAGGTTACCAACAGAATGGAACCAAACGATCGAACGTCTCAGGATATATCGGGGATGAAGAACGGCGGCTGTAGAGCAAATGGGCGGTCTAGCAGAGGCGGGCGGGTGCTGAGGCTCATGCTGCAGGAAGTTGAGAGTTGAGATCACACCAGAGCCAACAGATTCCATGCAGGAGACATCGTCATGCATGACAGACATCAGGACCCGGAAATGCAGCGAGAAGGAAGAGAATTGGAGGAGAAAGCGTCAGACTGAGGGAAAGGAGGAGGCGGTGGTGGCAGTTGCACGGGGGGAGTCGTCATAGGAACTGCGGCGCAGTAAGTCCAGGGACACGATGGTCAAGCCACAGTGTGTTCTGAACAGCAATACGAGCGGACGAGTGACAGTAGTACTACTATGGAGTAGACACCTGAAAAGGGTAAGCACGATGGGGTGGGGGGGGGGGGGATGGGGGCGGCGCTAAACCGGAAGGAGGGTGGGGAACTGCACTGCCTGCAAGTGCAGGCATCAGCCACAAGGCCTCAAGGCCGGTCATCCGACTATACTGTTCCTTCCTTCTGTCCATCTGCCACACGCCCTTCTGATGACCCGCGAATAATGCCGTCACCGTATTTTGGAGCTGCTTGTATTTCCGCTAGTGGACGGCGCTAAATTTTAAACATGGGTGCCTTTCCCCCCAGGTGTTTACTCCTTCCTTCATGTACCTCCTAGCCTGCCTAGTATTTATACCTCCCTGGCCCCCCTCTGCATATCCTCATGATATCTTCATTCTCAACATTTTCACTCATTTACTGCTCCGATTTGATCTACATCGACAGCACATATCAAGAAGACTTCAGCTTCACCATCGATCTCTGAATTTGGTCTCCTCTGCTCTCAGATCCTAAATCTATCTCGCCGCCGTCCCCCCCCCCTACTTGCCTGTGATCCCCTTCCAATCCGTCACAGTGTCGCCCTTCGACGCATCTCGCCTGTTTCGCCAACACGAAAGATCGTCCATTCGGGATTCTATATTCCCTCGCATAGTTCCTCGCAGAAGATTATCGCTGCGTCGAACGCCCAACATGCCTGCCCCGATCATCCAGAATATTTCGGAGCCCGTCGTGCCCGTGCGCGAGCTTGAGGCCGACGAGGAATATGTTATGACCAACTTCGAGCGTCATGCCGGCCACTGCTACCAATGCGCGGACCCTCTGCAGGTCCATCGGGAGGACCGCTCGCTCTGTGACCGTGGACACCAGTACGCCCTGGACGTGGCCGACTACATCTACAGCAAGAATGGCAAGGCATTCTCCGTTGTGGGCCGTGAAACCAACCAGCCCATCATGGTCAGAATCCCTCGCAACTCTGTTGCCGTGCGCGGACTCCTGCTTGCTATTGAAGATGGACTGCGCCTGCACCGCAGGGAGCGACAACAGGTCCAGACCGCGGCCCCTGTCATCAGTTACGACCGGACCTACCTTATACCACCCCGTCGTCGGATTACCCAACCGGCACCCCCGCAACCGGCATACAATGAGATCATCGAGAGGGAGCCACGCACCCCCAAGCGTCGCCGGGTCATCGTCTATCCCTCTCCGCGCAGCTCGCCCAGCCGGGGCTCGTTGTACGAGGCCGATGCGGCTGATCGTGTTGAACGTTTCAAGGAATCTTCGCGCATCTACCGACCGGCTGAATACCACCGTTGAATCAGACCCGGGCCATGCTTTGTTTATCGGCCTTACGTTTCATATTCACTTTTACGGTTTCAACCCACCACCACCGGCCCCATTCCCTCCGCCGTTCTGCTGGCAGATGCGACTTTAGACCCCAACGTCTTACACCTTGTGAAACACAAGCAGCTTCGCAACACAGAACAGAGCCCAGCGGGCTCTGGCCATGCGCCGTTTCCCCTCCACTTCGGGAGTTGGGATACTTATTTTTTTCTGCTCATGCGCATTTGAATTTTGCCGTATTCATCTGCTATTGAGAACATTCAGATTGGAGAGATTAATTTCTCTGCTTTCTATCTCTGGCTATTTCCCATGTTTTGGATCTTGCCTGCTCTTGTTCCTTTTTTCTGAACCGCAGTCAACTGATGGCGAAACAAAACAAAACACCAAACAAAATCAAAAAGACAAAATGCGACTAAAAAAAGAAGAAGATTGTGCGTATGGCTTCGATTGGAGAATGCCAAAATGTCGTACATGATTTGCATCGAACCTGCAAGAAACGCAGTGACTCATTTAGTCCACTTTCTCCGCACCATTCAGCTGTCTAGGCCAACTTAGTCCCGACCATAATCATTGGAGGGTCGAGAAGGAGGCTGCAACGAAATTCCTTTCCTTTGTTTGACTAGTTAGTTAGTTACCGAGTTTTGTATTTACGCATGAATGATACGATGTCTCCACGAGTTGGCGCTTCCACGTAATCCGTAAGAACCGAACAAGTAGGTGCCTTAGCGATCTGGCAGGTAGCGGCAGTGGCAGCCAAGGAGATCCGCAAGAAGCCCCAGCGAATCCCCCGTTTCGAACATCCTCCCATTACTACAAGGAAAGAAAACGAAACCATGATACACACAGAGAGAGAAAGAATCAATGACGAGGACAGTGAGTAAACCCGTGAGTAAATCAGTGAGTCATGCCAGCCCAGGCCATCCTCATTGGCCCGACTAGTCATGCATGTTGGATGCCTGCAGCTGGACGTTGGATTCTGCATCCATGACTTACCTAGGAATCTAGGCATCTTACCCGTCTGCAGGTCGGTATTAATCCTGAGTTATGGCGGTGCAAGTCTTATTCATGCTTTTACAGAGGATCGGAGTAAATAAGTTCAAAAGTTGGTTGTGTGAGTGGATACGATACTCTGAACTATCCTACGGAGGTGTGTGTCCCGATGGGGAGGGTGATCTACGTATGGAGCATTGACGTTTCTTAGTCTCTTTTTTTTTTTTCTTGTTGTTTTCTTTCTTTTCTTGGGGAATGTTTTTCTTTAATACTTGCATTTATTTACTCAACAAATCTGAGAAGAGGGTGGAGTGGGAAAACCAGAACTTACTCAAAATGTGTACAGTACATATCTCCGGGAAGGCGTAAGTAGAGAGAAAAGTACTGTACAAACTGTAAGCAAATAACAAACTGCTTATGATATGGCAAAGCTTTCTAGACAGTCTTTCTCTAGGTATCTATATTTTCTTCTTCTTCTTCTTTTTTAATTCCCTCTTTTGCCCTCTCTCTTTGCTCTTATCTTTTCTTCCAATTTTTTTTACTAATAATATTGTTCTCCCCAATAATCCATTATTTACTTCCAACCCACCTACTTATTCACCTAATACATGAGCCACTTCATCTAGACAGTCAGCACAACGCTCGCAAATCCATAATTACCCCGTAGTATCAAATCTATGACCAAATGTCCTACAAAGTACAAACAACAATCAATAGTAGAAATATCTAGAGTAAAATATATACAGTATGTCTACAAAATTTCACAAGACAAAATAAAAGTACAGTACATTTTTTTCGATTCCCGAATCACCCAGATTTCGATTGTATAATGAGTATGCCGACTTTCAAGTCGCTGCATCTATGTATGTAGTTCTCTTGAGAATTGGATTGTTTACTCCGTAGTTGCGTGATAGGTAGGCCCCTGCATGCAGATCCACGAGCCGTCCACGGCGCCAAGCTTCGGTATACCTCATCCCGAGATTGTATACGAATGAGGTTCGGGCTCTGTTTCCCGGGGTATTATGGTTCAAATGTAGCTTTCGTCTCCATACTTCGAGGACTGACTATACAGACTGAAAAAGAGCTTCTGATCACCTTGTTTATTCCTCGATATGCTCTCTCATCAATGCTATCCCCTAGGTTTTCACACAGCATACAGAAACACTAAGCCCACGGGCGCAGTGAATAGATTCCTTCATTATCTGGAGAGTGCCTCACACAGCTTCAATTCTTGGATTCACCACCCCTGTGCCTTTGGGAAGAGTGATGTTATCCAAAAACGACTAGCGGGTTTGATATTGAGCAGGACTCACATTTAGAAGCCCCTCCCAAGCACCAACAAGCTAGAAGGGCGAGGGATTAGAGCACTAAATGTACCTTTGGTTGGTTTCACTCATCTACTCAGTGAAAATATGTGAGGAAAAGTTTTGAGGGAAGAGGGCGAGTTGGTTACGGGAGTGGGAAACTTGCTAAGGGTCGCTTGCACATCTTGTTGTTGTCGTACTGATTCTCGTGCTTTTCTCTCACTTGCTTCATACAAACCGTCTCGTAACTCTCACAATTTTCGTGTCTCATTTCCAAAAAGTGCTTTTAACATTAATTGAAGCGATATTATCAGGATTCTTGCGTTGATTTGGTGAAATTTACTCCCCCCGGATGATCCTCGCACTGAAACATTGAGAAGTTGTGACTGATCGCTAACGAGTGTTGATTCTTTAGCATTTGTCGAGAACTTCATGATGTCAGCCTACTTCGAGCCCGAGGAGCTCCGCTTTATCCTCGAACAGCTGGCCAGGGACCCGCATACGGAGGAATTCAGGAGTAAGAGATTCCGTGAGACTTATTCTCCATTCAACCCTGCCCACCATGACCACCGCGGCGGCGGCTACGACGACAAAGGCCGTGAAGTCAGGATGTCGGAGATTTCCGAGACTCCTCGGTCTGCAAGGAAGCCTACTCCCCTTCCAACTATGGCGTCTGGTCAGGAGCCGAGTACCCCGTATCCTGTGGGCGCGGGTGGCGCAGGGAAAAACCGAGCTCTGGCAACCTGCAACGTCGAGCAGATTGGACAGATCGGAATCTGTGAGCGTATAAAACACTGGCGTCGGTCGTCCTGCCACTGGCCTTTTCCCAATGCCCCCGTGGCAGAAGGCGTACGCTATGCGGCCAGCGTCGACCAGCTGGAATTCCTCACGGAGATTGCTACCTCTAACAGCGGCTCTATAAACGGAGATTGGTAAGTCAAATCCGAAGAAGTACCCGTGGGGAAATACTTAACAACGGATGAAAGCATTCATGTGAACGGTGATATCGAAATCCACGGCGCTCGCATTAGCCCCGGTTCTCAGCAGCCTATACTCCACCCTCCTGCAAAAAAGACCAGGGGCGGCAAGGCCCAGAAGCGCAAGAACAAAAACTTCACCTCTGGGCCTCCCCCAAAGAATGGAGAGGAAAAGTCTCTTCCCGGACAATCGGACGAAATCAATCAAGCGATAAATGCCAAGGACTTCTTTTTCAGCAAGAGACGTCGCAGCGCTCGCATCGCAGCTCTCACTAAAGCTAAAAAATGACTGGGCAATTGGCTAGTGAGTACTTTGACAGTCAATCTCAAAAGCTTCCTAGGTCTAATGATGCGGCTAACCTTGTGCAGACACACCGGTATTCACCGACATGACAACCGAGCCTGCGCTCTTCAAGAGGCCGCATATGTTCTTCTTGTGTCTGCTTGGTGTTCTGGTGCTCTGGATTGGTGGCATGGTGACTAATATCTGTTTTCGTTTCTATTTGCTTCTTTTTTTGCGCAGTATGGGCAATCGTTAAACCTTGGGATTGACGGTGTTGGGTGACATAATCAATGCATAGCGATGGTTGGAGTTTGGGATTTTTTCGTTTCTTTATCAAATGGTCGACATGATGCCTCTTTCCTTCTTTTGATTTGCTCATTTGTTTCACATGGGAAAATGGCCATAACAATGACTCGACTACAGCAGACATGTATCTATCTATTTGTTGGCTGGGTGCATCACTCCTATTAAACGAGAAAGGGCGTTCGTTGCTTATGGGTATACCTATTCGCATCATTCCCGGATCAGGACTGACAGCCATACAAACCATACTTACTGCTCTGCAATGAAAACCCTCTTGGCTTGCAGGTAAGACAGATGGGAGTGTGAGTCAGCCCGGGGAGCAGATCCTAGACAGTGCTGGTGGAAATAGGACAACCTGTCTGTGGAGGTTTCGTTCCTGTGGCTGGTGCCTGTGTCTTGTTTCTTTCTCTGTTTTCTATTTTTCTTTTATTTTTTTCTTTTATTTTTGGCCGCAGTAACAGTCACTTTTACCAGTCGGGGTCGTCTGATGATCGTGAAACTAAAACCTTACCCTACAATGAGAAAGACCTTTTCGCGACTCAGGCGACCCCGCACGATTGGTGTGGATGGCAGCGAAACTCGGAGGGAGGGAAGGTTTGTCAATTCGCGCGAGGGTGGACTGGACGGAATAGAATAGGATCGTATGCCGTGATGGAGACTGGAAACTGGGAAGTGGAAGGTAAGCGAGAGGAAGAGAAAGCGAAGCCAAGAGGGACAATCTAAGGGACGTTCCTTCTCCCGTTCAATCGGAGTCCGGCCATGTGACTTGGCGTTCACCCAACGGACCTTCTCCAGGAGGTCATGAGACGCTTTCAAGTTTCAACAGACTATTGATTATACCCCGGAATGCTACCTATCATCGGGATACATACTTTACCCAGACTGCCTAGACGAACGCCCATGAACCAGATTCCGTCTCAACTGAAGACGAAGCCTGATATACTCAGATATCAGCAGCCTAGATACCCTTCAACACCTCAGTGGAAGGACGAGGACTGCAGAAACAAAGATGAGATACCAAACCCCCAAAATAGTCCTTAGAGGACTATTGCTGAAGTCCTAACAAGATCTAGTTTGATAATGCACGACTGCCTTGATTAGGGCCCAACTCCCCACAGACCAAGAAACCACCATCCCCATGGTCCATGCATGCCTGCATGCATACCTGCATGGCACATCAAGATCTTTTCCCTTCATTTCATCCTCCCGTTAATTCAGTGGATCAAGCCATGCACGATGTGCGGCCGCTATCCAAGCTTTTTCAACCACCCACCAGGTCAGCTGGTTCACCGAGCATCCAGTGGATGTCACACCCTCTACCCACCATACGGCTGATCCGGCGAAAATAGCTGCGGCTAGGGAATTCCTGCGGCCGGAGTAAAGAATCGGAAATCATGGCGGGTGGTTGCGGTTCGACGGCATCTTCGGAGATTTTCGTCTTGCCGTGGTCGCACGGATATAGGCAGCCGGTAACCCCAACAGCTAACGGTAGGTACTTTGCAATCTCAGCTGAAGCCTATGCTATGCGGTGTTACTCTTGGGGGCCACGTTCGTCTGTCAGTCAACGACGGGTGTGTTACTGCGTCCCGGACAGCCGACGACATCACGAAGTCGGTGCTAGGCATCTCCATTCAGTGTACTCAACGAGTCGACGACGGATGCACTAGCGGGGTGGTTTGCGATAGGCAGTAGGTAGTTAGATCGACAAAGATATAGTCTCCGAAGAATGCGACGGTCGTGCTAGTAGTAGCCACAGGTATACCATGCTCTGACCCAACTGCCATTCATATGCAGAAACCGGAAACCATGCCCGCGTGTCAGCGCAGAGTATCGCAACTGGGTTCAATTTTAGTTCCCTTTGAAGCCACAAGCACGGACAGACGGGGGGGGGGGGGTGGGTGGACACTGAGACATGTAGATCTCCCATGGATAGACCACGAGACAAGCGAGAAGGACACCATCCAAGCCGCGTCGACGATCATCCATGACTAGCGGTAATTTACTGCCTGAGGTTCCTCTGGACGCCAAGCCCTCTCATGCGGGCCAGCCAAGTCACGTGCCGTCATGCCGGCCTCGCCCAAGTTTCTCCGCCGGAAGCGCCCGTCGTCAAAGATCGATTCTTGGATCGAACGACTTCCATCCCTCCACCCCTCCCTCTTCATCCCCGCGTCCTCTGGTCCAAGCCATCATCATGGCCAAGAAAGGTTTGTGATTTCGCAATTTCCCCCCCCTACCTTGCTCATACCCTGCCTCCGCGATCGATCGTCCACGCCGTGGTTGTGTGAATTGCGTTGCTCATGTAAAAAAGTGCGATTCAAGACTAACATGTCCGATTCTATCCTATAGGCAAATCGCGTACCCTCCCTGTTCGGCTCATCTCGATGGCCATGACGGGCTACTTCCGAACGATGATCAGGCCCCGTACCCACCGCCCCTTGAGCATGCTCAAGTACGACCCCGTCGTCAAGAAGAAGGTGCTGTTCCTGGAAGCCACCAAGGGCGGCCGTAACCGATGAATTACGATCTCTCGACCTTTTTTTCCCTTCCCTGTTTTTCGTTCGATCGGTCGACGATTTGGTGCCTTTGGGGATGCTTTCTTGAAGAATTGCCCTGGCCCGGCTGGTTAGCGGTGGTGCCGAACTGGAATGCAATGGAGAATTGTCAGGTTGGCGGTTTGGTTCCCGAGGGCCCCGGAGTCGATGCTTTCGAATGTTGTTACTCCTGTATATTAGGCGGATCATCGGTATCGGCAGTATCGAGAATGGTGTAAACCTTTCTACGGTTCTTGCAAGCAGATGTATCTATATCGGTTTTGCATTCTGGCGTTTTAAAGCAGTACAATCTGGGTCAATCAACATGTTCGACATATTCTATAATCATAACACCGCTCGTGCGTTAAATCTCAATCTGGAACCGTGGTACACGCCTTCAATGTCAATCAGATTTCGCGGATATTCGGAATACAGGTGGGAAAAATATTGCAGAACTTGGATTCAAGACTCAAGATGATCCGGTCATGTCTCGTGTCGTGGGCTACTTTAGGTTTCTTTGTTAAACCGGGCATTATACCGTTCCCCTATGCGATTTAGCATCGTTCAAGCCACCAACATGGTTACATACCTCGTGCCTTGCGCCCCCGAGAGCCCCGTGTCCATCTACCATTATTCGGGTGAGTACCCTGCGCGGATGGGTATTTGCTGCTGCCCGAGGCCAAGCTCGCAGGGCTCGCTTTGCGCTCCGGATATTCGGAGGAGCCTTTTCTCTGTGTCCGGGTCGCAGATGAAGCCGCGGAAGCAGTTGTCTTTCGAATGTTACTCCGGGAGGGACCCGGGCCATCAAGGTCGCTGGTTTCCTCGATGCGGGAAGATTGCTGGCGAACCGTCTTTTCTTCCTTGCTTGTATAAGAAAGCTGTCGAGTGCGACTGTAGGTTCGTTGATTTGTTCGAATCATCTTTTTCTCGCGTGGCTTCGTTCTTTCAAGGACCCAGTTTTCATCGAATGCCGGATGTTGGCGCTTTTCCTCATCTGCACCTGAATCTTGTGATTGGAACTTAACTGTCTTTTGCTTCGCTGGTAGATTTTCTATAGGAATCTCCTCTCCTATCGGCTCTGTCTGGACCACAGATGGCGCATCTCTGCTTGTCTGAGGTGGTGTTTCCGTCGTTTGCTCAACCAGTTGGGAATCGACAACTTGCGAAGCTATCACTCGGGTTTCACCAGCTTTATCTGCCGTTTCCGGAGCTGCTAAAGTTTTGGATTCGGTGGGCATCATACCGGACATGATAGCAAAATCGACAAAGCTTTCTGCAGAGCCTGAGCAAGGAGTTGGAGAAATCTCTTGCCGGAAGTTCGAAAATGGGATAATACCAGCGGATGACTGCGAACCAGGGATTCCTATGTTTCGACTCAATGCGGGTTGGGAGCTTCCAACAGCCAAGCCTTCTTCATTTGAAGAAGGGAACAACCTCCGCTGGATGCTTTCGGTCCGATAAATGAATTCTGTTGTCTGAAGAGCCCCTTGGCCTGGAGTTTGGCAGTCTCCTTGGGACACTTGAGCCAAAGGAGTTCCAACAGGAGCATCGGAGGTGGGTTTGACCTGAGAGCCTGAATCCATAGGTTGACAATCAGTGGACTTCTTCAGGGTTCCGAGTTGCAATAAATCTTCCAATCGGGACCAGGCATTCGAAATTGACTCCTGTGATGAGGTTGAACGCATCTGGTCCAGTGCTTCCTTGACATTCTTCATCCGGCTTTCTGCACCCTGGACCCTCCAAAGCAAGGCATGTATCTCGGATTTGGCCTTAGATTTTCCAGATTCTAGTCGCTTTTTGGCGGAATTTGCTGCTGATAGCTCACTTGCCAATGACTTACAATATTCATCTTTTCTCAAAATTTCGGTTCGGAGTGATTCAAGCTTTGCCTCGAGTTCGAGTGTCGCTTTTTGAGACTCGTTAGTCAATGTATAGAGCTCGGCATCGGAAATGACGAGCTTTTCTTTCTCTCTGTTTAGTTCTTGCTGCAATATTCCCACTTGTTCTCCATTGGCAACTTCTATCTCATGGAGTCTCCTGATCTCTTCCTCTTTCTCTGCCAACTTCACTTGAGAGTCGTTCCTCGCTGTAAAGAGCTCGGCATCAGAACTGGCGAGCTTCTCTTTCTCTCTGATCAGTTCTTGCTGCAGACTTTCCAATTGCTCTCCATTAGCAACTTCTACCTCGTGGAGTTTCCTGATTTCCTCCTCTTTCTCTGCCAACTTCGCAGTATTCTCAGCATGTAAGCTCTCAAGGGTTTGTATTTTGCCTTCTTTATCCGAAAGCTACTAAATTCAGCATGATTCGTTACAACAAATCAGGTACCCTACCGCAATCTCAATTTCCGCCTGTTTCTGTTGGAACAAATTTTCTTTTTCAGCCTATACATCGTTAGCTTATGCTTTGGAAATCAAATATGCCTTCATACAATCTCTTGATGGGAGTTGACCAGCTGTTCCTGCAGCTTATTGATTTCTTTTTCAATCTCAGTCTTCTCTCGCAAGACCCCGTGAAGCTGCTGCTCGAATCTCTTTCTGTGTTCATCTCGAGCAACAATGCTCGCCCTATTCAGCTCCTCGCGGACATTGACCTCAGTAGTCTTCACATTATCTTCGAGCTTGATAATTTGAGTCTTTAATTGCTTTACGCGGGCTTCAGTCTCCTGAATCTTGCTCGTTGCTTCAAGTAGGGCATTGTTTGTCTCCTCATTGTGACATTCTTTATCCTTGAGAGCTTCTCCTGCGATCTTGAGTTCTGCGACTAGTTTCTGCACTTGGAGCTCCAATTCAATCTTTTCTTTTGCATGCATGCAGGGCTCCACTGGAACGAGCTCAACCTTGTCTGGTATCTTGATTTCTGAAATGCTCTTGCCAAGATGCTCTATTTGACGTGTGATATCATGCCCTTTACCATCCATTATTTTCATAGACGAATTTAGGTTGTCAATGGTCGGGATGATAACCCCAAGGCTTTTCTGCAAGACACCACAGCACTTCTCGTTCTCAGAAAGCTTTTGAAGTATACTCGAGCCAGTGTTCATACTATCTGCCAAATATCGAAGCTGCTCTTTCAGCTGTACCGCTAGGTTGTTATTAGCTTCAGAACCCCCGTGCAATTCGCTGGCGATATTAATTCCGACTGCATCAATTCTGCTAGAGTGGTAAGTAAATGATATTAGATGAGTAGCTCGCAACTCACCTCACTGTGAATTCTTTGATAACTTCTTCTACTCGCCGTACATCAATAATCCCGGCGGAATGACTCTCATTAAGCTGCTTGAGAGAGACTAGACACTCGTCGAGAGCATTACCAAAAATTGGAAATTTAATGGACTCCAGCTGCGAGCCAATAATCTGGAACTTTGAAACCAGAGTCGTCATAATCGCAACCTGGTTGGACACCACCAAACCAAGCTTTTTGCTCTGAACGGATGTTTGCTGTCGAATGTATGACTCCAAAGCAGATGATCGCTTTCTCTCATGGGTCAGTTGATCTTGGAAGAGCTTCACTCTGACCTCAGTATCTGTCAAGCTTTGTTTGAGCAGTTCTGTAGTGTGCACCGTTTCCGAGAGACGGCTGCGCCTCTCGTCAAGAAGGTTGGATACTTGTGAGATATGTTCTTTAGCACCGACAAGGCTGGCTTCTATCTCTTTTTTCTCCTTGTCAAGATGTGTTCTTGACACCTTGAGTTGGATTGCTTCTCCACGAAGAACTTTGTAATCGGCTCCGAACTCATTGAGAAAGCCTCGGAAGTTGGTAAGCTTCGTTTTCCAGGTTTCCATCCGTAGCATATGGGACTTCAAATCGGCTTCTCGCCTTTGCAGATGGGTCTGGCAAGCCCCCAAATCTTCCCTCAGGCATTTGTTCTCCTCTGTCAATTCCATGACGTGGATCTGCATCTGCTCTTTGACTTTGGACGCGGCTATATCACCTTCCTCGCGCATCTTAACCTTGTTGATGAGGAGTTGAAACAGATGCTCTTCTGAAAGTTGAGAATGTCCTTTCAATGCATTGTCTTTTAAGGAGACTTTTTTTCCATTGGACCGTCGGCGCTTGGCCATCCGACCCTCGTTTATCAAGGACGCTGGAGGATGCTGGGCAGAGGAGTCGTCTTCCATGGCTGGTTCATCGTAGTCGACAGCCACAACAGAGCGTGATCTCTTTGAACCTCTACCTGAAGATCTCGGAGGATTTGTACTTCTGTCACGGACTTGGTCTGGTCAGTCTTGTTCTTTGAGTGAAGAGCCTGCCGGCCTGCTGTAGCGAAAGCAGACCAAAGCACATTGTATCTGAAACCGAAAGAAACGTGAGCAAGCATACCTTGCTCTCTATCCTCAATCTCCGTGATCTGCGAGGTAGCTAAAGATCGCGAGCGATTACGTCCCGCACTTTGAGCACGGGCTGATGGGGTTTGACGAGTATCAACACCATGCGTGACAGAGCGGCTCTCGTCATCATCTAGTGGCACCTGCACATTTCGTAGTTGTTCTTCTGGCGGCTCTATAACACTTTGCTGGCTCACGCCGTGCTGGAGGTCACTTGCTTGAGGGACGCGTTGCCTGGGACAATCAGCACCATCTCCCAAACATCAACCATGCAGTAATACCTCGATCTCCCCTTCCATTCATGGCCACCCTCAACGCCTATAGGCTGCCGTGTCTCGTTACCGTTACCGTTAACGGGGGGCCCAGACGAGTGCGTTCTGGAGTCTTTCGATACTCGTCTAGCGGATGACTGAATGGAAAACTGTTTCCCCTGCCGCAAAGGCCTCGCAAACGAGAAAGCAGAGACATCCACTCCAGAGCTCTGGGGACGTTCCACAAGAAGAGGAGATGCGGCCTTTGGTCGGCTTTCCCAGTTGGTGTCAGTAGGCCTGTAAGTGACTGCGTCTAGGTTGGGAGAGGTAGGAGTGTTGGTGTTCGCCATCTGCACGAGTAAGAGCTCGTCTTCCTCGTCTATGTTTGAATCACTGCGGATGTCGTGCTCTGAGAGTGCGTCACTTGGTATCTGAGAAGCTATCTGGGCCTCTGGGTCTTCCATAATGGAGACGGTGCTGAGATCTAAATGATATCTTGACACCAGAGAGAGGTCTCGTCCTTCCACTCAAGTTGACAGTCGGACGACAGAAAGTGACGAATGGGTGCAACCGGAGATAAATAGGTTGATAGAAGAAGGTAAAAACAATGAAATAGCGGAGCGCAACAGAGAAAGCAATCAAGGAAGTGAGTCCCGTGATAGTCCCGACCATCAAAAGGGAAGGAGCACCTTAAGGCCTGGGATTGAAGGCAGCCGCAACTCCTACTGAATACTTATCACAACAAGAACGCTTCACTAGTGATGATCTGTTTATCACTATTTGATCACAAGCAAATTATTGAATTACCAAAGAGACCCAACAACCCAAAAAATCCCATATCTTCATAAAGCAGACGATCTTCTCATCCCACACCAACCTACCATCACTCTCAAGCCTCCCTGCCCTCAGCAGTACCATCCGGGATACCGCCAGCAACATCATCAGCCGCCTTGTGATGGCCAGAGCTTTCTTCACCCTCATCTGCAGTTGCAGCAGCACGGCTATCGTCACCCGTCAGTCTCATATACCATTCACAGCCCCTCGCCTCCAACTTTTCACTTCCATATCACTATGAACGCCCTCCAACTCTCGCCGCTCACAAAACCTCATCAGCCCTCAATCCACAGATCAATACATTCTCACTTCCGACCAAACGCAAACATAGACCCCCAAGTCCTCGGCTTCCCGCCCGCAGAAGCCTCAATCTCCGTCACCACTGCATTCTTCTCCAAATCATTGTCTTCGGTATTGTTCTTGATCCTTTCATTCGTGGCCGTCCTCTTCAGAATCGGATTCAGACTCGACTGCGACGGCGGCAGTCGTAGCTGCGACCTCGAGAATTTCGGCGTCAGGGGCGTCTTAACGGCGTCAACGACGTGTCGCGCAGATCGACGCAGGGTTTCTCGCATAGCCCATTGGCGGCGCTTAGCGATGAAGAAGAGGGCTGCGGAGGAAACTGCGCGGAATGGTCAGTTGTTTTAATTCTTATTCTTGGCATGGTAACTAATGATATTGAAAGGACAAGGGTCGGCGGGACATACTTCCAATGACGACAACAACGCCTACTATCGTGCAGAGGATAATCATTCCTGTTGACGTTACTCCCACGCCGTCGTCAGAGGGTCCTTCTGCTCCGGCTCGGTTCTGGCTCTCGACATCATTGCCAATATCGTGGGCCGTGGAGTATGCGACAAGGAAACTCATTGCAAGGCAACAATGGAAGAATGCAGATGCTAGTGACGGCATTGCGTATTTTCGTCGGTATTGTAGGACAGGAAAATAGGTAATATATTGAGTCAAAATAACGTGCGCAAAGGTAAGTGCTCACTCAACACGATGAGGCCAGTGCGACAATGCCAACGATATTCGGCCGAGCAACTGATATATATCGTATCCCGACCAGCGAGGAAAATGTGAACAAGATCAGACAACGAACAAGGGCCTAAAGCAACAAAACACAGACAGCAGTTCAGCTTTAACCACCCCTCGTTACTCCCAGAAAAGACCGCACAACCGCTATATAACCTCCTCACCAACACACCACCAGGAAACACAAGGCATCAATTGGGAAACCGAACTGCAAGCCAACCGCCGTAACAGGTCCAAGCACACCAATCCTCAACTCCCAACGTACAGTCCGTACCATCCTGCATCACGAACTGGGCGGAGCGGGCATGGTGACAGGATTCGAAGATGCCTGCAGAGCAGCGAATCATCCCTACTAGATCGCGGTGACGGTGTGATGTAGGCGCCGGTGCCTGTGATTCCCGCCTTGGCTGGTGAACGGCAAATGGCGTCTCAACCAATGATAGTCCGCAATGGACCGCCGACGGTATTGAGTCTCTCGGGGGTTTCTTCTGTGTTTCAGGTTGAGTGACAGGCGGGTGCAGAACTTGGCTGCAAGGCTGAGTCGTGGGTGCTGGCGAATCATGGGTGCAGTCCTTTTCGTCTGCGTTTCTTCACGATCAAATTGGGCCTGGGGAAAGAGCACAGCCTAGTCTTGGCATCAACCAGGGCATGTTTATCTCAACTCAAACACTAGATACACCAGGGGGTGAACTCTAAAGTCAAGGATTGCATGCACTGCGTGAAGCTCCCTGAATAAGTTGCTCATGAAACCATGATTGATCATTTAATTCTAGACACTTATACATGACCAAAAACTATACAGAGAAGCGCCATGCACACGGCTATGTACAGGAAGAAGAACTAATAATTCTCTGGCAAGTCACCAAAACTAGGGACATCATCCCCACACTTAAAATCGGGCGCGTATGCCTTCTTAGGCATAAACCCGTTCTTCCAAGCGGTTTTATAACTCCACTGCGCGGCCGTCTCTGTATGCCACGTCCAGTAGAACCAGCCCTGCGCTGTTCCGAAGGCGGACATTTGGGCTTCGGCATACGTCTGCAGCCATTTCTTGTAGTCATCCGAATAGTCGGCGATGTCGGCATTGGCGTTGGTGCAATCGCACGAAGGGCCGTCGTCGGCCGTGGGACAATAGGCGGTCGAGTCTGTGGTGGAGAAGGTGCCTTCCCAGCGAGTACCGCGGCCGACATTGTTGAGATACTTCGTGCAGTCGGTGTCGGCTTGAGACCACTCACCACAGATGGTCGGTCCCCAGCTGTTCAGACGTTAGTTGCTGTGCGTTGGTTGGTTTAGGTTGGGGTGATCGAACACTTACCCTGCGTCTGTGGTGTTGATCTCCTGGATCATGTGGTACCAATCGTTGCAAATGAGGTTGATTCTGTCTGTATGTTTCAAGACGGTCTGGCCGGTGTTAAAGATCGTGTATTGATGGGTGTCCAGGAACATGTTATCGGGACGCGTTTTCAGCATCTTCTTCCATTTACTCAGATTCAGGAAACCATCGTGGACAACAACAAAGGCATCGATGCCATTGTTTTGCACCAATTTGGTGGCGTCGGTCGTCCAGTTAAGCACGTCTTCCACCGGCAGTGAGAGCATGAGGGGCTCATTCACCAGGCCATAGATGGTGACGATGTTTTTGTATCGATCCTGGGCAAAGAATTGAGAGATCTTGTCGTGAAACTCAAGAGACCGTTTCCGATTGACATCGCCGTCAGTTCCGTTTAACCAATTGATCGTCCCCTCACGGCCACTATGATTCCATCCGTTCTGACTCCCAGGGATCCCGTGTGGATCGAGATTAACCCGTAGTCCATACTTTCGACAGTATTCGATAGCCCGCAGTAAATATCTCCACGAAATCTTCGCCACGTAGGGGTCGCCGTCGTAGGTTTCAACCGCCCAGTAGGAGAACTGAATTCGAACGTGGTCCAGTCCCGCATCTTTGATGTCCGCAAAATCCTGTTCCGTGATGAATTTGGCATAATGTCGCTCGATCTTCTTGGGCGCTGAGTCTCCGAGTCGTTTAGTAAGAGTGTATTCGTCGATGATACCGTCTCTCGATGAATATTTGTCGAAAAATGACGGAACGATGAACGGTTCGATCGACAGCCAGCCACCGACGTTTACGCCACGGATCGGCTGCGAGCCATAAGGGAATCGTTTATTCAGAGGAGGAACGTGCTCGTTTGCCCTTGCCGAGTCGTCCCAGGAAGAATTTAGTCCCATGATAGGAAGGCCGCCCACGGTTTCATTTGTGAATGTCACGTTGAAGTCAGTCGTGTCGTACCAAGTCCAGGGATCGAGCACTGTGTCCCGGGCATATTCCTAAGTCACACGGTTAGCTCTAGTAGAATGGTCCACTAAAGACAAGGTTCAGACACACAGGAATACTGTCATGGCTCTTGCCATTTAGTTCGGTATTAGCAGGCTTATCATCATCGTCGTCTTCGTTGTCGCCCCCATCAGCCGAGTCGGACGAATCTTTGTTCTTTTTCGACATTACCACCGCAACGGGAATGACAATCGCACATATGATGATTAGCAGAGCAATGGCAATCCATATCCATTTCTTCCGTTTCTTCGAGGTCTGGCCATCACCGGAGCCACCCATACTATCACCCCAATCTCCCTCCTTCTGCCATGTACTTTCCGTTGGGGGGCCGCCGCCGCCGCCGCCACGATGTCGAACGTTCATGTCGGGATTTCGACCCTCTTCCAAGTATGCGCCGGACACGATTCGACCTTTCGACTGCCCTCTGGGCGTATCGTCCGGGAACGGTTCCAGCATCTGGGATTCCCCTTCCACCACGGGGCGCTTGCGTGGCCGTTTCCTCTCCGCTCGAGAGTCGCCCGTCGTGCGAGATCGATCCTCTCGTTCTTCGTCATCGTACTGTGAGCTTAGCTTGGCCAGTGCATCAGCACTCAACAGATGAGACGCACTACTAGTCGACTCAGTACTCTCGTGCTTCGATGCCGCGGCACGCCTCCTTTCCCTGCGACGCCTCCGCTCTGCATCGCTCTCTCCAGCGCGGTCCCGGTCTCCCCTACCCCTGTCTCGGTCGCGAGTCCTCCGCGGCGACGCAAGTGGCGATGCGTTCGATTGGGACCTCTCCCTGCGCCTGCTCTCTCCACGCGATCGTCTCAGAGGCACCCCAGGGTCCTCCGGGGCCATGTCATATTCGTTTACGTCGTCGGCATCTTGATCGTAATAGCTGCGGGGTTCGTAATCTCGTGAGTCGCCTCGTCTTGGGCGATATCCGTCCCGTCGGTACCGGCGCTCGCGAGGGTCGTAATCAAAGTCGTCGTCATAATCGTCTTCCCGATATCGTCGGCGCGTGTGGTCGGAGCCCGGCTCGCGGCCGCGAATGCGGTCTCGACTGCGGGAGTGGCTCGGCATACACTCTTATTTCGATCGGAATGTGTCAGGGATATGGTGCTTTATTGGGGGGTTGCGATGAGTGGAATGTTGGCCCCGCGTGTTTGGTTAGAAGCAAGTTTCGGGAAATTGGTCGCGTTCCAAGATGCCGTAAATCGGAAAGAACCAGGTTAATTTTCCTAGTGGCGCTCACGGCGTGAAAATCACATAGAAGAAGCGCATTGGAAGGAATTGCTGAAGAGACATATGGCGCGAAAAGAGTTGCAGGCTCCAGCTTTAAATGTTCCCCCGCTAGGGAGCAGTCCGGCCTGTTATACTCAAAACAGTAAACAAACCAATACCTAACTAATCCGAGCTTCCAAGGAACTCGCGTCGGTAGGCTAGGAATTCACCTGCAGGTGGACCACAACTCTGCAACACCGGTCGCTCTTGAATCAACCGTTTAATTAAAAGCCTGCTGTGAATCATGCACAATGGCTGCTAATCCCATTTCTTGTTCATTGCAGTTGGTTGGGTTCTATTTCGATCGCGAGGGATTCTGGATCCGACGATCCCCAAGCCAGTCCCTAGCGGTCGGTGGAGCAGGAGAAGGGAAGATGGGGACAGTTGCGCCGCAACAAAGGCGGTGAATGGAGGAAGTCTAAAGTCTGAGACAAGACAGACTGGTCGATGCCAACATCTTGGCCTCTCCTCTCTCCTTTCAGCTGCCAATGTCGTACTTCTGTTGCCTGTATATCTGGGCGAGAGGGAAGTTGTTACGAGATGAAAAAAGAAATCACTAAGAAGCGAGTGGTGACTTCCCGCACCCAACCCAAGTCATGTGTCATGGATAACCCTGCAGCTTCATTCCAAAGTCTGTCTATCTTTTCACACTAAGTATGTATGCTCGGGGGGAGTATGGACAGAATATTCGTTAGATACAGATAACAACATGGAATAGTTGAGTAGATGAAAAAGGAAAATAACAGGTGATAAGGAGAAAATGAAAAAAAGTCTATCCAGCCCTTCACGTATATCTTCATCCATGAAGTTTTGCATAAACCACTTCCAGGCAATGACTATCAAGAGGGTATGTAAACGCCACAGAACAGACGGAAGAAAAGCTAGGAAAAGGAGATAAGAAAAAGAAGTAAGTAAAATACATAACCATAATGAGCAATGAGATGCATGTAGAAGGGAGGGTTGCTGAATGGATAAATGATGATTATGAAAACATGTCATGTATGTCACTGCCGTCTGTACAACTCCGCAATCAACCTATCCCCAAACCCATAAGATGTAAAGGAGAGAAGGGGAGGGGAGGGGGGGGGGGGGGGGGAGAAAGAGAAGAAAGCGTGTGGAATGGTAATCTTTTCTTGGCCAAATTTCATGAAGACAGCCGATATTAGAAATTTCTTTTGTCGCAGGCTGTGACTGCTTAGGTAGAATAACGGAGAACGACACATCAAGAAGTGTCAAGGCTCTGCATTTTCGTTCTTATGGCGAAGAAAGGAACCCCGTGGTGTCGCAGAAGGCCATATTAGCCGCAAGCAAACTCGAAACGACCACGTAATATCATTGCTGGTTATTTCTTTCGAGTGTGTCGCGAATTTCGTCTGAACAATGCCACGGGGAAAGCATGATATCATCTATGAATCGTTCGTTTGCCTTGACCGGAAACTGCGACCTTTATAAGATACTCGGCGCTCTCAGGTGGTATAGGCCATGCAAAACGGACCAGCCGATAAGCCCCAACATAGGTATCAATAAATGCTCAACGAGCAAACAAGAAACTTTCGATGCGCCAGCCACTGCTCGGGTACGCCTCAGATAGTCCGTAATGGAGAAAGGCGCCGCAGTGCTGCTTTCCGACGACTCGGCTGCGCGGTGTCATTATGAGCCGATGATTTGTCGGGCACCTTCTTTGCCCAGAACACCCGGCTCTTGTGGTTTGGGACTCCTGTCTCGACCCTTTTTCCGACTCAAGAAGGCAAGCATGCCACTGTTGGAGGACTTTCCTTTCGGATTGTTCGTATCGTAGCCTTCCGCCGGAAGCGTGGTACTATGATCCGCCAGCTCGGTCCAGCTACCAGCTTCCTCTAGGACCATCTGCACTCCGCCACCTTTGCTGGTCTTGCGCGTTGCTCCACGAGGGCGGTTGGATTGCGGTAGGGGACGGTGGAAAGAAGGAGCAGGAGGTGGTGGGGGTTGCGCTGGCTGTAGAGACAGAGGAATATTGCTATTGGGCGCTGAGCTAGGTGCTGAAGTAGGCGCCGAAGTAGGCGCCGACGTTGGGTCTTGAGGTTCTGGGGTCCCTCCGTGGGGAGAGGGCGTATCTGGCTGGGTCAGGCGGCCTACCGAGCCCTCGCTGCGTTGAGGGGGAGGCGAGTTCCTCGAATCATGTTGAGAATATTGTCGTGAATGAGTAGAGCCAGCAGGGAGAACGTCTTCCGGGTTCCTTGAACAGATGTCAGTGAATGATAGGTAAAAGGTCACGGGTCTATCCTTACGTTGTAGATGCGATCGCATCGGCGGCATTTCTACGGTCGGGTCAGTAAGCTCGACTCTAATATTTGCCACACAAAAATAGCCAACGTACCCTTTAAAAGTCACTACTGTATAATCGAACGGCTCAAACATCGTCTCGATGAGACGATGAAGTTCATCCTCCCGAATCTCCTTGGCCGTCGCATCGTCTCGCAACTCAGCTCTCGGTTTCTGTCGGCGAGCTCTAGCTTCAAGCGGCGCCTCTTCCAACAGCAGCTCCTCCAGATCATATGTAGCGTCGAAATTGGTCTTGTCGCTAGAGGGTGTGAATACGGGAGGGATTTCTTTCCGCTCAAGAGCGACGAAATCAAGCTCGGCAAAGAAGGGATGCGAGGTAAACGATTCGAAACTGATTGCGCCGATGCGCTTACTCCGGTCCTTCTCCATAAAGGCAGCCATTGCACGCAGACATGGAACCGAGACGGCAGGGTTAGTGACGTAGTATTTTGGTGACGCTTTCTTGATGTTTTCGCTCAGCGTGTCCTGGCTGCGACCTTCAAACGGCCGCTATACATTGTGTTAGCTTCTGTTCCATCGAGGACCATGCTGCTGTCAGTTACAAACCTTGTTGTAGATGCACTCGTAGAAAGTAACACCGAGCGACCACCAATCGACTTCGCAATAGTATCCTCCTCCTTCGTAGACTTCGGGGGCGAGGTACGCCAACGTTCCCGATTTACTCGTGAGAGGCTTGCCGGGTCGGAAGTCCGAGGCAACGTTCTGCACACAATCAGCGGTCGGTCGATTCGAAGAAAAGGTAGGTGTCAGGGCGTACAAAATCGGCCAAATGGACATGTCCCTCCGAATCCAACAAGACGTTATCCGGCTTTACATCCCGATGAATGATACCTTGGGAGTGGATATATCGCAGAGCACAACCCAGCTCCGCCACCCAAAATCGCACGGCTTCCTCCGTGAAGCATTTTCTAGAGATGTGAAATCGCAAATCACCACCGTTCATTAAATCCACCACAATGTAACTTTTCAAAGGATCAGCATCGGGCGCTAGAGGGGGTAGGATGGAGATATGTGGAGAATTGCTGCAGGACGCACATATACTCTATATCTTGAAAACTGTATCTTAAGTTGCAAAGAAAGGCATGATTGAGGTGTTCGAGCATTCGTCGTTCACGAATTATATTTCGCACGCTTTCCGATCGAACCACTAAAGAAAAGAGAAAAAAGAACTTGTTAGTTTCACCCGCCTGGACCAGGCTCGAAAGAATCTTATGGGACGAAAGTCGAACCTTCTTCTTTCCGGATATATTTGAGGGCAAATGTTAGCCCGGTATCCTTCTTCTCGACGATGCGAACTTTGCCAAACGCTCCTTTTCCTACTACTCGTAGCAATCGGAACTGGTTCAGGTTCACTACACACTCAATTGTCAGCGCAATCCATTTTGGCGACCGAGCTGCCAACGCTTCTGGATTCCATCGCCGGCACCCGGTCGCAGTCCAACCGTCATTGCGGTACGTACCCTCATCGGAGGAGCACACCGGTTTCCCCTGCGTATTCCCCATTGAGAAGGATGTGCGACAGCGAAGAAATTAGAAACACGTTTCAAAACGTCACTTCCGACCACATGCCAGTGAAACTAGCACAAGAATCCCCCGAGACAAAAGCGACCAGGCCTGGTGTATTCGGGTATCTGCGCAGAACGGAGAATAGGAGCGTGCGGGAGGGAAGAAAAGAGAGAGGTAGTAGAAAGAGCGATTCCACGGGACGAAGGCGAGGTGGGATCAACAGGGGCGAGATCGAGTGGGTTTATAGGAGAGATGGAGAGTCCGGCACATCCAGTCCTAAACAGAGGGAGAGACAATCGGGTTAGCCTGCAAACAAAGGATCGAAAGGGTGTGAGGCTGCCGGCCAAATGGTGATAAGACGGGAACGTGGGCGGAGGGGTTCATTTTTCCGAATGACCAGGAAGACCGAGACCCTCCAGGGGGAGGAGGGGAGATGGCAAGGCGCAGGTAAAACATACCCCAATGCAATGCAATGGCTTAAGCGACAAATGAGTCTGTCTTGAACCTGAAAGTTCAAGATTTTTTGGGCGTCAAGACAACGGAAGGGTGGCAATTTGGAGGGAAAGAGAAAAGGGTAAGAAGAGAAGGCAGAAGAGGAGGAGAGAGAAAGACGGGGAGGGCGAAGAAGAGGCGTTTTGGGTTGGTTCCGAGGAGGTGAGGAAAGGAAAGGAAGGAAAGGAACCCCTAAACCGGAGGCTTTAGTTGGTCGGTTTCTGTCAGAAAAGGCGGGCCCTTTGCGACTAGCAAGTTCAAGCTCATGCGCAAGTCTTTTTCTTCTTTTCTTTTTTGTTTTATTTTTACTGCCAGATTTCCCGGAATTCGGATTCTGTCTGGCTTTTCTTTTTTATTTTATGTATTTGATTTGATTGATTTATTATTTTATCTTTTTGGACTAAGGGTTGGGATGGAGTTCGGTTCGCCGCTGCTTTGTTGACTTGGCCCTCTCGCCTTCTCGTCGTTCTTTGTCTAGTTCTTACATTCTTTTCAATCCCTCGTGCTGCAATAGCGAAGACGACGCGCAAGACAGGGTAACCAAGAGGAGAATGGAGAAGCCAAGCTGCAATGAGGAGAGAGGCACTCACGAAGCGACCGGGAATACGAGCATGAATCAATGAACCAGGTGATAGGAACTGGATCGTACTCAGGAGTCAGGACGGTCGACTCCGTACAGCCTTTAGCTTAACTTATGGGAATTGAAAAAGAGAAAAAAAGGGAGGACCGACTACGTCCGAAGTACTCCGTACAGGTTGATCGCCAGATACCGAGCATCCTTCAGGACGTGAAGGAAGAGTTCTATTTGGATCTCTCTCATCCTACGATCCAAAGACATGATTGATTAACCTGACACTGGGTTTACAATCCGGATCAGGTCGCTGATCGCGGCGGAGAAAAGGCACCATAATTGACGGGGATTAAGGACCAGGGTGTGAACGCTAAGAAACCAAAAGGGAAAGAAAAAAAGAAAAAACACGAATCGGGGGGTTATTCAGCCCGTCGGCCAGGAGAAATCAGAATTGTCGCTTGGGCCCACGAGGGAAACACGCCGGCGCAGGAGGTGGGAAAGGCGCAAGGAGGGATGGACAGCCGGTGGAGAGGCCGGTGGAGAGGCCGATGGGGGGAACAGACGAACTACTAACCATTTAGCCCGGGCGATGGAGAACCGGGAGACAGTATGACTATCTATAGAGTATAGAGAGCCATGCATCTCATGTACTACGTACCTAGTCACCCTACACCGTACGGGCGGAGGGGGCCAATTTATTCAGGAGAATGTGTCATCTACCTTCGTTGTCGGTAGAGTACATATACAGAAAGTGCACTACTGCATCGAATGTGTGTCCAGATGGCGCCATGCAGCAAGATTGGGCGTAGTAAGGGGCCCGAGAATCCTGCATCTTACATCATGCCCAGTCAGATGGTGGGCGGCCCCCGTCTGGAAGATGCATCGAACCGGGATTCTAGAAGATCCAGAAGACCGCCCGAAAAGTCAAATAAAAAAAAAGCAAAAAGGAAAATCCAGGCTGAAACAAACCAGGGCGTCCACACAAAGGGGGGAGGAGGAAAAGAAAATAGCGGTGACCAGGGGGTGAGGATAAGGACCAGGATGCTGCACCTGGTTGTGGTTTATTATTATTGTTCCGGTGGAAGATCGATGCTGCCTGGGATATCTTCATCCTGCCTAAAAGGGAAGCGAATTCAGGAGTCCCTTCAGAGTTCCGAGAAATCAAAGGGCAACACGAAGCAGGCAATTAGTTAGTTGGTCTGTGGGCGCAAAGCGGAAACGCCCATAGGATCATCGCTATTAAGACCATCTGGACTTGCGGGAGTCTCTCGCCTGCCAAGCATCCTGTCGGAGGAGCAGCCTTGTTCGTCCTGTGCTGTCCCCAGCGGTGCGCTGGCGCGTAGGACGGGAACCCGCTTGTCGGGGCCTCTAACCTGGGATTCAAATAGATAAATGGGATCAGCACCGTTGGCGTCGAAAAAAATTGGATGCGATAGGATACGGATCCACTCGTCGATGGATGGAAGTGGAGAGACCCGCCAATCCTAATGCGGCCGATCCTAGACCAGGACGCTAGGGATGGCAGACGTGGTGACAGGAACAGATACGGAGTAGTTATAGGGAGGAAGTTGACTGTTGACTGTTGACTGTTGACTGTTTCAGTGTTTAGATGCGGTCATCGACGGTCGTGCCATTAGTCAAGATGTAGAAACGTGGGTAACTTAAGTGATGGATGGAAATGTGGTGAACCATAATGGTGATCATAATAGCAATAAGAATAATGAATATGGAGTCCACCTCTCTGGATGAAGTTTCCGGATAGGAGAAAGCAGAAGTGGATCGGATCGGGGGACATACTGGATGCTGAAGAATCGTTGTTCAGTCCGGGAATCGAAAAGTGGGAGACGACGAGGGCAGGTCATCCATCATGTGACTGGCCCTGCATTGTTTGTCCGAATTGCTCGTTGAATGCCTAGAAATGGGATCGCTTGATGTCTCACCCGAGGTCATCTACTGCACACATGTACTTCGCTACCTATCTACACGAATACATTAGCAATTTAGCTACACGAACGCCTCCAGTTCCCTGTTCAAGAAAACTGGAGCCATAGCCAACAGGGAGACCATCTATATGGAACTTCATGGATCCTCCCACGTCTATCGCCCGTCCATCCCGACACATTCACTGAATCACTGGGCCAATGTTTCTCCGTCTGATTCTATTTGACTGCAGAGTACCGAGTGGGCAAAAGGCGCGCCAAGCGGCTACTGCAGCTTGTATACGCACTGCAACGTGAACCACCGCTTACCACTGCGATAGAACCTACAACGCAAGGGTCTCCAGGGGCCATAGTTAAAGGGGGACAAAAAGAAGTCGTCCGATCCGCCCGATCCTCGTCAACTTGGAAACCCATCTATCTGTCACCCAGTCACCACTACGGAGTACTCCGTACTATGAACCATGCTATGGTGCTACGACGGTACTGCTCAACGCTAGATAAACAAAGTGGAGCCCGGAAAGCAGATGACAACCCCAGAAGCGAAAACACGAAGCTGAAACATGAAACACAGAGCGAACAGACATCCCGCAATGTGCAACTAATGAGAATCAGCATGGGTGATCTGCAGGCTGTTGGTGGGAGCAGGGATGGCCGACTAGTTTACTCGCTAACCTCTACGGAGTAGGTACTTCTTTTCCTCCCTCCTATGAGGGAAACCTGCCATGTAATTCCGGGGAGCGAGGAAGTGGTCCTCAATAGATCGCGGCGGACACGAATCGAAAGTACGGCCTCTCACGGCGAAGCCGACCCCGTTTTCTTTGTCATGAAGGCCAAGATGCAACTGGTGGCTATTGACCAGCGACTCAATAGAACCAGGCAATCAATCGGATCCATGGATCTTCTCCCCCTCCAGCCAGTAAACCAAGAGGAAACCGACGGTCGCTCAAAAACGTGGCGGCCACGAGATTCAGCCACGACAAAGAAAACGCAAGGGTCGCAGCGGCCAATTTTGACTGGTCCGAAACGTGTCTCACGAGGCCATGAGGAGTTGACAGGTCAGTAAATGGGCGCTGGGTCAGTGGACAGGTCAGGGACTGGGGACCCCTGCTGGGGCAACAAACAAATTGGACTCTGGACTCTGGAGGCGAATAGAGTTGGCTAGTGGATGCAATAGCGCCAAAAGTGACAGGTAACAAACATGATTAGCGATCGGACCTGATTGTTCTACCAGCACAATACTATCAAGCTGAGGTGGAAAATTCTACCGGATCAGATCTGATTACTCAGATCAACGAGAGCAGAGCGGGCTCTTGTAAGTAAAAGGTACTGCAAAAAGCAGTCACGGTCAACTTTATTTGATGATTTGGAATTTCCTACCGGTAGAAACAGGACAAATAAGCCGGTAACAGGCAGATGGAGCAATACATTGTCTCAGCCAGGCCAAGTGATTCTCCCCTGAGCAAATATTGCATGCCTCCCGCGGCAAACCAGATAAGTGTTTTCAAATGTCGCGATATAGTCTTCAAGCTACAGTGTACGGGTCGGATCTATGCAAATCGGTGCGCTAGAAAGAAGACCCATTGCTGGAGAATGTACTGGGAGATAACCACGATTGCATGAGGAACGAGGGTTCCAGACCTCCTTACTGAAGGCGCCGGTTATAACCACCATCCAGTCGAGAAATGACAACTTTTACCATCCCAGAGTTCCGGATCTACGTAAAGACTACCGTATCGACCCATTGTAGTGGACTGCGCTCTACAATGCCGGCACTGTGTACGGAGTACTCCATAGGAGAGGTCACTTCATCATACCACAAGTAATATATTATTGATTGATGACGTGATGGGGTTGATGGGATCGAGATCGATCAAATATTTCTAGAAGCGCATCACGGCAATTCTTGGCTGAGGGGTTTTAAAAGATATGGTCTGTCTGAATGGGTATAACTATGAATGTGCTTGAGAAGGTACCGGCCAGGGGAAGATGTGCAAGGGTGGATAGCAGGTGGAGTATATTGAGGGCCCTGAATCGGAAATCAGGCTCATCTGAAGCATCTCATAGTTGGTCATCAATATCTACGGAAAAGGTTTCCGGGGGCTCAACTTGGTTTTTGGTCATAATACTTCCTAAACGATCAATATATGTCGAGTAGAACAGAAATGGCTTGCAGGCATATGCAACAAGGAAAACCGAAAGTAAATATTGTACGCAGTAAGACGTCCCAAAATTAAACAAATGACCACTCATACCCAAAAATCGTGCCTGAGGGTGGCCTGAGAACACCAATATTCCCGAATTCCCTCCCTGTTAAACTCCACCCAGCCCTTCATACGCCGATCCAATATCACCAAAAGACCATTACATCACATCAGCGTCATGGCTATCTACCATCGCCGTCCGTAAACCGAGTCCTCTGATTTGGAAGCGCGCTTTTCAGGTTGTCGATGCCGGTCGCGAGAATCGGAATACGAACCCTGTGAGCTGCGTTCTCCATTCTGAGACCCGGAATGGCTGCTCTCGTTCGTTGATGTCAAAAGTCTGGTTTTCTGTGCCAAATCAACTTCCCCGTCGCCGTTGTACCGTGCCTCTGCATCCCGACCAAAGAGCGCCATCATATCCTTCATCGTAAGCTTGGCGGCGGCAGTCTTGCCTTCAATGGTGACGTTGGCCAACTCTCGCTTGCGATCTTGGAGGTCAATGATACGCTCTTCGACCGTATCCTTGATGATCATCTTGTAGATCTTGACATCCACGGTCTGGTTGAGACGGTGGACACGGTCAATGGCTTGTTCTTCGACGAACTAGAAAGTAGATAGATTAGCATCTGTTTTGGAATATCAAGCAGACAGAAATAGACTGGACACTTACAGGATTCCAAAACGGTTCCAAAATGACCACACGACTCGCTGCAGTCAGGTTCAGTCCCAATGCACCGGCTCGCAAACTGCAAAGTAGGACTCGCGTTCCGCTATTGTTTCGAAGCTTGTTGAGACTAGCTTCTCGATGATCGTTGCGCATGCCGCCGTCGTACCGCGCGAATCCAATCCCCGTTCGTTTGAGGAAGGGTTCAATCTTGTCAAGCATCGAAGTGAAGACGGAGAAAACAATGAACTTGTGATCAGCCGACTCTCGATTAAGAATCTTCATCAAATGCTTGATCTTTGTCGAGGGTAGAACTTGGTTTTCATCATCTCCCGGGTTCAGATAAATGTCATCCTCAGAGTCGCTTTCTTGGTGTTGAATCTTTGAGCTCATGCGGTTGGCAGTGGGTGATTCGGGTCCATCATCATCGTCAGATTCTGAATCTTCTGAAACAAGCCACTCGCCGCCTCCTTCTGCGTTTTCATCATCCGAACCTCCGGCCTTTCCAAAGTTGGGAGCCGACCGCTTCCCTTCGGGTACAATCCACTCTCCATCATCCTCTTCCTCATCATCACTATCGACAATGATTCTTCGGTTCCTTTGAGCACGAGCCGTCTTGGCTTCTGAGCGACTGGCCGATGGCGAGTCAGTAAGGTCCACGATTGAATGCTTGCGGGAGCTCTTCTTTTTCTTGCCACTGCGGTTTCCTGCGAGCGTATCTTTAATATCCGTCTCACAGTCGCCACACCTGCTAGCACCACTTGCTGCCTCATCCTTACTCAAACCCGTCTGGCAGACGTCGCATTTCTTCGACATCACACTAAGCGCCCCGAAGAGATCGGCCATGCTATCGAGATCATCCTGCTTTCCTGGCGCAAGTTGACTGCCCGAGGCGCCATTTTGCAAAAGAACATCTTTGTCCTTGGCAAGATCGCTTTTCACCAAGTCAGGATGGTTGCAAGATTGCCGGAGACGCAACAGCAGGACCAAAGCGCCGGCATAGTCCATTTTCTCGCCCATCATCTTCTCAAGGCTGTTTTCCGTCCGCTGTTCCAGACGCTTGTAGAAGTTCCATTCGCCAGGCATAAACTCGGCAGCAACCTTAATGACCTCTCGCTTAGTGATTTGGAAACCGGAGGATTTCTTCCCCTCACCACTTTCGCCGGGTTTGAGGTTAGAATTGAGTTTCAAAACGTCCTTAGTTCGACGTTTCATGAATGCCTTGAGGTAAACCTGCAGACGCTCGATTGCCAGACCCCCTCGACCATTGGCTAATGGCTTCGTAATTTGGTCCTTCCAGGCCGCTAGGTCGTTGTACGGCTTGATGCGTAAAAATTTGATTAGACTCTGCAGCTCGTCGAGATTGTTTTGCATCGGAGTCCCCGATAGACACCACCGGTATTCCGCATCCAAGGCATAGGCAGATTGTGTGGCCTTTGCATTTCGATTCTTGATGGTGTGGGCTTCATCCAGTATAATTCGGTACCAGTACACAGAGAAGAGACCCGATTTCTTGTTGCTCTTGTCGGAAGCTCCATGTTCAGAAGTCAGCGTGCCGTAGGTCGTGATCACGACATCGTAATTTTCGAGGTTGTCTGTTGCCTTTGCTCTGGTGTTTCCGTGATAGACACACACGCGAAGTCTGTGGGATGTTTCCACCTTGTCATTGATCTCTGCTTCCCATTGCTTGATAAGAGCCAAAGGCGCAACGACCAGGGTTGATTTGCTTAGCCCAGGCGGCAGTTTCGAGCTATTCTCGCTATCTTCATCGTCGCTGTCGTCGGACTCGTCCGGGTCAACGGGTCGTCGGCGCCCATCCTCGCGTTTTTTATTCGTGAGTAGAAGTGAAATAGCTTGAACAGTCTTTCCGAGACCCATGTCGTCCGCGAGGATACCACCCTTCGGAAGAACGCCCTTGGCTTTGCTCTGGCCGGTTTCTTTGTCCCTCATCCAATTCACTCCTTCACGTTGATGAGGTAGAAGCTTTACTTTCAAGCCCTCTACTGTACCGTCGTCTTCATCTTCCTCTTCCTCTTCTTCGTCATCGTTCTCATCGTCCTGGTCACTTTCGACATCTTCGTCCTCTTTGGCGGCTTTGTTGTTACCAATTTCCCCAGTCGATGCCTTTGAGACTGGCGCCTCAACGTCATAATCGCTGCTGGAATCATCGCTCGTCGGCCTGGGTTCCGCAACTGTCACTCCCTGCAATTGGGCAGTCAAATCATCGATATCAGCAGTCTCTTTCTTTTCGCCTTTGCTCTGATCTTTATCGTCCTTGGTTTTGTCTTTCTTCTCTTTCTTGCCCTTCTTGTTCTTCTTGTTCTTCTTTTTGTCTTTTGATTTCGAGGACTTAGATCCGTCTTCTTCCTCGAAAGCCCCTTCAAGCAACGCCTTGATGTTCTCGTTGGCCTTGGCTGTATCCACATAACCATAGGTGTCCGTGGAGCCAAATCCTACATTGCGTGGTCGGTCGCTTGGTGTAAAACTCCCCTCCCCAGTAAGATCCACAAAGTTCTGCAAATTCTTGGAGGCATGATTCATTTTCATTGCGGAAGGTTTGGCCGAGGAGGCGTAAAACGTCTTGGGGGCTTTCGGCGTGGAGAAGGTAACGTTTTCGGGGCGTTTGATCTGGAAGACATCGTTGTTGACAGGGCGAGAGAACCGATTGTTGTTGTAGGCAGAAGGTCGGACGGGCTTGAAAGGATCGAACGCTTCGCCACGTCTCGGAGTAGATACCCCGGCTCCTGGGGTAGCGATCTGTCGGTGACCCTGGTGGGGGTATTGGGGCCGTTGTTGAGGCTGAGGCGGCGGTCTATGATGTTCGGGCCGTCCCCTGTTCGGCTTGGGTATATTGAACGGATGGTTCGAGCGTTGGTTTGGGTTTGGAGGGTGCGCCGGGCCTATTGGCGAAGGTCTCCCAAATTCGGGGTGTTGAGAGATCTGACGACGTGGATCGTCATTTGGCTTTCGAGGAGTGATAGGATTGAGGGGGTTCTCGCTTTCTTTGGCCATATTGAAAGCTAGGTGGGAATTGTTGTGGTTTGATCGAGGTGCGTTTGCTGTCTAAGTGGGAAAGGGTCTTGTATGTTTTGTTTTGAAAGAAAGTGCGTCAAAAGTCGAGTATTGCCGTAGTCAATAGTTCTGCATAAAAGAAAGGCTCGCAGACTATGCAAGCAGCTGTCTAGGAAATATTTAAGCTCTATTGTCGTTAACGTAACGTGGTCGAAAAAGTTTCGCGTTTCTCTGGCGTGGAGGGGCAACTTGGTTAGCTTCTCATTGAACTCAGGAGAGCCGGTTCTGCTGGGCTCAATAAGGAATGTACGACTCACCCTGGTCATGCCATTTCAAGATGAGCAACTGTTGCACTCAAATGGGCAGTGGGGGTCAAAAAGTCGTGGAGGGGAAGAGCTGGTGGTGATGCAAAGGTTGTGAGTGCCCACATTTTATCGATAGCGCCTATCGCTCGTTTGTTTGGGATGTTTGCCCCAGCAACGTCGCCCCGCATCTGTCAGCCCTCCCTTGACTTCGACTTTTCGGTGGAAGTGCCATTATCTAGATTGTGAATCGTGGCCAGTTGATCTTCAAGGCATTTGGGGCCTTAGTTTGAAGCAAATGGCTTATTCTGCTCTGACAAATCGTCGAGGTACAATTGTCTACGGAGTATAGGGAACTGAATCACCCTGCTGTGCATATCCATGGATTGCTTCTTGTTGCGCTTGACTGCGACCATGTTTAGATAGAGAATCTCAAGTCTGCAATATTACATTCAGAAATTTGAAGATTGACCTCCTCTAGTTTCATTCACGTTATACCCCCTCATCCCTGGCATATGACAATATTGTCCAGTAGAACTAGCCAATATCGTATCCAACTTCCAAGTACATTATTTATAGCACTCGCTATTGAACTCCGCCGCAATTCCTTAGATTTTCTCAAACTTCCCCAATAACGCCTTTCAGTATTTCCGGGACAATGGTGCCCGCATCGCCCTGAAAGAACCAATCTCCCGGCTTCAAACCGGAAGCTCCGACATCATTCCGATCCATGTTGACAACCGCCACTCTCGCGCCCCGATCGCGAGCCTTGTCAACATATCCCGCAGCAGGGTAGACTTGAGAGCTCGTGCCAACCACTAGGATAAGATCAATAGGCCCCGAACGCATCCACCTATCCACCTCATCAATCGTATGCAGCGGTAGACTTTCACCAAACCACACAACCCCGGGCCGAAGAATGCCATCTTTACACTCGGGACAGTGCGGAAGCGCATCCAGACTTAGCGCAGGAAGCGGAACCCGATCGTCAGATATGTCTGCCTCCGGTGCCTCCCCGTTTCCTAGAGGATCAGACAAATATTTTGAGGCGGATTCGCCCGTTGTGTCCTCAGTGGAAGGGTTGAAGTCCGGGTTACCCTTGGGGATTTCTAAGGCCGGGACAATAGGATCGGTGAAATCATTCTCACGAGAATAACTGCAGTAGAACGAAGTGCATTTCACGGTAAAAAGAGACCCGTGAAGAAGGTGCAGCTGTTCCGAGGGGTGGTCCGCTCGCTGCGAAAGGCCTACCGTTCCAATATCAGCATCTCAACTCCACAAGATGACAGAAACCAGACTTGTCTTACCATCAACATTCTGGCTTAACGTGATGAAGTCCTTATTCTTCTTGGCTAGTTTCGCGAGCGCATAGTGAGCCGGATTCGGCTTCGCTTTCAGCGCCATATGTCTGCGATGGCTGTAGAACTGCCACACCAGGTCTGGGTTGGCCTCGAAAGCTTCGGGCGTGGCGAGATCCGTCGCACCGTGAGTTCTCCACAGCCCTCCGACGCCCCGGAAGGTCGGCAGTCCTGACGATGCGGAGAGCCCCGCGCCTAGAAGAGCAAGGACACGCCTGCGTCCCTTCAGAAATTCCGAAAATGATCGGAGATCGGCTGCTGGAATGGTGGACGAGGCCATGGCGGGGACGTTTGAGGTAGGGCTCTGGGCCGTGTGACAAATCTTGTCGACAGACCTATATAGCTTGCGATTTGTATATTGAAGGGGGGCTGTAACTTATACTCTCCGCTCAAATGGATGTGCTCCGGAGCTACTAAAAGTGAGTACGTTGTCGGATGTTGAAGTTGCAGAAAGTCGGGAACGCGCTAAAATCTAGCGATGACGTGGGGGATTGGATCCCATGTGTTTGTCGGGGCTCCTTTTTGAGTGACAAAGTGCGAGTGTTAAATTAGATTTACCGGATCTAAGGGATTTATTATGGAAGCCTGGGGGTTTTACTTTGGCGAGTTGTCCCAGAAAATCTTTTTCTTTGCCCTTTTGCTACTGCTACGGTACATGATTGGGATATATAGTTTGGTCACTGCGGACGGAGTACGCGAACTACACAACATGAAGAATAACGGCACCGACATCTCGGCTTTAATTTACGTTGGCGACTAAATAAGCTGTAAATTTCAAAAAGAGAATGATAATGTTGAAGACAAAACTGGTAGCCAGACCATTGCAAATAGCGAAATAGACACTGAACTAATGCTGTTCTTCCTTGGGAAGAGTTATCCCGACTGCGTCTTGGGCATAACCTTGGTTTTGGTCATTCTTACTGGCAACGAAGCCGGTAATGTAGTCTGGTACTACGGCCACCTTGTTATCAGAGCTTGGAATGGGTGCCCCGAACGTCTCCCAGACGGGTACCACTCCCGTCCAGACACGGTTGGTCACTTCTTCATTAGAATAGTCCTTTTTCTCATCGGAAACCCCTCCGTCACGAATCTTGCCGCTTCCGTCAACCACTCGGACCTTGAGAATGACCGTCGAAGACATCTCGGTACGGTCCGGGGGCACTCGCGAATGGTCCCAACGGTTTGGGAGCACCGAGTTGGTGATCAGCTCCATTGCATAAAGCTTCTCGGCCTCATCGGTGACGACATGCGCATAGCCATGAAGGATAGCGGAGCGGTAGTTGTAGCTGTGAGAGTTGGGTGTCAGGGACAGGATCAACCCGTCGACTTTGCTAGCAGCCACGCAAATCGGCAGTCCTTGTCCCTGAGATTCTCGGGCAAGGTTCATGATCCGCGAGCTGACATAGCCGTGTAGATAGCAGTCCAGGGGCTCGTTGATATCCGCAGAAGGATAGTCGAACGATCCCATCTGCCCGATCATAGGTATGATGGCGGGGAAAGGGTCCTCAGGGCCGGGATTGAAGGATACATGGAGAACCTGAGTTGAGTTGATGATGGAATGGATTGCTCCCAAGTCATACGTCGCTGCATGAAGATTTAGCCTTCTTTCTCTTCGGCAAATAATTGAAGCTCGACACACCTCTGTGCTTGTAGCGGTTGACGGTGTTTGCAGACCTCTTTGGGTAAGTCAATGTGCGTCCCATGTTGTCTTCTGGAACCTTTGCCGATGCTGTATTTGGGCGTTGATAGATGCCCAGCTCTGGAACTTGTACGCCCTTTTATCCTTAAGATGTGAGTCATCTTGGCCACACCTGACGCAACCTGGATCCTTTCAGACCGAGTAGCCAAACAGTATAGATACTACCCAAGGGGAGGTAGGTGCAGATAGGTGCCCTAGGCCAATCAGGCAAGTCCATGCGGCGCGGCGCATCGCAAACGGCGAGTCGCTGATTGGCTGCCGGCTCCGACCCCGGGTTGTGGCCTAAGGCGACAAGGCCACCAGGCAACGAGGCCCGCCGTGGTTTGGCGCGGGAGTTGCTGCTTCCTCCCGATTGAACCTTACGGCCAGTGCCCACATCTCCAAGTCAACAACACTCGTCCCTCCTTCAATGGTGACTTGATGACAAGCATGTCGACATGCAGGTTATTCGCTCGCCAATGGCCTCGCTGCCTTCGTCGCTCCGTGCCATGGATCCCTCGGTCAACGTCGAATCGGCTGGTCTCTCTTCAACTTCCGGCTCTTCGCCGTTCCTACGCTTCGTCCATCTCCGCCGCGGAGCTTAAATTCGGACAACCATTACACGAGACGCACCCCCATCTACTGAATCCCGGAGAATGTGTGTTTCCCCCTTCGATGTTCATCGCACGAGATAATATGGCATGGTTATATTGACTGCGGATCAAAGTGACACCCGGGATTACCGCCCTCGAATACGCTCACCGTCGATCCCGACTTGCGAACAAGCTTCCCAAATACTCGATTGCCGTCCTAGCTGCCAACGAAGTCACATATCGCGCGTCGGGCATCTTCAATGAGTACCGACAGGACTCGAATTTCTTTTATCTTACGGGTCGGTGTTCATGATGAAAAGGAAAAGGAACCCATGGTTGATTGATTTTGTCGGGAACAGGATTCAACGAACCCAATGCGCTTGCGATCATCGGTGAGTTGTTGCCCAGGAGGATCCAGGGCTCAAGAACAACAAATCAACAATGCTGACTAGGCCGCAGCAAACGACGGCTCTGGCGACAACCACCTTTTCCATCTCTATGTTCGGGAGAAAGATGCTAAGGCGGAGCTTTGGGATGGGGCTCGCTCCGGAACGCAAGCTGCGACCGATGTCTTCAATGCCGACGAGGTAAGGCTTGATCCCATTCTCAATCTACGAAAGCATCGCTAATACGAGAATCCAAGACCGGTGACATAGAACGCATCGGGGATCTACTTCCGCGCATCATCTCAGACGCCGCGGAGATCTATACGGATATTCCTGCCTTCAATCCCGGCCGATCATCCCTACATCGTTATCTATACGGACCTACGGGCGCATCGGAGCAACTCAAAAAGATTGTCGACTACCGAAAAGTCAAGCCTTTGCGCCCTATCCTCAACGAGATGAGAGTATTCAAGAGCGAGGACGAAGTTGTACAAATGCGGGCAGTTGGACAAGCTTCCGGAAGAGCCTTCACTGAATCCATGCGACACACATTCTCGAAGGAGAAGGATCTCACATCCTTCTTGGAATACAATTTCAAGATCAACGGCTGTGACAACAGCGCTTTCGTTCCCGTGGTCGCGGGTGGCGCGAATGCTTTGAGTATTCATTACACGAGAAACGACGACGTCTTGAATGATGGCGATATGGTGCTGGTGGATGGAGGTGGCGAAGGAGGTACTTATATATCCGACATCACTCGGACGTGGCCAGTCAATGGCAAGTTCTCGGATCCTCAGCGTGACCTGTACAATGCGGTGTTGAATGTGCACCGCAGCTGTGTCTCTCTCTGTCACGAGGACGCAGGGCTCTCCTTGGACCGATTGCATACCGTCGCGGAAAATGGTCTGAAAGACCAACTGCAGCAGCTGGGCTTTGACGTCTCCGGAAATGCCATGGGGACCCTCTTCCCTCACCACCTTGGCCACTATATCGGGCTGGACGTCCACGACTGCCCCGGGTACCCAAGAGGGTACAACCTGAAGGCGGGCCAATGCATCACCGTGGAACCGTAGGTGTCTCTTCTTCAAACTGGTTGGGGAGTCCTCGCTAACATGATCCAGCGGTATCTACGTTCCCGACGACGAGCGATGGCCAGAGAAGTTCCGGGGAATTGGAATCCGCATTGAGGACAGCGTCTGCGTGGGCGATGACAGCCCGATCGTGCTGACCACCGAAGCTGTCAAGGAGGTAAGTTTGCCGTCGTTCAGCCGTCTTGCGTGCATTAGCGCCTTCTCCGCTGATAATACGTCATTTTTCCAGGTCGACGACATCGAGGCACTTCGGGACTAGATTAGGGAAGCATGATTGTAGCTGGAAGATACCCTTTGTAAATGGATGTATAATAGCGAAATGTATTGATCCGAGTCGGGTGGGAAAACACGCCTCCTCTCATTGTTATTGTTGTTATTATTATTGTCTGAAGAGAAGAAAACAAACAAACGCAGCCCTAAGCGGTGTTGTCACAGATTTCCCGGTTTTCTTACGCCAGTACATACATGTACATCAGTACTGGAATACCTCCAGCACCAGCGACGCGGAAAAATCCAAGAAGTTCCCAGAGAGAAAAAGGAGTAGATAGGTCCAGTCGCGGTGAGAGAGAAATTAGCAGTCCGCACCGGAATGTCCCAACCTTCATAGTACAGAACATACATGCATACCTGGCGGAGGTTCGCGGTGGGTTGATGCCCCGTTGTCAAGGCGCACATCCCGCGGCCAAAACAAACCAAACCAAACCAAACCAAACGGTCTCCACTCCCCGACACGCTTTAGTTACTTCCTTTCTCTCTCTCTCCTCCCGCTCTCTCTCTCTCTCTTCCCCCCCAAAGACACCGACGCAGCCACTGCTACTTCTTTCCTTCATCCTCCACCTCCAGGCCTCGTTCACTGGACAGTGCTCGTCGACCTCCCCTCAATATCCTCCTTGGGCAAGAGGCTGTCTCCCACCCTCCCCTCTTATTGTCCCTCCGTTCCCTACATCCATGACTCTGGATCGCGTGAACAATGGCATTTTTTTGATCGTGCAAGCCTTCGAGACGTGTCGTTCTTCGCGTGCTCAGCCTGCCGCGCCCCTCTTTTGAACAGGCCTCCGAACTAGCTGCTTAATTTACCTATTTACCCTCGGCGTATCGTTACCCTATGGCAGCAGTATTCATACCCCCTTCACCGCAGACCTCGTATAACATGTCGACTCGCCGTCCACTCGCCAACGTGCCGAATGCTACGAATTCCCCTCACCGAATGGGCCTCGTGCCTGCCAAACGTTCTCGCCCGGGAAATGGTCCCGTTGAAATCCCTTACGGCCAGCCACCGCCCAAGAAGCAGGTAGTCGATGGGCCCGAAGTGGAGGCCCGTTCACCGACCCGGTCCAGATCCTCCGCCTATCAGAATAATGATTCGAGGCAATTGTTCTCGCGTCGAACGAATAATGGTCAGCCAAGTGCGTTCGAGAGGAAGCTGGTCGCTGCCAGGGATAAGGATAGACAGCCTCAGAATCGGGCGTTGAGGCATGAGAAACCGTCCGCGGAGACCATCGACACCATCCGACAGTGGCAGAGACATTATCGCAAGGCCTTCCCGCAATTCGTCTTTTACTTTGACAGTATCCCAGAAGATCTTCGTAGTAAATGCTCAAGACAGGTCATTGCATTAGGTGCTGTAAGTGCATCTGACCATTCTCCTTGACCCCGCCCCTTCGCATTCCATGGTTGTAAAGGAAGCCATTTATGGATGTAGGTTGTGAAGACTCGAAAATAAGTTGCTGACAACTCACCCTAGCGCGAAGAGAAATTCTTCTCACGTCTAGTGACCCACGTCGTTACCTCCCGCCCTATCCCCCCCGAACATGAAACTACAAGCCCGACGGAATTGGCGACGGAATCGGTGGATCAGGCAGCTGCAGATGGTTCTTTGCAGACGGTCAACCCCTCCTTGCTCGAGAAAAATGCCGACCCACACCTACATATGTCCATGAAGAATGACGCTCGACGGGAACCGACCAATATGGATGTTTTGCACCGGGCTCGCCAAATGGGAATGAAGATATGGGCTATCGAGAAACTGCAGCGGATGATCGCTACTATCAACGACGGTGAACTTGGCGGCCACAGCGGCCATTCAACCCGTAATGCCAACGCCGGTGGCCATGCTAAGGCTAGAGGTGACGCCGACCTGTCCCAGGTTCTTCAAAACGAGCTCATGAGTGGCTCTTCCGATCGCAATCCTCTGTCGGTCCTGAAAGACTTGGTCATGTTTAAGGGTCCGTTTATCTACATCCATGACATGGATGAAAAGACTCGGCCTGTCATGGTCCGTGAATACCCCAAGGTGGCAAGGCGACAAGATGGTATTTGGCCGCAATTTCGGAGTGCACCATTGGGCAAATGCCCGTTTGTGGAGGAGGCCCCAACGAAGAAGGAAACCGAACGACAACGGGCGCGCCAGAAAGAAAGGGAAAAGAAGGCCTTTTCTAAGCCTGCACCCGTCGCGGCGACTCATGATACCAAGCCCAAGGCACTCGAGGACACTGCTGGGAAGGTAGAGGATCCTGAGGTTGACCGAGAGACCAGCCCCAGAGATGAACCTGAAGGCGTTATATCCCAGCCAAAGCAGCCGGAGATGCAAGAAATGCAACCAACGAGGCCGTTGTCGCCAAAGAAGAGCTCTGAAAGTTTCGTTCCTCCCCAGCTGAACCGGAATGGTCCTTTCTACCTTGGCCGGGAGCCTGCTGCATCGGGCGTGCAGCCCTCAAATATCACGTCTGCTATCCGATCCCAGATGGTGTCCTCAACTGCCGCTGCGCCCGGGGCGAAGGCAGGTGTGAGCAAAGAGGTCCACGAGCTGAAGAGAAAGGTTCTCGAGAAGAGCAACGGGGGATTTTCCGCTGGCACGGGACCGTCGTCTCACCATCCCGTGGACCCTTCTGCAGCGATGAAGGCGGCAAAGAACCAGGCCAGTCGGCAAGGCAAGCCGAACCCGCCAGAAAAGCTTGGACATGTCATTGAAGAGGAACCTACGCAGTCAGAAGGCAATGGTAACACTAAACACCGACCAAGCCTTCGAAGAAGTAGCAGCCAGAAGAAAAAGGAAAGGCGGAGGGATCCTAAGCCAGGATACTGTGAAAACTGCCGGGACAAGTTCGATGACTTTGATGAGGTGAGTGTCTTACCGTTGACAAGAAGGGAAGAAATTGCTAACTAACGAATGTAGCATGTGTTGACAAGAAAACACCGCAAATTCGCATTGAACACGTCTAACTGGTCGGAACTCGACTCACTCCTCTTCCAGCTTCAACGACCATTAAAGGAAGAATACGATTATGTGTAGGCCATCCTTAAAGAATAAAAAAGGGCAAAAAAAGCAAAAGCAACCAATAATCAGAAGAAAAAAAACATGGCACATACATATGACGCGATTCTTTCCATCTCAACCGCATTAGCGTCACTGACTTTTTTAACGATTAGCTGTTCCTTTGACGGCAGTAATTACATGCATGGAGAACACGAGAGCATTTGAAAGAGCGATCCTAAATAACAAATGGTACATATGCGCCTCGGATTTGATTCAAAACTTGCGCTCCACGGAGCAAACAACTGACTTGATCTTCTGTCGCTCATTTGACCTTTCATTCCCAGGTTTCCCCTTTATTTTTCTACTTTTCTTTTCTTTTCCTTTCTTCCCCCTTTATCTCTTGCATCGGTTATGTGTTTTACAAATCGTTTTTGTTGTACCTGATGTCTCACAGTGCATTATCATACAGCCGGCGTCATTGGATTTTGCCTGCATTATATCATACGGATTTGATGAACGAAAGCAACTGACAGCCTGTCCGACATCAATTTTGGGAACAATGATTTCGGGCATTCGACAGAAAAAAAGAAAAAAAAAGAAAAAAAAAGGTTATGGAGAGAAAGGACAAGGAAGGCTTGTGAGTTGAAAGAGGCGATTTCAAAAGTCCTTCCGCTTCCCGTTCATACCTTACATTGGGCCTAATTCACACGTTTCCCTTCTCATTCCCCTTTCTATTTATTTCCATTCGGTTCTCTTCTTCTATTCTCTTCTTGGTTCTTCTTAGGTGGATGTGTTATGGGGTTGCATTAAAAGGACGGACAGTCCGTACCGGTGGTGTTTTTGAACTTTGACGTTGTCAATCTTATTTCCCCAATGTGCGTGTTTATTACTAGCTCGCTTTCACTTCTTTCTACCTACTTATATCGCGAGATTCGTGATCCATGCACATGCAGCTGGACCGAACTCCGACGGAGGCGTTCGAATCATGGTGTAGGGTCTAGGTCAGTCGGGGCACATACATAGTAAAGTACCTAGCATTTTATCTAGCAATGAAATGATAAACATCCTGCCCTATGAAGCCCAACAGAGTTCATCAGTAAATAAAACGTGCCTTGCAAACAGCCTCGGTCATCTCGGCCCAGTGACAGATGGAACTCGGCAGAAAGGACGGTCCGTCCGGCGGAGAATCCATCAGCGCCTTGCCACTCGTTGGTTAGGGAAGGAAAGAAAAGAAAAAGAAAAAAAAGAAAAAGCCCTAACGAGCGCCGGCAGAACGGAAGGCGCTGGGGATGCTCCCGACTACGCTGCATATACCAGCACGTCCGGGCTGCCCTGGAATATAAAGCAATTCAGTTTGCTTTCAAAGTTTCTGAGCGGTAATCAAACTCTTCTTCAAAAAATTTGTTTCGTCTTTTTTCCCGTTTCTTTTTTTAAGTTATTGTCAGCCAGATAACGTCACTGAACTCCCTAACCCCCCTACCAATCTACTTCGAGGATCTACTTCACTGGTGGATCCATCCCTCCAAGGTACATACTTCTTCCGGTGTGGAAGCTGGTAACGCCACTCACTCACTTCTTCATTAGCTTATCTGATCGGATCGGAGCTTGTCCTTTTCCCTCTCGCCCTATAGGCGGTACATACATCCATCCAGACATTCGTACATACTGTACTTGCGTACATACATACACCTACAGATACATTGTTGATAACAATTGCGTCTTGACGATCTAATTGCGCTTCCTTGTGTTGGTTCCACTGCTCTTGGAAAGTCCCCCCGTGGAAATTTGTGTCTCGCGCTACGCGACTTACCCACGCTACCTATCATCTACTACTTATCTATACTTGTCCCGTGGCAACAATGGCATCATCTAGAACCGCAGCCCAGATGACGCTGCCCCTGCGACAATGTCTCTCTTGGGGTCGCATCTCCTCATCGTCGATAACTCCGCTGCTTCTGGCAGGGAGCCATCAACCCTCCCGCCTTGCTACTAGATGTCTCCTGCCCACGTGTATGTCTGGCACTGGCACCGCCTCTGCCCCGACATCATTCGTGCGCCATAGCTCGCATTCTCCGCTGAGCGCAACGCCCGTGACGTCCCGGAAGAAGGTCACCGTGCAGACGCTGCGCAGCCTCTATCGAAAGGGCGAGCCGATCACCATGATGACGGCCCATGACTTCCCCAGTGCTCATGTCGCGGAGGCGGCGGGCATGGAGATGGTTCTGGTCGGTGATAGCTTGGCGATGGTGGCGCTGGGAATGGAGGATACAAGCGAACTGGAGATGGATGATATGCTGTTGCATTGTCGGAGCGTGGCGAGGGCGGCGAAGAGTGCTTTTACGGTTTGTTCTCCCTCTCTTGATTTTAATTCGTGAGGGCTGGGCTAATTCATTTCCATTCAGGTTGCTGATCTCCCCATGGGTTCTTATGAGGTCTCGCCAGAACAGGCTCTGCAATCGGCCATCCGCATCGTCAAAGAAGGTCGCGTGCAGGCCGTGAAGCTGGAAGGAGGCACCGAAATGGCCCCGACCATCAAGCGGATCACGCAGGCGGGGATCCCCGTCGTCGGACACATCGGGTTGACGCCGCAGCGCCAGAACGCGCTGGGCGGGTTCCGTGTCCAGGGCAAGTCGACCGCGGGGGCCTTGAGTCTGCTGAAAGACGCCCAGGCCGTGCAGGAGGCTGGGGCGTTCGTGATGGTTCTCGAAGCCGTGCCCGCGGAGATCGCCACCATCGTGACGAAGAAACTGAGCGTGCCGACGATCGGCATTGGTGCGGGCAATGGCTGTTCGGGGCAGGTCCTTGTGCAGATTGACATGACCGGCAACTTCCCGCCGGGTCGGTTCCTCCCGCGCTTCGTGAAGAAGTATGCCGATGTCTGGGGCGAGGCCATGAAGGGGATGCAGCAGTATCGGGAAGAGGTGAAGAGTCGCGCGTATCCGTCGGAAGAATACACCTATCCTATTCCCAAGGAAGAGTTGGCGGAGTTTGAACGAATCGTGGAGAAGTTGGACGAGTAAAGAGTTGTTTAGTCTCTTTTCTTCTCTTGTTTTGTTTCACCATTTGCTTGCTACATGTTATTGTTACTGTTACTATTTCTCGTCCTGCCTGGCATAAGTGGTTTTTGTGATACCTCATATCATAGCTCATGTCTCATGTCTCATGTCTGTTAGAAAGCGATAGATGCCAGCTGGCTGTTCTCTACGCTGACCTATGTACATTTCAATCGAGTCAACTTAGACTTCGTTGCAATTCCAAGCATATCATACTCACCGTCTCCTCTCGACGCTGTACAACTCGTCACATCCCATCAACCAAACGCGGGCGTCATCGAGTACGACACGATCAATTGCTCGTCCGTCTTAAAGCACTGTCCACAACCAAGTTAACAAGATCCCGTGGAAGAAAAAAAACCCCAAGAAAAGAAAACTCACCCTCCACAACCCCCCCACGCCCTCATCAAGCCCCGGTGCAAACGTACTATTCACATAACAAATCACCGAATCAGACGGCTTACAGTCCAGCTTCTTGCGCAGGAAATTAACCACAGTCTCGAATTTCTGGGAAGCGCTGATCTTGAAGACGCGGGTTTTCAAGATCGGGGCTGCAGGTAAAGGTTGGAAGCGGACGGTGACTGTTTGTAAGTCAGCAAGCACACCAAAAAAGCCTCTTGGGTCATTGCAAACGCTGCGTGATGAAGAAGACACCAATCCAGTCGCATGTTCCTTTTTTTTTTTTTTTTTTTTTTTTTTTGGAGAGGGGATTAAGCGGGGAAAATAGAGTTATAAAAATTGATTGAATGGATGAAAGTAAATGAAAGGGGGGAAAATGGCCAGATGACCCTACAATGACGCTGCTCGCTCTATAGAGTCTGAGGCCTGACTTTCTTTTTTGGCGTTCACTGAGAGGGAAAACGGGGTGAATCTAATGCCCAGACACTGCCTATACTAATAGTTACTTACCCTTTCCTGTATCGATGGCCTCGGCATCCGCTAGTGCTTGATGCGCGTCCCGTGGTAGACTGGTTAAAACCACGGACGCGGACATGGTCAGTGGCAGGTCGGATCCATGCGCGTCATCGGGAATAGGGGCATCGGTGTTGGCAGCGGAGTCTGAGGCTTTATTTCGACTGGCCGGTCGATGGGGCAGATTAGTTTGGGCGATCCCGGGCGGATTCCGGTCTGGCTGGGGAGAAATTTGGCTGGAGGGGTATGAAGAGGAGGAGCCCATTTTGTGCATGATGATTGAAATGGAATTAAGATGGTAACAAAGAATGGGCTTGGAAAATTCTGTGTGCTGAATCTCACGGCTAAGGGATGGAGTGTGATGGGGATCAGATGGATGAATGACGGAGGAGGTCTTTACTTTTACTCTCTTTAAGACCGTCCGCGGGTTGAGGCATGGACACCTGAGGCCACCATTTGGTGAGTCTCATCACCAACAGCCAGTTCCATGGTGTATGCGGCATTAATAGGAATGAGTTCTGGTTTTCTAGACTTCCTTTGCTAGTGTTTATTATTGTCTAGTGTTCTTAGATATGCCTTCCGTCTAACACGAATTACCATCCTTTCATAGCACTAGGACTTGCTAGACTCCGTAGTAACTAGTACTTAGTTAGGGCATCCTAAGCCTGAGACTCAACTTCTACCCAAGGTCTTGTCTTAGAGAACTCTAGCTGATGTGGTCCTCAACCACTGATATACAGTATGAGAAAAGAAAGAATGACCTGGCTCTTCAATGATGAGTACCTGATCCAACTCGCCGGGTTTGCTACCTGATCATGCCCCACATGCGACACGATGCAAGACCAGTACTAAGTAGGGGGAGTAACTAGGAGTATAACGAAGAGTCACCGGCACCAGACTTGGTTGGAAGAACCACTCAGCTTGGGAGGTTCCCATCCACGATCTGCGTATGCGCCCAACTTGCAACCTTGAACCTATGAACCTACAAGATGCTGAATGATAACGCTGGCTGAGTCATCTGCAGGCGCACCTGACTCGTGCGGGCCGTGGTGCCATCATCGCCCGCTATCGTCAACCTTCCTCCCCTTCGCCTTCTCCCCTCTTCGCTCATACCTCCCTCCCACTTCTCTCAACTCCGGTCCCCCATTGCTCGACTCTCTCCTCCCCCTTGAAACCTGCACCTTCCCCGGTCTCTATACTTCTCTTACCTCCCCAGTCCCGCTACTTTGGCCACATCCAACTTACTTTTCTCGTTCGATCATCGCCACCGCCTCCGGCTCCTTTGTCCCCGCTCGCTCTATTGCTTCCCCGCTTCCACCTTGGGGACTAGTTGCTTTGTCCCAAGTCGCACAATTCGCCCTTTCCGTAGTCAGTCGACGCTTTGAATAGCTTGGATATCATTAGTGTTTGGAAAGAGATTACGGAATCTCCCCTATATCTTCAAAATGAGCAGTCCAAAGCGGAGAATTGAGACAGATGTGAGTCGGTGAACACCTCTCCGACCTGCTGCAGAGACCATATAGACTGACCCTGGTTTGACTCATCTAGGTCATGAAGTACGTTCCACCACTGCCTTCTATCTCTCCTTTTCCATTTGCGGTTGGTTGTACGACCGAATTCATGGCTAACCATCGAACAGGATGTATGCATACCCTTTCGTCCACTCCCAACACCGACCCCTCTAGTCTACCTCATGAGACTATTTGCCGCTATTGAACCACAAAGCTGGGACCGACTTTGACTGGGGATATGTGCTGATATACTTTTATAGGTTAATGAGTGACTACGAGGTAACTCTGGTCAATGATAATAGTGGGTTTTATCTAACATCCCATCCATTTGAACTTGCCTGCTGACCGTGCAATAGTGTATGTTGAATAAAGATATGGACTGCATCCCTGAAGGATACAAGCTCATGGGTTACACTTCTCCGCAGGCAAGAGTTCTATGTGCGCTTCAAGGGACCCGAAGAGAGTACGTATTGGTCCGTGCATTTTGATTCAGCGCGTCTCCCAGCTAACAGTGTTATAGCTCCCTTCCAAGGAGGGCATTGGAAAATCCACGTCGAACTACCAGATCAATACCCGTACAAGAGCCCGAGTATCGGCTTCGTCAACAGGATATTCCACCCCAACATTGATGAGCTGTATGTAAGCAATACCAGCCTAGCTTTTGAAGTGCCATCGCTGACGCCTCTTTTTCCCGGCATAGCTCGGGCTCCGTCTGCTTGGATGTCATCAACCAGACCTGGTCGCCGATGTACGACATGATCAACATCTTCGAGGTTTTCCTTCCGCAACTCCTGCGATACCCGAACCCCTCGGACCCGCTGAATGGTGAGGCCGCGGCCATGCTGATGCGGGAACCCAAAAGTTACGAGGCAAAGGTGAAGGGTACGTAATTTCCACCTGGTGTCTCGTGATTACGCAAATGGCTTATCATCAATAGAATACGTGGCCAAATATGCCAGCAAAGAAGCCGTTGACGACGCCGGGGAAGACACGGAGTCCGAAGATGAACTCAGCTCCGCTGGCAGCTACGAATCGGGCGGGGAAGAGCCGGCCGGAACCATGGACGACGTTTAAATCGCCTGCTAATATTTTCTCCCCTTCGGCTATGCCTTTTTGATGACTATAATGGATCTGGGAGTAATCATTCGCGACCAACGACCTTACATTTGCATCGGCATGATTTCCTTCCTATCATCTATCTGTCGTCTTATCGGGGTTGGGTTTCTCGGCGTTTATCCGGTGGAGTTCTGACGGTCATGGTGCAACTGACTTAACTACGGCTGTAAGGACGTGAATCAGCAAAAGTCGAGCTGGCTTTACGAGCAATCGCTCAATCGGCGAGGCCACTTAAATCTTTCGCTTCATTGTCTCGCCTTGCGCTACCGTGTCTGGACTCTGTGTTTCATAGTCTCTATTCTCTTTTTCTTTTTTTTTTTTTTTTTTTGCTTGCAATTTTTAAGCGCTGTGGTCTCCCGTTGCTTCTATTTTTTTTGATTCTATTCTTCTCTTATCTTCTTTTTCTGAATTAGTCTTGAAACTCCCGCAAGCAATAGGTGCTGGGTTTTGATTCTATGTCTCTTTCCTCTCCACCTGTCATATTATTATGCTACACAATATGAAATATCTAGAGAAATATCGTCTTGTCTAGCACGTGCTCTGTAGTAGGTATGGAATTACAGTAGATCTCGTAGATCATGTGCCTCCTGTCTTCACTGGCCCCAGTTAAAGTGAACTATGATGTCATTTCTAATGCTTCACGGCGCAAATAGCTAATTCGAGCGAGCAAGTAAGAGACATGTAATACATAAGAAAGGGCCGAGTTCTTTGTTTGGCAGTAATTGTGAACTTCAGTGATTGGAAAACATGCAGCAAGGGTATTATGATAACTATGTCTCTAAAAAGGGGGTGGGTTGAAATGAAGAGGGAAACAGAAACAGATCAAGAAAAAGTAAAAGCAAAAGGAGAAGGGAAGTCAAAAGGAGAGTATAGACCGTCGACCGGCGACCTATGGAACGGGTTCAAGGAAGGGAAATGAAGCAGCAAAGGCATCAAGAAAGAGGCGGGATTAACCCACTCAAGGGAAAAGAAAAGAAAAGAGATACTAGGGAAAAGATCTCCCAAGATATGAAAAACCGTCACGTCGTTGTCCACTCAAGACCACCTAGGGAGATAGATCAAGAAACCTGTAAAACGCCGAAGACGTCGCGAGTGGCGGTCTCGTCGTTCGATCCGGAGCGTGCCTGCTTGCCTTTTCGCGGGTTGATGACTACTTCGCCCCAGTGTTTGGGCACGGCGCCGGGCATGGTCGCGGAGTCTTTGCCGGATGATGAGGGGTGTTCTGATGGCGGCGAGGTGGTGATTCTCACGGGGACATCGTCTGTGGCGCCGGATTTCGATGTCGAAGGGGACGCGGGACCGTGTAGCGTTGCTTGGGGTTGGAGGTGAGGTTGAGGTTGGAGGGACCAGATGTCAATGACGTTGCTGTTTGTAGGCGTTAGTCGTTGGCTCTATTCCAACTCCTGTGATCTAAAGCGATCATCTGCGATAACAGGAGATTGCGCCGGCAGATCGAATTTCCTAGACAAGAGGGACTTACTCCGAGGTCCGTTGACATATCGCTTCTAGGGCTTCCCGTTCGCGCTTTATGTATCCGGTGTCCGGTTGAGAGACCTGGTTGGCATGATTGAGGGCTCCATATCCGTATCCGGACTGGTAGATATCATCGTCGAGGAGACGCGAGGATTCGGAAGACTAGTAGAGAAAGGGAGAAAGAGGCGAAGTTAGCCACCGCATCCCCTGGATCCCCGTCGCAAGATTCTGATCGCTGCATGGGTACTTACATCTTGACTGTCTCGTCGACTGCCGAGACACGAGGCGCAGATACCCATTTATACCGAAGCAAGTCTCGATCGCGAGATGGGAGCACAAGACATTCAAGACCGGAAGAACCCGAGGAGGGGATTCGCAGATGACGGAGTCGGTAATCGAAGGTTGGAATAAACAGCGTTGCGGATGCGACAGAAAAACAGGAAGAATATGAAAACGAGCGATGGATGCCCAGAGCAGAGCAATGGCGACGCACCAACCGGTGATGCTGGGAGAGATTGGGCGATGGAATGGAATCGATGGATGAAATGGACTGACTGATCTGATGGCTGGCGGGATGGAGAAATGCGGAAGGCAGGTTGGCCCGTGCGCCCCCGATGACATCGGAAGATCCCCTTCTCTCCCTCGCCCATCATCTGATGCTTCTTCTCGCCGCAAGGGATATTCCCGTATCACAGGATCACAATCAGATCGCCGGTCAGCTTCTCCATGCAGAAAGATCATCGTATCTGATTTGATAACCCCTGGTTACCCCATGCCATTGGGGTTCGATGACAATCTGCCCGGAGCTGTGCAATGTTGGTTGCTGGCGCTGCCATGTTGATACGCCACTCCCAAACAGAGTCGATGCAAGGGCTTGCTCTTGGCTTGATTGCGATCGCTGCATCACTGGCTTTTATCGGAGATCATATGCATACTTAGTCTCCTCATAGGCTCATACTTGTCTCCTTGACATCGGGGTACATAGGTCTAGAGTATGATATTATGGGGTCATGGAGGATGGAACTAAGGTCATGCGCTGAGTTTTGGAATGGTCTAGTGAATATGCAGCTAACAGCCTGTCGACGCCCATCTCCATGGATACTTGAGCCCTATACTCTGCGATCTTCACTTGATCCACTCCATGCAGGTGGGCGGTTGATACTGTGGGCTGTTGCTATAGAGCATTACCAGGTAATCATACCGGAGCCAGCCCACAGGCACCGCCGAAGGCTAGAACCTTCGCGCCTTTGCCGGGAACACTAAGACGAGAGTACAATTCTAGTACCCTGAGTCGACACCCGCTATCTAACACAAGGCGCAACATCCTGTCACAAAGTCTTTTTCTGACCAACTCGTTTTTTCCTTCTGATCTCCATATCACCCTGCGCAAGCCACTTGCTCGCCTCTACTAAATGGACCACATTCACATACTGCTTGAAAAGCATGAAGACTGAGGAGAGGGCAAGCAAAGCCCAGGGAACGGCACTATCGATCTTATTGGCGCTAGGATCATTGTTAGTATAATGTACACTGTACCCTAAATACCGTGTCTGGACCTTACCGAGCCATTTCCATTGCTCCAGCGCTCCACGGTGAGCTCCATGTTTGCGGTCACGTGGGCTGGGTGACACTAGGATTTTGGTCCATCAAAAGCGATGGCACCAGTGTCGGAGAGGAGAATGAGAGCAGATACAGCGCGATGCTGAACCCGACAGACAACGACAGCGAGACATACTGTGTTCGAATAATAGAGCCGCATGGCCCAGGGCCGATTCTCGTCGATCTGTTTGTGACTTTGGCGACTTCCACCCATGGCCAGGGTGGCGTACATATGAATATAATGGCTTGAATAATCCAAGCTGATCCGACTTTGATATAGGATGCTCCATCGGGGGAATGCGCTCGCGAGGAACACCAGTAAACAGGTCGTCGTGCAACGGTCGGTGATCATATCCACGTCTGCACCGAACCGGGTGGATTGGTCCAGGCGACGAGCCGCCGCTCCGTCTAGAGCATCAAGGAGGCACGATATGCTGTAGAGAAGGGAGCATGTTCGAGGATGGAGGGGCATGTAGTAGAGGGATGCCACGGCGAAGACGATACGGGTGTATCCTAGGGCATCTACTGTGAGGCAGACTATGGTGGGAAAAATAAACCGATCAGGTTGGGGACGAAGAGGAACACATTCTCCTGTCTGTCATCGGGGGAAGGCGTTGGCATCCTGGATCTTTGACCTTCCGAGGGTCTTTAGGTAGCTAGATGCAAATGGCTGTTCAGGAGGTTCACAGGCGGAGGCGATCGGACCTGGGCTTGCACAGTTAATCCTGCGGCAATGGTCGTTAATTAGCCATCTTACCTCCTGTGGCCACACTAATCTATAAAGTCGACCTGCTCCTCTAACTGCAAGTACTTGTCTTCTCACTCAGCGCTCGAATACATTCTATCTTGGATACCATCCACATCCCCTACTGTCTCCTGTAGTGGATGAATCGATGACATCGGCTCTTTCTCTCGGAATCAAATCTTCGGCATTGGAAGCACGGGCTTAGTAAATTCGATATCTTTAAGAATGTCCCGCCAGGTTGTGATCGGGCTATATGGCCCCAGAGAGAGGATCTCCCCAGTACGCAGGGTATCTGGCTCGGATCCATAATTGAGAGATGTTGGACCAAGGGTGGATTCCACAGTGCCTATGACTTGTTGAAGGAACTGGAATCTGTTTCGATCGAGACCCAACCGGTCGAGGAGGTATTTTTGCCATCCTGGCAGATGCCGGGACCTTTGACAACTACGCTGGTGGTTACACTCGGTGCAATTGCTGTTTACTCTTGGAGTAGGAGGCATAACTGAGCTATTCACTTCAGGCGGTCGAAACGCCCCAACGAAACTGTATTCTTGGGCTAGGAAAGCAGTGAGCGCGCTTTGGGCGTAGTTAGTATTACGGGAAAGTTCTTCTCAAGGTTCATACTCGTACATATCTAAATAGGACCGTGATCTCTTTCTGGCTATTGACATAAGAATGACCTTGTCATGTCGGACCAAGGTATCCCTGAATACACTCCATTATAGAGACAGATTTTCCTCGAGTAACTACAGGCTGATTTACGTTGTGAAGTTGGAGCATGGGAACGGTCTTCAGGATACAACAAAGCTTTACGATTAAGTCGAAAGATGAACAGCAGCGATGAACTGAAGGATGCACAGAAATCAATTATTTGCTCGTAAACCCCACCCATATTCAATCCAAGAGTTCTGGTTCCCTACTAGCAGTCATGATCAACGCACGGAAAGCATAAATGAAGCAGAAAAACAACGGATGCCAAGGACAGAAGAAGATTTCATAACATCAGAAAGAAACAAGGAAATTATAATGGAATAGAAAACTGAATGAGAAAATCACATTGCGATCTGGCGCGAAAGTCTAGGAATAGGTAATAACACGAAAAACATATGTGCAGTTTTAAGGGCATTAGGGAGTTGTTTTTGTGAAAAAAGGAACAGAAAGATCCACCCTCCGTCTACTCCCAAACATTAGAAAATAAATCATCAGCGCCACCAAACCCGCCAGCCGGTTTAGTCGAACTCGTCGCCGTCGTGCTCGACGACACAGGGGCTGCGCTGGCCCAGCCGCCGAAGTCCTCGTCCGCGGCCACCGTGGGGGCTGGCTTGGAGCTGGAAGCTGATGGGGATGGGGCACCCCAGCCAGCGCCGATGTCGTTAGCGGTCAGGGTATCCGGTACCTTCATCATTGAGGCCGCAGTGGTGGCTGTAGAAGGCGCAGGGGGCGCGGGATCAGGGGTGGACCAAGCGTTACCGCCGCCCCACGGGTCAATGCTTGCTGGCAGAGCGCTGGCGATAGACGCTGTGGATGCAGCCGGTGCCTGGGGCTTAGGTGGAGGCGGAGCACTGATGTTGAAAGCGGAACTCAGCTCCTGTTGCGGGGACGAGATGGGCGGGGGAGGAGACCGCGACGCCGCAGCTGCCGGAGCTGGGGGCGCAGACGACAGGCCGAACAGATCATTTGACAGAGACGATGCTGGTGGCGAGGTCGGCTTGGTGGGTGGGGGAGAAGCAAAGCCGCCGAAGCCAGAGTCAAATCCGTTGGAAGAGATCGAGGTGGTGCGAGACTGGGGCTTGGCCGGGGGGATGGTGGGAGACGTGAGGCTGTCGAACAAGCTGCCTCCACCACCGGTGGAAACGGTAGGAGATGAGACCTTGGGAGCGGCCGGAGTCGATTTGGCAAAGCTAGTCAGATTGGCAAAAGGCGAGGGCTTCTCGGCGGGCTTCGGAGGTGGAGGAGACGTGGTCGACGGGAAGCTCAATCCGCTGAATGCATCGGTGAGACCACCCATGGAAGAGGCCGACTGCGGTGGAGATGCCAGATCGCCGAACGAGGAGGTCCGCTGATGCTGCGCCGGGGCAGGCTGAGGCTTCGAGTAGAGCGACAGGATGGATTGCTTTAGATCTGGTCGAGACATGCCAGTAGGGTTAGTCGGTGTTGAGGCCGTGCTAGCCGGACGGCTGGCGGCGGCCGGCTCGGTGCTGCCGAAGAAATCCAGCCCAAGCAACGAGTCTCCCGGGCGTTGGGGCTTAGGGGCAGCCTGCGCCTGCGGCTGTTGCTGTTTCGGCGCAGCTCGGGGTGCAGGTTCGGTCGTGCTAGGGCGCACCGGAGGAGAGATGTCATCACCAAACAGATCGATGGCAGGTTGTTGTTGGCGGCGTTGGGGCGCGGGGGGTTGGCTGGAGGTAGCCACTCGTTGAGAAGCCGAGCGCTCGAGTTTCGCCTTTTCTTGAACGACCGCGAGGGGCTTCAAGATCAATCAAGTCAGTGATTTGTCCCATTGGCAAACTCGGGGTCTCGTATCACTTGCCACATCGTCATCACCGACATCCAGTGTCGCAGGGTTGGGCATTGGGCCGTCCATCACCCATCGCTTGGAATCGTACTTGGTCCGGATAAAATTCTCAATCTTACTATCCCCATATCTCTATTAGCCAAACACTTGCAACGGCCGAGGGAAGACGCGGGTGACAATTCCACTTACGCTTCCGAGGGAACATGACCGGGTGCCAGTTTCGCTTCCCAGTATCTGCCAAGAACCCATCCATCAGCACACATTCTCACCAGGATGAACAAAAAGCCAGTCTCCAGGGGGTAGCGCACTTGTTGGCCCTCGCATTGCCCCATCTCAATACACTCTGCAGTTGTTCATCGGTCCACGCATCGAGATCCACGGATTTCACCCGGCTGATATGGGTACCCATTCCCCTATGAATGCCAGAGCAGCGGATACAAATAAAGATGCCTAGGTTCCAGGAGGCCCATCGTGGATCTACCAAGGCAATTGTCAGTCTCCTTGTGCTCCGAGATCGAGTCGCCAGGGTTCGGGACCGCGGGGGGAGGGAAGTATATCAGCAGCCAGCCCACTCACGTTTATTGCGTTTGCAATCGGCACATGTCTTGTTGTACTCGAGTTTGAGCAGGTTCTTGATGGTCTGCTGGTTCTGAGCAGCCTGGGATGGCGTCGCGCGTCGAGACATCACAGCGGGCGAAAGCAATCCACTCGAGGCAGGCTGGCAGAGCAAAGGGAGGACGAGGACGGGCAGAAAGGAGGATGAAACACGAAGGCGACTCTCCGATCGATCGTCGGTCAGGTGGCGGTTGCTGGCCTGAGGCCGCCCGGTGTGGCTGCCCGATCCGGCGCCGCACAGGCACCATATATGCAGCTCTACGGCAGTATAAGTCCGGATTCCACTCAACTCCATCTTCATGATATGACACGCGCTATCTCATGCTACACTAGTTGTTTTTCCATGGTTTACGCCTTTGACTTCGGCTCGCCTCCATCCGCTTGGAACCGCAGACTAACACTATTCACGCAGTGCCTCTCATCCGTCGGTGTCTGGTACCCTTCGCCCTTGAAAACATGTCCCAAATGACCTCCACAGTTGCTGCACACAATCTCCGTCCGCTCCATGCCAAATGAACTATCGGTGTGTCTCGTCACCGCACCGGGAAGAGAATCGAAATACGCCGGCCAGCCGCAGCCGGATTTGAATTTGTGCGAGGCCTTATATAATGGCGCATCACAGCCGGCGCAGCCGTAGACACCCTCGGTGGGATAATGGGAGTCGTATTTGCCGGAGCCTGCACGTTCGGTGCCTTTTTCACGGAGAATGCGGAATTGCTCTGTGGAACGTTTGGTTCATGGTTAGAGACTGACTTAGGTCTGTTTCTCTCGCGACCACATCAACAGTGCGGGGAGAGGGGAAGAGGAAACCAACCTGGGCTGAGAACGGCGCGCCAGGAGTCGTCACTTCGCTGGTCGGGGTAAGACATTCTGTCGTTGGCACTTGAACTGAACAGGGAGCTCAAGAAGGGGATCGTTGGAGCGGCTTTCAGAACAGTTGCTCCGGGTCGAGCGAGAGGTGGAGCTATTGCGGCTCGGCGTATGACGCGGGATCGGAGGGGAATGGCGAACGTACGGAGAGAAGAATACAATGTCTGGAAACGCATCAGGAGATGAGTATGGAAAATGGATGAAAGAGGAGGAGAGACCGAACGCTGAGGTGATTCTCGATTGAAGATTCTCGATTCGAGATATACTTGAGAACTCCACTCCGAGTCGCCTCTGGCCGAGCCCCACATGACGTGTGAAAATGATTCAATCGGATTATTCATTGGTCACGTTTTGCAGTCACATCAATAAGGTAGATCAGCTCTGTATGGATCTAGTATCTACCGAACAGTAACTATACTTCATGACAACATCTCCTAGATACTCCCTCCACTAGATTTTGAAAATATACACATGCACATGGGTATCTCCTTAAATAAAAACGACAAATCTCAACGACGTCGCACCTTTCCAGTAACCGTCAAAACACCCTCCCCAACCGCCACCTTCCAGCCCTCACAAGCCAACATCTTACCCACAGCCGGACCCAGACGAGAGGTTCCGTCGTGGCTGTGACGCCCGACTCCGGTGACGATGCGATATCCCCCACGGATGGAATCGTTGCCTCCCCGGACATACTTGGCATCCCCGAGGGAATCCCACCAGTCTGCGACTCGATCGCTGGCAATGCGAACGGCATCCTGTACCGAGACTCCGTGTAGATCCAGCATGTTGGACGTCGACTGCGAGTCCACCAAGGCGTCGGCAGCCTCTGCAGCGTTGCGCTTGGCCTGCTCCAAGTGATCTCGTCCCACGGAGGAATAGTAGGCAGCCGCACCGCCGAAGTGTCGATCAGACTTGCCTCGTTTGTACGCCATTGAGGCTTTAGAGAGGGCCTCGGCACCGGCTGCGAAGTGAGCTCCAGCGGTGCTCCGTACGGTTGTGTAGTCTCGAGCGATCCGCGCTGCAGCTTTCCGCTGTGATGGTGTTTCTTCGTCGTCCATGTCAAGTGGCAGTGGCGCCGCGGTAATCTTAATCAACTCAGATACGGACGGAGTGGTCGGTCCGGTTAACATCGCGTCTGCCAATTCACTGGCGGCCGAGGTTGAGCTCCTTGTAATTATGAGAAGACCGGCAAATGTTGCTGGTGGAATAGAGGGAAACTCCTGCATCAGCTCGGCCACCTGGGCCATCCTGACTGGGTCTTGATCGATATCTTCCTCCTTTGCCGGAGCAGACGCGCTAGCGAGAGACCGAATGGTGGATGACAGTGAAGCTCCATTGGCATGATAAGTAGACGTGACTGTTTCTTTCTTTAGAATAGGAGAGGTGCGCGAATGAATGAAGTCAACATCTTTCTGGGCAGAATCCCATTTGTTGATGGGGCGAGGCGACTCCAACTCTTCCGAATCAAAAGCAGACACTTCTTGGCTCCTGGCGGGTTTGTTTTTGCCCTTGCGCTTGCGACCCTTTTTACGCGAGATGTCGGCATCGAAGCCGTCCTGGAAGCCGTCGATTCCTTTCGGGATCGCAACCTTGGCGTCGGGCTCGTTCGAGGGTTGCTCGTCAAAAAAGACAAGATTAAGCAGAACGTCCATCGACCGATCTACATCTCCACTCGACTTTTGCAAGGTATGCTGTATGCTGTAATAGTCCGCTGAGGGGAACATTTCTGTCAAGTACGTAATCTTATCTTCTTGGGTCGCCCCGGAAAGACGAAGAGAGCCATCGGCAGCCACTGTATACGACACACGCTCGGAGAGCCCAGATTGGTCTTTCCTATGATTCTTGTTCTGATCATTGATACTGGATGAGGAAAATTCGGAGACCAGGCTGGTCAGATCTGTTTCGCGCGACGGTACGGTGCCGTTTTGCGACACGCTGCGCTCCGACGGGATGCCGTCCGCATCGAGGCCTTCCACCGATCCTAAGCCGCTCGTACCGGAAGGGTCGAAGGGAAGTCCTTCCTGTTCCCATGCGGACAATTTCAGTGTATCTAGGGTGTTTCGAAGGTCTTGGATCTGAGTCGCGTCTGTGAGGTCATAGTCACAGACGATGGCGGTAAATAGTGCTGCGTCGAGAGGTGGGCAATAGGATTCTTCCAATTCCTAAAATCCCAAGAGCAATTAACCACCGAGTTGTATAGCAAACAATACCAGCAAATATCTACGTGGGGCTTTCTAACGCGAGCGACATAGGATGCGAAAAGGGCCAAGGACTTACTCTAAATAAGCTGTCACTTTTGTCATCCATCTTCGAAGTCGCTAATGATACGTCGGGGGTGTATTCGGGGGTTCCTGGGCATGCCTCTATGTGTTTCCAAACAACAACTGGACTTCGGGCAAGGAGGAAAATCCCTGCGCAAAGAATCTGACTGGGTTGTGGGAGAGACGAGAAGCGCAAAGTGGGAATTCTGGAGCGGGGGAGAGAGTCAAAACGACACCACTCGGGGATGACATAATCGGTTGGATGACTCGTGCTTTCCACGTCATGTGTCTTGGGCCTTTTGGTCTTTTGGCTGTGCGATGTATAAACACACCGCTCTACCACCAATACTCGGTGTCAAGGCTCTCCATCTGAGTCATATCTTTGGACAAGATGGTGAATGACTAGTATCATACGGGAATTGTTCGTTTCCGTCCTTTTGCAACTCACCAAATAACATTCTCATAACGATAGCAACATATTTCTGGTGATTTATTCCGCCAGTATCTAGGGGACATAAAATGTCTTGGAACTGATAATGGCATGGATTCCACAATAATCGGAAACAAAGAACAGGAAAAAGAAAGAATAATTGAAGGAATCAAAGAAAAACCTAACACAAGCGACAAATAAAAAGGTTCGAAACATCAAACTCAGGCTGAGGCTTCTTGTTCCTCGTCAGCTCCAACCTCCGGCTCGGGTGCATCGTCAGGTGTCTCTGGCACATCCTGGCCACCTCTAATGCCCACGAGTCCATCCGTCACGGAATCTTCAGTGGTATCTGGCAAACCGGTGGGTTGGCCGAACGACTGTCCACCAAATCCTGAGAACGTGCCTGTCGCAGCATTGTTGTAGGGACTCGGGGCCCCATTGGTCGTGGCGTTCTCATCGGTCTCGTTGTCGTTGCCAGGCGGCCACGGAAAGTCCGGGAAACCTCCATTGCCTGGAAATCCTGGGAGAAGACCAGAAGTGTCCTGGGCCTCGTCGGTTTCTTCTTGTCCCTGAGTGGCACCATTCTCTCCCCCTTGGCTTGGGGGAGTGGTAAAGCCCGTGGGACCTGCAGACCCGGTTTGCTGACCGAAGCCTGAAAAGCCACCAGCTCCAAAGAAACCTCCATCCGGGGAATCTGTGACGCTCTGGGAGGGGTTCTCACTTTCTCCCTCTTGGTTTGTAGGGTTAGAGAAACCAGACTCTGATCCTTGGCCAAATTCTCCCTGACCTAACCCGCTCTGACCGAATCCGCCCTGACCAAATCCTCCTTGACCGAACCCTCCTTGGTTGGAGGAGTCAGAGAAACCCGGATAATCAGATTCCTGGCCGAAGCCAGAAAACCCGGTGCTTGGTGAAGGACCTTCACCTTCTCCTTGGCTTGGGAAGCCTCCACTAGGGAAACCACTTCCGGGGAGGCTACTGGAAGCTGGTGCTTCCGTACCTTGAGGGGTATCTTTGCCTACGGCTTGGCCAGGAGGGGCAGAGGTTTCCGGGACAACATCGTCTTCCCCTTGGTTGGGGATGTTAGCTTCCCTGGCACTTACTTGAGCTCCATCATCTGCGGGAAGGTTGGTAGAGACCGGGGGCTCGGCGGCTTGAGAAGCATCTGCACCCTGTCCCTGGCCCTGAGCGTTAGAGAAGCCCGGGAAACCTGAGCCCTGGCCGAAGCCTGAGAAGCCACCGCCTCCGGAGAAGCCTCCACTGGGGAAACCACCAGCACCACCGAAGGGGTTACTGAAGGCTGAGGCATCTTGGCTCGGAGTGTTGGAGAACCCCGGAAAACCTCCGCCGCCGAAGCCACCACCTCCTTGGAAAACCCCACTAGGGAAGTTTCCACCGCCAAAAGGGCTATTAGAGGCTGGGGCTTCGGTAGTTTGGGGAGACTTCTGGTTCTTTCCCTGGCTTGATGAACTAGGAAAGCCTGAGAAGCCGCCTCCGCCGAAGCCTTCGCCGAAGCCTCCGCCGAAACCTCCGCCTGTAGGAAGGTTACCGGATTCCGGGGGCTCGGCATTTTGAGAAGTGCCCTCACTCTCTGCTCCTTGGGTTGGGGAGGTGGGGAAACCAAAGCCACCGAAGGACGAGCCCTGCCCCTGTCCGGCACCGGGGAAGCCCCCACCGCCAGTGAAGCTTCCACCTCCTGGGAAGCCTCCGAAACCTGAGCTCTGAGCGCCCTGGGTTTGACCACCGAACTGGCCTCCGCCGAACCCGGGGAATGAGAATCCACTCATGGGGTTTGGGGCCGCGTTTTCTGCCGTAGCAGAGGAGTTGGGGTCTGCGACATCCTGACGCTTAGATGCCTGCGTCGTTCTGGTTGGGTTCTCGTTTTGGTTATTACCGAAAGGGAGGGCAAGGGCCGAAGTGCAAAGCCCTAAGATGACTGTCGACGTTTGGGGCTTCATGGTGAAGAAAGTGCCCAGGGGTCAAGGAGATGTTCGAAAGAAGGGGGTTATCGACGATCCAAAATGTGGGCAAGTCCGTGATCATATATATCATTCTCTGTCTTGATAACCTGAACAGACCGCATCTGTAAGGACGCAGCAGAATTTCGGGTCCGAATGTCCTACTCCGGAGGAGGAAACGGTACCTTCCAAGTCCGGGGTGAAACGAAAACGGGCATGGGTCCTGGATGGGCTGCGATCTAGACAGATTGGCCGAATTTGTCTATCTGTCTGTCTGTCTTCGTCCATGTCTTCGTGCTTTCGCCATCCTTCATCCTCTTCCCAATCCTAAGAATGACTAGATATAAGACCTCATCCAAGGAAAAATTGACCGAATGCAAAATCCAGGATTCCTCAAACCTTGATAGAGCTGTGACTCTATCGACGTTAGAAACTCCATATCTTCAAACCTCATGTTTCCCTTGTACCGTACCAAGAGAGGGAAAAAGGCCCTCGCACAACAGTCAGTGGTGAGTAGCAGACATGTGAAACGGCGGGCGCAACCGAGATGGTTCCTGAGAAGATCAGCAAGCTCTCTGGCAGACGTTGACGACCTGTGCTACCTCCTTTGTGTCATCCTCTTAAGACTGAGTTGACCACCCACGGTTACCAGTGGGTATGAGACTTTCATTCCCTTATCGAAACTACCTTACCACACATTCACCTACTTGGAGCAATACCACCACCTTTCTCAGGAGTCTTATCGACTGAGGGTGGGACTGCACCCTGAGAGGACATTTCCATGTGCTAGCCCACCCTCCTTTCTCTCCGTCCGCAAACAGCCAGCTGCCCATGGATACAACCACACAATTCTCCGATTCCGTCTACCCACCATTACTACTCACCTTCTCTCTCCTCCACTTAAACAAGCTGGCAAGGTCCGCTCGGGAAAATATCCCGGGTTTTCGTCTGGTGGAAATCCACCCTGCCTAGATCTCTTCGTGCAGAAGGTAGGAAGTAGGTAGGTCTTCACATGCAGAGGGCAGCAGCTGCACCTAGATTGATCTCGTCATCTCTTGGCAAGAATGTGGGCCTTCCTTAGGTAGATAGATGGGTAGTTAGTTGGCCCTGGTGTTCGTGGTAATGTGGGAGGTAGCCGCGCGGGCTCAACCTTCTGTACCCGTACCCAACTACATTGCAACGCTACTTTATGTTGTTAGGTTTTTCTCCCGCTGGAGAATCATATCATCAGGGTTGTATTTTGCATCAATGAGATTATCCAATCTGAACAGATGCTGAGGATTGTCGTGGTAGCACTCGGCTCTTGAGAGTAACGGAAACGGAAAGCCGCATTCCTGACTGACGATCTGTGGCGCACCAGAAGACCAAGCAATGGTTCCAGAGCAATTGCCGTGCCCTACTGTTGGAGAAATCAAGGGGGGGGAAAAAGAAAGCCTTGAACTTTGAAACTTGATCTCAATTCTCCGACATCCCTGTACTAGTACTACGTCTTTTGAAGGACTGGGAACAACAAGGTGGCGATTGACTTAGATATACCCAAGAAATAACAGTAATACAAAACCACGACGTTTATTTGATCCTCTGTTAATTTGCACGTTCAAATCCGGTATTACAAATGGAATCGAGGGTCTTTTCTCAAGGTGTTTATTACCCCCCGAGGCATTTCACATTCATCTCTCGTCCCCAATCAACCTCTACTATACCGTATGCGTATGCATGATAACCATGTCTATGTAAGGTGCATGTCAATCATACCTGATAATCGGAACCACTGCGCAGATATATGTCGTTGCATTGACTATACTCTCGGGAAGCTAATATAGCGGTCCGGTTCAATATCCAGGCCTTGCCTCCAACGGAGCGGTGAGAGAAGCACTTCCAGTCCGGCACAGTAATTTCTATTTGATGCTGTGTCTATCGCAGTCATCAGGATAATAGGTGGGTAGCGAGAAGGCGAAGCGTAAGGGAGAAAGCAAAGTATCTGGGAAGTAAACGCTAAGTAGCTGTCTACCGTGTTGCGCGTTTTTGTTCAACATGCTGGCGACTCCGGACCATCGTTACGCACGCTGTCGTAAGCACGACAATGGTCTATTTATGGGGCATCGTGAAGTGTACAACTGGTCTGGAGATGCTGTTATAATTAGATTAAACAATGGTCATTCAGCGTCGACCACCTAGAACGTGACGCTATAACGTGGCAGGTGCGAGATGAAGAAGGCCTCAGGCGCATCGAACTCCCATGGAATTCTACGTGTCAGTAGGGAGGAACAATGTTGGAATCCGACGGGAATACAGCGTACAGTTGCAGAGCGCAGTGCTTTGTCGCCTCCTACCAGCTAATAATAGCTTCGGCATCACAAGTTCGAATCACGCCTGGACTACCCTGCACGCCATGGTTCTTGCTGTTGCCATTGAGTCACGCAACTACCTATTAGCCAGATTCGGGAGAATATAAAGGCAAAATCTCAATAGTTCGTGCAGACCGGCAGTTCGGGATGTGATATGTCGACTCTGGAAGCGGCTGGGGATGATATGTATACCGCTCGGCGTGCGAATCAGAAGTTTATTGGCAAGCCAAAAATCCCTAATGTGCAGCGCATAAACAAGCCTTGTCCGAAGGCAAACTCAGAGCTCAACTCCGATTAACGAGATAGGCAAGAAAAGAAAAGGGCAATCGGAGGCGAGTCCACGTTATCGGTCGTACGCAACCCTCTCCCTTCCAATGCGCCAAGTATTGCTCAACGGACTGGATTGCGGAGTCGTCGTAATTCGTTCGATTTCGGTGTTCTTCGAAGTCGCAATTGAATGCACTGTGTATTTCTGATAGCACGATAATGAAAATCTGAGATTTTTTAGGCAGCAAACATGTTGTCGTGTTAAGATTGTTCAATCGCCGACACTAGTTGGCCATTATGTAGCCTCTAATGTATGCAGGTTCGTAGCTAGCTTTATCAGACTTTCAGTTGATCCCCACCGATGTGTCAACGATCGTCAATTAATTGTCGAGCCGACAAAATTTATACACACGTCGGTTTTAGGCAGCTCCTCGGTTTCGCCATCAACAAGGGTCAGCCCGAGGAACAGGTACCCCGTGCAGTAGGGATTAGAGGAAAAGAAAGGAAGAAAGAAGCACAAAGGCCAAAAGAAAATAGCATCCCCTGTTGGATAATACGTCATGATCGTAACTAAACGTATGCCAAAGGGCAACCCTTGAGAAGGAAGATGCCTCCTGCACGCACGGGCAGAGCCCCGTCGTGCTGGACACGGACTGCCTTAACGTTACCCTAGATTTCCCAGAACCAGTCAGGCGAGGTCAGTTTTTCTGCAATGTCTTCTCGAGTCTGCCAATTAAGAGTCCCGATGATGAGAGGATCGGTGGGATTCGCGGACGAGGGCGAAAGAAGGATAGATCACCTGTGGCCCCCCTCGCTTTAATGCAGGATGCTGCTCCCTGTGCTTGCGACCTCAAAGAACACCGAGAAAACTCAATTTAGATTTCTCCTATCGGTCAATCCGGAAGGACCTGAATGGCCTCCGAAACGGAAGGAGCGAGCCCTGGAAACATTGGCCGATCGCTCTTGCCATGGCTTCTTCTTGCGGTGTATGGAAATGCCTCCAGTTGCGATATAAAGACCCCTCGTCGTCCCTTCCAAGTTGCAGCCTATTCATTCGATTGCATTCCAGTCTATTCCAGTCTATCGCTGATTTATAAATACATTGCTGTTGTTTTTAATACTTCACTACCTCGTTGATCGAGCTGTCTTGGATTCTTTGTGATACCTTTTATACCATTTTCGCACATATCACTTCACAATGCGTTTCAACGTTCTCTCGATTATTCTCTTTGCAGTCTCCTGCGTGGGTATGTGATTGAATCTGCTGGCCGTGGTTGTGATCAAGGGATTATCTGCTAACGTTGCTCGATTCGAAGCTCTCACTGTCACATCGCCCAAGACCGGGGCCAAGGTTGATTTGAGCAAGGAGTACGAGATCAAGTGGAAGTCCGTCCAGTAAGTGACTGATGCCATGTATAGAATGTTCCTCGCATACTAATCATGCATAGGTCGGACCCAACCAAGTTCAGCATCGACCTGGTCAACATGAACGGCTCCAGCGCCAACAAGGAGATTGCCAAAGATATCGACGCCTCCCAGGGCTCCGTTAAAATCGACCCCGTTTGGGGTATTCCGAAGGAGTATGTCTGGTCCAATTTGATACACCATGGGCAGACGAGATGATTGGGCTCGCAATACGCCCTTCAGTTCGAAGCTAATCTTGTCGCTTTCACTACAGCGCCGGCTACCAGCTCAACTTCATCTCTCGAGACAAGATGAACACCGGCATTCTCGCCCAGTCGCAGGAATTTGAGGTCACCAAGGTTGCTGATAAGCCCAAGAACAGTAAGAGAGACTCTACATTTTCTTCCATCACCACATCTACACCATAAACATCACTATCTTCATCACCACCATCACCATTGTCATCATCACCACACACAGCTACCAGCACCAAATCTACTTCCCGCCCCTGCATCAAACATCAAACACTTTCCAGCTCTACTATACCATCATCTAGCACCATTCCCGCCTGCTCTGCAGCACCGAGTGAGTATACACACGAATTAAGAGAGAACGGTCATTAACATAATATTCTTCCGCAACAGAAACGACCACTACCTCTAGCTCTTCGAGTCCCACCGAGTCCACTGCTGCGCCCACCAACTCCACCGCCGGTGCCTCTTCCCTCGCGATTCCGGCGACTTTCGGCTCTCTCATGGTGAGTATCTTCGCACTTGTGCTCTAAGCGGCCTTCTGGTCCTACCGAGTACTTGGAGCAAGTGAGAATGAGCGAGAAAAAACGGACGCTTCAGCGTCCACACCCTGTCGACATCCTAAAAACCGAAGAGTAACGATTCACCCGTCCATCATCCTGGTCGTCGCTTTTCCAACTTTTCATTTCGCGGTGAGAATATTTAATTCATCTTGGACTATATAATGCATTAGTTAGTTGCTGTGTGATGAGAAACAAGCCCGATGTATTTACGCGACATCTTAATGAATATTCCCTCCTTCACTAGTTTTGCGTTCGTCTATTTCTTTCCTCGGTATGGTTTTCGAGCTTGCATTTCAATTATAAGGCTGGTTGTGACAATTCATCACTCATGCAAGGATACTGCATACATTGCTTCTATAGTATTGTTCATTGCATGCATTGGATTTCACTAGTATTTCTTTTTGGCTTCGCGACTGCATGTGATAGGTACTATTTTATGTGCCATGGAGGCGAGAGGATCTGTGCGCAATTGATCTGGTCTAGAGTGTTCTATCATTAACATAAAGTGTTAATTGTTTTCCAATATATTCTTCTGTCATCCCGTTGATTATGTCTCTTATTACTTAGATCACATCGCCTATGTTCATGCTCTCTTTGTCACCTTGTATCTTGTACTCCGTATGACCAGACCTACTAGATAGCTCTCAAGAGTCGAGATTCAGTGACAGTGCGATTCATGTCCTCTAAGCACGAAGCATACGAAGAAATAGGACTGTCCATATACTGCTCTATCCTAGGTATGTAAGAATTTCATAATATATCCTGTACCACGAACCATCTCTGAAATCAACCCGGACATTTACCTACCACCTAGTGTATTTACTACCTCCTGCCTAATAGTAGGTCAACTTATTTCAAGAGACTTTGTGTGCAATTTCTATTTCTCTTCTCCGGAGATAACTTAGTCGCGGTAGATATACTACAGTTAACTCCCTTGTAAAGTAGATCGAATACTACAATATACCGCCGCCGCCGCCGCCACCGGCCAGACCAGGTAGAATATACAGTAAGGCTACACTCTACAAAGACGAAGTAAAGGCATGTGCAAATGGGTATATGAATTAAGGTACAAGAGAATGTACATATTTACAAGCCATGAAACAAACAACACTCGGCAAAGGGGGGACAGGGAACTGAAAAAAAGAAAAGGAAAAGAAAAGTAACCACACACTCCTAGTTAGTTGATTGCTAGTTAGTTAAAGCGAGCCCATCGCTGAGTCAGCGAAACCGGAGCCGGAGCCAGACGCGGCAGCGCTGGCACTGACGGCTGGCGAGGAGGTGTAACCATTGTAAGTGTCATTGATGCCTTCTCGAGGCCGGTCCCAGGTACGAATGTGTCCTAGTGAGAATGTGGTGTTAGTTGGGTTTGTAATGGGGTATCATTTCTGCGGATAAGCAGAAGAAAGGAAAAGAGAGGGAATGATCAGGCAGCCGTAGTACATACCTTCTAGGGAAGAGGTCATGATGGAATCTTCTTGGAATCCTAACCAGGAGATAGGGTCATCTCCGACGATCTTGGACTACCAAACAGTTAGTTAGGCTTTTTCGGGGTTTCTGGTTTTGTCGTCGCCTCTCTGTGCGACGGGGATGTATGTGTAACAAGAGGGAAACGAACCATGATAGGTGGTAGGAGAGCAGTCCGTGCCCTCGGTTCGACAGGATGACGGACGGTCTGGTCATAGGTGTTGTCAATGCCTGCGGTGCGTTGCGAGTCCGATCGTACGCGGTTGCCTGCGCTGTCGGCTCGATGACGATTGGCGTGTTGAGCATTGGAGGGGAGAAGACTGGTTCGATGACGGGCGCTGGCTTGGAGCTAATGGCGCGTCGAGTCAGTAAGTGAGCAAAGTGAATAGTTGATGGAGTCCTTCCTCTACGTACCGCTCTTGGTCGATGCAGCATGCCAACGCTGAAATCCCATAACAGCAGTCTGCAATCGTCCCCGACACTCCCAAATCGGTATGTCCGTTCGTCACAGCGCCAAGGATCAAATGCTACAGCTGAGACCCAGGAATTGTGACCTTGGCATCGGGCGACAATCTTGCGTTCGGGAAAGGACCATATCGTCACCAGATCATCCTGGCCGCCCGTCACGATGTATTTGCCATCAGGTGACCAGCATACGGAAATCAGTCCCCCATAATAGCTGCGGAAGATATCCAAAGCTCTGCAATGTGTCCAGTCAATTGACTATTTCGATTGCTCGAGTGCACTATAATTAGGGGCGTAAACTCACTCCTCTTTCAAATAGTCCATCACCCGCAGGGACCCGTCCTCCAAAACAATAGCGAGATGCCGTTGGTCGGGAGAAAAGGCGAACTGGCAGACCCTGTGGTTGGCGATCTTCCATAAAGCGACCGGGTTCGTTTTCTGGTTCCTCGAATTGACCGATTTCAAGATCTGCAGCGGCTGTCGACCGCAGGATTTGATAGCTTCTACCGACGGACTGCTCAGCTCGGGTGTGAACAAAGCATCCTCCTTCTCCTTATCATAAACAACCAATTGTCCATTCGCATGCGCCGCCATGAACAGATTTTCCGACCCAGGTATCCATTTGATGTGCGTCACCGGGGAGTTGCTAACCACCCCGTTCTTGTTGATTCGGGCGTATTTCTGTGAAATTGGCTCGTACCAGATGATATCGCCTGACGACGAACCCATCACAACGTCAATGTGGGACGAGCTTTTCGTCAACTCGTTCACATCATGGCTCAACATGTGCGCCCTGGTAAATAGGATCTTCGAGAGCGGCTCGTCCTTTTGTTTCGAACTCAAATCCAGCCACTGGAACGCGCGATTGATATTGGCGAACGCAAACAATCCGTCCGGGCTTCGGTCATTCAGCCGTTTCGTCGACGCCTCGTGGGTAATGACTCGCGAGACAAATGAGGAATTGCTCTTAATGATGTTGTTCTTCGGCTTGCGCCTCTTGACGCCTTCCTTCGTGATCGGGGCCACAAGCGCGGGATTGCCGTCTCCGAATGCGGGCGCCGTGATGCCGTCGTTCAAGGAGAAAACGGGGGTCTTATTTCGAGAGCCAAGACTGACCAGCGATAACTTGACGCCCGTAGTGGGAGGGGTGGGAACCGTTGCTAGGGGGTTAGGGTTCATGATCGGAGCTTCGGAGGGATGCGGAGGGGGTGTCGCAAGGTGTAGGTCATCCTGAAGGTGATAGGTGCCTGTCGCAGCAGTCGACGTTAGCGCGGTCATCGACACGGATCTTCATCTGCGAACGGTATGGGAGAATATCCAGAAAAGCAAAGCGCACCTTCTCCGACCTGCAACGGACATCCACCCTCTGGGTTGCTGATTATATTGTTGGTTTCGACAACCGGGACCGCCATGCCATTCGACGCTCCAGCTGCATAGGCAACTGGAACGGTGTAGCGCGGCGGAGGCGGGGGAAGGACGCTGGGTCAACAGAGTCAGCCACGAGACAAAAGCCGCAACAATGCCGTCATGAAAAGTATAGTCCGGGACAGTTTCTGGGGAACCACGGAGATCACAGCCGATGGACACATTTAACAACCCCCGGACGGCCGAGCAACAGACCAACAAATAGAAGAGGAACGGGCACGGGTAGGCAGGCCGAGACGGGGTGATTCTTACAACATGGCTGCAATTGCGACACCCAGTGCAATTTAGTCCAACGGAGAAAGGAGTGTCTCGTGAGACGGGATGAACGCAACCCGGTCAGGACGGCTTCGATAGATTGGTCACGCAATGATAGCGAATCCTCCCCCGAGAGCGGCACCTGGGATGGTGCTACTCAGGGTGGTATGAGGCGCTAAAGGAGTGGATTAATTGGATAATAGTTACAACACAAGGTTCAGGGTGGGAGATGTCAACGCGATGAATAAATAGGTTGAGAACCAAGGTGCTGTGCAATCTTTAAGTACCGCCGGTGTGTCGCGGAGGAATATCGGGGGGTTTTAGGCGCTGCACTGCCCGGGCGTTTTAAATGAGGGGGCGGAAGGAGGGCGTTGAAAGTGTCCGATGGATTCCAGGAAGGATGGATCGGGGGTACACTGTTAGAGTGATTGAATAAATGATCGGAGGGACGTGAAGAGTAGAAGGGCGAGAAGTATTCCTCTGCGCAATCGGCATAAGCGAGGCAGGAGCGCCCAAGCCGGTTAGTTCCAGTGAGGAGAAGGTTTTCCGGGGATTTGCCTGGTTTGCCTGATTTGCCTGGTTGGCGCTTCTCTCGTGTGCAAAGGCGGGGAGGAGTTCGGGCTGGTGATTGCTCCATGTGGTTTAGCGGGCTGGCCGCACTAGCGTCTCCCTAGTCTATACATATACCTACGAAGCACTTCCGTACCGATTACTCCTATACTTACTACAATCTGAAAGGTCATCTTTCATCATATATTCATATAGTATTAATAACGACACATGTATCCATCTGGTGTACACCGATCGAGAACCATTCCCTCATTCTCATTCCCCACTGCCACTCACTCTCCGCCAGATCATCACCGCCGCGGCTCCGGCACAGACCACGGCCCCCAGGGCAATGCCCCATGCCATCCATTTCCCTTCGGCGTCTTCCTCGCTCCGAGGGAATGCCAGGCTGGGCTCCATGGCTGCTTCGGCAATGTGCACAAACACCTCCTGGATCGAGCTCCACGTGGCGCTGACATGGAGCGGCGGACTGGTCATGTTCAACATAGCAGTATACTCGTGCGGCTGGTACTCGGCTCGTTGCGTGGTGCGGTCCAAATCCGCTTTGAGAGCGATGAAAACACTGGGAAGCTCTTCTAGATGGGGGTACTTGGACCGCAACGCCGGGATGTATGCAAATGAATCGGGGTCCGACGAATCGTAGGTGTATACAATCACGTCGCACTGGTCCAGAAGCTTGGATTGGTTTTCGAGAATGGCCGGCTCCAGTTCGCCAAGCTCATCCAATATCATATAGCATTGCTTACCCCCAGGAAGCTCCACCGTGTTGACCGCGGTTCGTGGTTGAATCGTGGGGTGATATGTCGTGCTGAAACCGCGCGAGAGGAAGGCATCAAGAAGGGCGGACTTCCCCGAGCTGGGAGCCCCAAGCACGTGGCCCAAGACGACGTTTCGGCCCACCCGTCCAGGGCGCTTGCGCCGCTTTCGCGGACGAGTCACTTTTAATGCAGCCGTAGTAGACGGATTACTTCTGTCGGATGATTCGAACCCTAGGTAGGCGAGGTACTCCAGCGTTGTTTTAGGCGAAGTGAAAGTGGTCATACTCCATTGCGCAAGCCAACCTTGCAGAGTGACATGTCCGGCTTCGTTCCGCACCGTAGAGGACGGGAATGAGCCGTCGGCCCAGGAAGCCGGTAAGCCGGGGGTCGGTGCAAAAAGGGACGCCAATTCAGCATTGTTCAGCCCGCCATCATTGTCTTTGTCCGACAGAAGAAACAGGTTGACAAAGAACCTGTAGCCCTCGGGAGACAACTCGGCAGATGCGTACGGGGGAACCTCAAATCGTGGATGGAGAAAACTCTCCTGGAGCGACAGGTTGTCAGTGTATTGGAACGCTCGTAGAATGATCCAGACAGTCTCGTGGCGTCCTTTTTCAGCGTACATCTTATTCAAGTGAATGAATCCCCGGCAGTCAATGCCAGATGGCGTCACCGAATGTGGGTTTATCTTCTGAATGGTCTCCTTGATGTGCATCAGGTCTTCTTCACTCAAAGGCTTTTCAAAGCATCTCATCTGGAAATCTCCGATCTCCTTGTCGGAGAGAAAGCCGTCTCTGTCTTTATCACTCAGGTAGAAGATGCGCTGCAGCGCTGCGATCGCGGCCGGTTTTAGGGAAGACTCCTTGGAGTCGAACAGCGGAGCAATCGGGTGAGTGACCGCTTTCTGGCAGAGGAAGAAGGCTTCGTTGACATTGCGATGCTCTCGAGCGCTCGTGCGAATGCAGGAATCAATCTCCTTGAACTCCGCCATCAATGGCAGCATCTCCTCCTCAATGACCTGGGACTCGCTGTGGCCTGCAGCAAGGTCCGACTTATTGGCGCACAGCACCACGGGCACATTGACTCCCAAGGACCGAAAATATGGCAGCCAGAAAAGCGCAACTCTCTCATAACTGTAATGATCCGAATAGACCAACAAGATCACATTTGATTTTCGAATCTCTCGCGCCAGATTGCTGCGCTCCTGCGGGAGGGCGGAGGTATCGACCACCGTGGTGGTTGTGACATTTTCGGGGGTTCCGATCGTAGGAGGGATGGTAATCTGAGGAAGTATGGGCTGGATCTTGTTTGTCACGAATACACCCTTCACCAGGGAAGTAATGAGACTGGATTTCCCAGTCCCCTCATCGCCACACACACAGATCCGCACTGGGAGATGTTAGCACATCATGTCGTGATTGAGGCCTCGGCGAGCGGTACTGGGCCAATCGCACCTGTAGCCATTTGCAACGGGGAAGGCGATCAACGGCGCCTCTTTCAAATCACTCCCAAAGCATGCTTCATGAGCTGTGAGTGGTATCACCATGTATGAATTTCAGAGGAAACAAGTTTCCAAGTGGAAGGCACCAGGGAATAGTTTTCCTGTGTTGCGTTGATCTGCTGCGATAACTAACTCGGAGCTTCGGCGATTCTTCCGCCGACTCTGGTGGCCTCAGGTGTCAACTTTCATCAGTGTATTTAGTTTGATGTCATAGTTGAGATTAGATTAATTATACAGTACTCCTTCCAGCATAACAAATACATCTCCCTTGGAATTCTTTCCATCATTGTAAGAAACACAAAGATACTCAATCAATACAGGTAATTAATTAGTCAAGGCAAGTCCAAGACGAAGAGAAGCGGATCGAACGACTCCGCCACTTTGCGCCCAGCACGAGAGACGGTTGGAGAGAGGGAGAGGAAGGGAGGGAGAGCGAGAGAGAGAGGGATATATTATTCATTCATTCCTTCTGTCTTCTCTCTCTCGCTGCTCGGAAGGTGCCCACATTCTTCATCAACCTTTCCATTAACCAACCTCTCCGTGGTTCGGCACGTCGGCGAGACCAAGGCCCAGGTACCTTGAAATACCACCTCTGTAGTTACGGAGTACTACTAGTTAGCTTGATATCGAGCGCCCAGTCACCAGTGTCACCCGTCATTTGGTCCACTTCCGGTCGCCCCCATCTGAACGGACTTCCGTCGCGCATTCTCTCTCCAAACTATCAACACCTTCCGGTCTCCCTGATTCCTTCGTCCTTCGCCCTTCTCCCTCTCCTCCCTCCCTCCCTTTCCCTCTCCCACCTCGCTCCCGTTAAATCTCGAAGAGCACCGTCAAAATGCCTCTTGGGATACACAATCCCTTGCCCTCGTCTCTGGGAAGTACGTATCTGCTCACTTCCATTGCAATTTCCCCGCAATTCATCATGAACTTCGGCGCTGACATTGCGCCCGTTTGACAGGCGAATGCAAGAAGGCCGGTAAAATCATTGCTTCCTTCGTCGACCCGCGACAGTCATTTGGTCCTGATAAAGTTATTCCTCCCGAGATTCTGGCTGGGGCTAAAGTATGATCAACCCATTCCCCTTGAAATAAGAACGAAGCACCCTGGACTGCAATCGAACTAACGACTTCTCTCCATAGGGTCTGGCCGTTCTCACCGTCCTGAAGGCTGGTTTCCTAGGCTCCGCTCGTTTTGGTTCGGGAGTGGTCGTTGCCCGTTTGGCCGATGGCTCGTGGTCCGCTCCGTCAGCGATCGCAACGGCCGGTGCCGGATTCGGTGGTCAGATTGGGTTCGAGTTGACCGACTTCGTCTTCATTCTCAACGATGCCGCCGCTGTCCGGACCTTTTCGCAGGTGGGAACACTGACGCTGGGTGGTAACGTTTCGATTGCTGCGGGGCCGGTAGGACGGAATGCAGAGGCTGCAGGTGCAGCCAGCACGAAGGGTGTGGCGGCGGTTTTTTCGTACTCGAAGACCAAGGGTCTCTTCGCCGGTGTGAGTTTGGAGGGCAGCATGCTGGTGGAACGCAAGGATGCGAACGAGAAGCTCTACAACAGCCGAGTGTCAGCCCGCCAGCTGCTCAGTGGAACTATCCGGCCACCCCCGGCCGCCGCCCCCCTGCTTAACGTCCTAAACTCGCGTGCCTTCTACGGGAACGCCAGGAACCAAGGCGACGCCATGTACAATGACATCCCTATCTACGATGACCGACATGACGACGTGGTGTGGGAAGGACGGCGCGGAGACGCGTTTGGGGAGGGCTCTCGGCGGAATACCACTCGCTCCGGCGTCAACAACGATGCCGACGAGTACGAGTACCGTGACCGACCCCGTCGCGCAAACACATGGGCTGACGATGTGTACGACCGGCCTGCGGGAGGTCTCGGCCGCTCTGCGACCACCCGACAAACCCGCAATGATTATGGTCGCAACGACAACTTCGATACGTTCGGTCGCAACCGCAGCAACACGGCACCCTTCGCCGAGGATGACTACGTTTACTCGGATCGCAAGCCCACTCGGCCCACAGCGCCCAAACCGGTCTTCGGGCAACGAACGGGACAGGGCGCCGCTCTGCGACAAGACCAGGCGGTTGCACTGTTCACCTTCGATGCGGACCAAGACGGAGATCTTGGGTTCAAGAAGGGAGATATTATCACTATCCTGAAGAGAACCGACAAGCAAGAAGACTGGTGGACGGGGCGCATTGGGGACCGGGTCGGCATCTTTCCCAGGTATGACCATTGATTTCTTCACTTACCTAGAACAGAACTCCGTCATGCTAATCATATAACCTCTTCTAGCAACTATGTTGAGACGGCCTAGAGCTCTTACAGCCATGAGTCTTGGCTTATGCGGAACGACCTTTAATGACCCCAACGTCCACCCTTGTTTCCTATTCATGGTCCTGCCTTTCTATTTCTCTACTCCCTTTTCCTTGTCGCGTCCGTCTTTTCGTGGTATCTAAGCGGTGCCACATCCTTTCAGCCGTACATCAAGGAACTACATACCCCTCCATGTCCTTCCCGGTTTCCTTTCGGAGACCCTCTTCTGAATTTTCTAGTGCAAGCGCTGGAGTTCTCGTTGTGCAGGTTGGCATGGACAGCCCGGAGTCGGTTCACTCGGGCTTAAAATAAATACCTTTTGTATATTTGGCCGTGATAAGGTTTCTCTAGATCACTTTCCTTCTCTTTTGTTTTTCAATGTTGTTCGCGGTTGAATGCGCCAGTTTGTAAATTGATCCTTGACTCCGTTTTCAAGTATAGTTCCAGCGTCCATCAATATTCCAAACTGGTTATGGCGAAAGGGATGGAACAGAGGGCAGCAAGGGGCCCCAAGTATAGTGTATCGACATAAGTCCTCGGCGGACAATGGAGCCCAGCGAAAGGCCGTACATACATTCCTAGGAAGAATCTAAAACCCCAGCATCCCACAAATCAAGAATCCGCCGTTATTCCATTCCTTCGGTATTTCCATAACCGTCCAACGGTAGGCACCAATTATTAATCAAGGAGGGAGGCTTGTCAGCATAAAAGAAATTCTCCGACAAGGTACAGGGTAGTCACCGGACACTGCAGACAGATGCGCGCTCCCCCCCTTTCCGGGCCAATCGAGATCAGGTCATCGATGGGGCCCACGAGACCTGAAACGGAGGGCCTTGAGAGCCAAGCGCAGCAGGGCGGCTTCTGGATGATTCCCTGCTGTGGATGGGACAGGATCACCTAGTGAGGAGGACAGGTGAGCTGGGTGTTGGAACAAAGCCACCCGGTGAGGTGAGTCAGTCGATGACCATGTCTGTGTCCGGGAGTAATCAGGCGCCCTGAAGATGGGACGGGAGCCTTGGCTCTTGACTGTCATGGTATCAACGGGCTTGTTCATTCGACTCCTGAGTCCTGAATCAGGGCGGAAGAGGGTCGGCTGAAACACGGAAGACAGCGGACTCGGGGTAGGGATAGGGATAGGGATAGGGATGGAACCATCGACTACGAAGTAGAGGGGTGTGAACTCGACCATGTCATCGGATACACTCGAGAAGAAATCAGCGAGGGTTGTGCTTTTGTCGTCGCCCTGTGACCATTGTTCGCTCATCTGAAGGAGTGTAACCATATACTTTCACCCGGCAGCATTCCATAGTAGAAGACAGTAGTACAGAGTATGGAGCATGGAGACAGATAGATAGACAGACATCGATTTAGGCTATATGCTCGTTATATGTAGTGCAATGGATCTGATAGCCAGCAAACTCCATGTATGATTGATCATATTCATAAATAGAAGCATGCTAAAAAGGCCAGCGCAGGGGGGGACATGGGGGGCAAATGCTGATCAGCGATCGTCTACCGTCCAGTGGCCCTGATCGGCCCTTGAGTGAGTAAGGTAGTGGAGCGGGACAGTCGACAGGATCCAACGGAATGAAGAGAGGTGAGTGGGAGGAGAAATCAGTGTTTGTCAGTCTAGGCCAAGTCAGTAGGAGGGGCATGGAAGTGATCATCACTTGAGAGGGTTGAATAATGAACGAGTGAGTGACCCAGAGAGTAGAAGAAGAGTCCAGACACAGAAGACACAAAAGACACCGACCGGGCAACGTGACCGAACTCCCGTTCCTCAGGCAGCTCTTCGTTCTTCTCTCTTCTTCCGCACCGACGTTCTCTCTACGTTCAATCCATTTAATCCAATTCCAGGTACCGCGCGACTTTGGACGTCTCGGCGGGTTGTATCCTCAGCCTCGCGCTTCTCTTTTCCTCCCTCCTCCTCTACCCCTTCGTTTCTCTCCCCATTTTCTTTCTTTCTCCCCGGTGCCCTCTCCTCTCTTTCTATTCTCGAAGGTTCATCACTACATACAGCGTGCGCATACTTTTTCCTTCTTTCTTTTCTTTTTCCGTTCCTCTCTTGAAGGAGAATTTGTCACCGGATGCCTAGCCGTCATCCTCATTCTCTCTTTCCTTCCGTTACCCTGGTGGTTGCTCTTCGTCGGCGTTTCTTCCCCGCTTCCATGATTCCATGACCGCCATCCTGTTTCCTAGTCTTTCCGCCCAGGTGGTACATTGACCTCCTCTCCACGAGGCGAGATTCTCATCGCCCTCCGGTCTCCCCAGCCCGTTTCGGGATTTCTTACAGTTTGAGTTCCCGGACAAGTTGCTCTTCATGCAGGTGCGTTGGCTTCTAACCCATCTCTCTTGGCCCTTCTTTTTCTTCTCCCGTCCTGCGTTGCTGTTCATGGATTGAACCATGTTCGTCTGCGATTTGCCTGTGATGCCCGTCCCGTCTTACTTACCCCCTTGTCTTGTGCTGTCCCTTTTTTTTCTCTTTGAACAACGTCAACACAACCACCGAATCTCCCCCCAACAAATGCAATGAAGATCAATGCGAACGTTGTGCGATTCAATTTTCCTGTTTATCCTTTGTGAATTATGGATCTGAACTAACAACCCGCCCCGTTTTCTAGGCTTCACCGAGCCCGAGCCCCTCTGAGGTTGGCGGAGGATATGCCACACGACGAGGACATGGACCTCATCTGTCGATCAGTGACCCGAGTCACCATGTCACGGAAGCGATCGGCCATATGTACGAAGATGATTACGACAAACGGGAATCGAAACGCCTCAGCTATATCCCCTCCCCTCTGACCGATACCATCTCGATCATCCCCCCGAAACTCGCCGGTGCCGAATCGCCCTCGTCGCCGCAGTCGCTCCAAGTACAAAGCCATCTAAATGAAATAAACAACAATAGACAAACAAATGGACAGTCTCGCCCGCCCGCGGGTGCCAAATCTTTGGATAGTACCAGCCCAACCTCCCCTACTTCAACCACTTCCCCTGGATCGACCGACACCGCCACCACCTCCTTCCCGCTTAATGATATCGACTACGAATCCAACCCTGCCGCCGTAGCTCAGGAGCTTAACAATTTGGCCGCCATTCGGCGGATGTCTATGGATGTAGCAGCCACGGGCGATCCGGATCTTCCCAGCTTTAATCCCAACCTCTCCGTACCGTCGATTGCCCCGTCACCTTCCGACGATGAAAACGATGCCTCCCGACTCTTTTGGGTTCCAGCTCGCTTGCACCCGGAGCTGGCCCCGAAAGAATTCAGGTCCTTTCTCGAAAGTAAAGCCGATCATATCAAACGAAAATCGGGCGATTTCTCGACTTTGGGCCCTGAACGTGAAGGGTCTAACGGAGGTCTTCGGCGTAAGAAGTCCATGCTGTCTAGACAGATCGACACTTCCCAAAACTACACCGACGGTGCGGAGCGGCTCGAGAGGAAACGATCAAAGTCGTCCAAAGGGGACGGCCCCAATCTGCAAGAGCTGGAGACCCTGGTGGACGACTCGCTACCCCGAAGTGCCAGCTCGTCCTTGTTGAGCGAGATGCGGAACCTCGATATCGCCGAAGAGGATAGGCCTATCCTCCCGCCGGCGCCTCCCGGCCACAGTCTCAGGCGGTCCACGAGAACCCAATACAGGAAAGCCGGCAGCTTGAAAAAGGGCGAGAAAGTTCCATATTCCAAGCGTCTGGCGCGGACGTCGGATACCAGCGAAGGCGCCGCGCCGGCTTTAACTGGAGAAAATCCCGTCCTGGGTCTGAGCCGGGTATCGACCGATCCCACTCCCAGTGCGACGCGGGCGGCAAAGTCCACGCAGGCAACGGCGGGCGGCTCCGACGAGGCCATGGGCCCCTCTAGGGGTTCAAGCCCAGAGCAGCAACAATTTGGTAACGAGCATTCGGATGAGTTATCAGCAGAATCCAGGAGCAGGTCGGGCTCCCAGTCGCAACACCGTCAATGGCATTCCCGAATCAGCTCCAACGGGAAATCCACCCTGCATATACCTCCGAACGAACAGAAGATTCCCGAGATTATCGAAACGCCCCCTCTGGAACCCGCCGCAACGCCAGAACCCGCTTCTCCGCAGTCCCCCTCCAATCCCAGCCGAGGATCTTCTTACGACCCGCCCCCGTCTGCAGTACCCGCGAAAACCCAGCCGGCTTACGATCAGAGCTCCTCCAAACGGTCTCAGCAGACCCGCGCGTATGGCAAAGAGAGTACGCCCTCGTTCAACGAATTCGCCAACACCCCACAAGCTCTCCCAGGCAACACGACCCGCACGGACAGCCTTTCGTTTATTCCTACATTCTCCGATGATCGCAAAGCGGATACCAAGACAGAAGTCAAGTCGGAAGGCAAGAAATCCAAGGACAAGAAGGACTCGGAAGGCGGACGCAAGTCGAGCTGGCACTGGTTGCTCGGCTCGGAAGACAAAGACAAAGAAAAGGAAAAGAAGAAGGATAAGGACAGCGACTCCAAGAAGATCAAATCCAAGATTGTCGATAAGGTTCACGAGACGGCGCACGCCTTGCCGATCAGCGACTCCAACCAGCGCGGACGAGAAAGTATTGTGGTGGATCGGCTTGATCCCAAGCTAGAAGAAGAGCGCCGCAAAGACCACGTTCGTCGTACGTCTGGCGAGTCGAAGAAAGAAAAGGAGTCCGGGCTGTTCTCTTCTATCTTCGGCGGTGGCCGGAAGAAGGGCAGCGGAGATAGTAGTCATAAAAAGACTGCATCTCGGACTCTATCTCCCGACCCCCCTGTCCGCGAGCTTCGACCGGATGTCGACTTCCCATGGACTCGATTTTCGATCCTGGAGGAACGGGCTATTTACCGGATGGCTCATATCAAGCTTGCCAACCCGCGGCGTGCGCTATATTCCCAGGTCCTACTCAGCAACTTCATGTACTCGTACCTGGCCAAGGTACAGCAGATGCATCCTCTGATGCTCGCGTCGTCGGCGCAGCAGAGGCAACAGAAGGCTCAGGCCGAGGAATATCTACAGTATCAGCGATACCAAGAGGTAAGCCCCTTAGTCGGCTTGCTTGAGCTCTATGAAAGCATAATAACTGACCATCCATCTCTTCCCATAGGCACAAGAACAACAACAGTATAGCGATGGCTCTTATGAGGAGCAGCAAATGTATAATTATCATGATGATCAGCATGACCAATACCGGTCGCAGTCGCGGGGTGGTAAGCAAGGCTATGAGAATGGAAATGGATACGGATCAGGACATCACCAGTACGGTCACTCGTCGTTTGGAGATGACGTCCAACTCGACGATGACGATGATGACATGTGGTGACAGGAAACAGGAGTATCCTCTCTTTTTGCTACTGTGTTTTCTTTCCAAGTTCTTCTGCAGCGTACGAATACCCCTCTTGTGTGTGAACTCTGGTCCTTCCTGCAACTTTGTACACTGAGCACTGCATTCCCACCTTTCTGACATTCCGTTTCCATTGCCTATGCTTCTGCGAACTGTGACTTTTATACATGCACCAGGAGGAGAAGAATATATGATGTGACACCTGATGGTGTCTATACTCTCTCTTGCTTCCTATTCTATTGCATTTCTATATAGCACGCACATCCCGGCTTTAAAAGCAGGATCGTGCGAGGTACGACCTATTGTTTTTACGTTTGATTTGATCTTGTTTTGCTTTGTTTGCATAGCGTCGGTGGTGATCAGTCTTTTTTGTTGTCGCTTTGAATCATTCTATTGTTCAGTTTTCCACTCTCATGGACTTGGGACTCAATTCTTGTTCTTTCACCTTTGTCTAATAATAACCCCTGGTGGCGGATTTGATTTGGACTTGGACGGTATGACTGTGTAGATTGGCGGGATCATAGGTGCTCTGGCTGCTGCAATAGGAATTTTGTATAGAGATTATTCAGAACTCATTTTGGAGACCTTTTCTCTGCTCGGCTTCAAGTTGTTCGCGTTGTATGCAGCGGCGGCCAGTCCATTCACATGCAGGTGACATCACGTGATCCTATCTCCGCCGGGGCCGCCGTCGGCAATCGTCATGTCATCATTTGTCCGGCACTTGCTCCCTCAAGTTGCTGCCTGTCTCCATTCCAGCGTTCCATCAACGGACTAGATAGCTTGCTTTACGAATATCAACCAGTGCCTGATTTTGATTTTATCTTCTAATACTCAGTCCACCCTCCTCGAACCTCTACCACAAGGAAACGTACCCCAACCACCAAGATGGGCGACGCCTACGAACGAGAACAGTACGCTATCTCCACCCCTTTCACACGTCTCCATTTTCGATTCCCCGGTCTCTGCATCTTCTCGTATCCATGAATCGTGAGGTCTTGATCTTGATTCAAGATTCCGAGCCCGAAAATGCGGAGCCAACCACCAAAATCAGTCCAAGACCATGATATAATATAACTAACCGCATTCTCAACCACTCTTCTACAGACAAAACAATGCCCTCCTCAACTCCCTCTCCTCGAAAGTCTCCGCCTTGAAATCCGTCACGATCGATATTCACGATAACGCTAGAGATCAGGATACGTTGGATCATTCGGTTCGTTGTACTAAACTTCCCTACCTCACTCCTCCCTCATTATCTGCTACAAGCGCTCTTTCTATCTCTCTTCTCTCGACCGGCGCGCACTACGCAACATATCATCATCTTCGCTCCGACAATAAATTCAAATACCCCTTCCCTTACTCATCAAACACCAATGAATACCCATACCCTCAACCTAACACCAGCCAATGCCAATAACGATGCTAATACGACCCCAATCACCTTTAGAATCAAGTCTTCTCCTCCCTCTCAACAGGCCTGAAAGGCAGCGCGAGCCGATTAACTCGCATGGCGCGACAGGGCGATACGGTGGCTGTGCTGAAAGTCGCGGGCATCGTGGTCTGCGTTGGGGTGGCGCTTTGGGTGATTCTGAGGTGGATTTTCTGATCGCGTCGTAATCGCATTCCGGTGCATGGTATTGTCGCGCTGCGACGAGGGGTGAGAATATGTCCGGGGTGGTCTTTTCCTTATCTTCTCTTGGGGAGGGATATTATGTTGGGGAAGAGCAAGAACTGATGGGGAATGTCCACGGATATTTTTCTTTCTAGGATGGGATGAGAAAAGAGGAGTATGGAGGTTTTTCGTGCTTTTACACTTTAGGGGTTTTTAAATTTGCGTGGTTGCATATTGGGTTATGGGTTAGGATCGTTTCGATTCGACTTGGTATAATAATCCCGCTCCTTTCTTTCCTGTTCAACTCTTGTTGAATGAAGGGAAGGGTCGGATGCAGAAGGGAGGAAGAAAGAAAAGGCCCGAAGAGACTGACTGTTAGACTGCTTGATCTTGCGGGTTCGAGATCCATGTTTGTGGTCGTTTAATACATATGTACCTTTCTTTACTCTATATCTCGTTCTTGCTTGGGGTTCTTTCTTTCGATGGATATGGATTATTTGCGTGCATACACATACATACATACATACATATTGACTTGCTGGCTTGCTGACTTGCTGAGTTTGTTGGTCTGGCTGTTAATTATTTCTGGCTCTGAGCTGCCTACTACTGTTTTATTTGTTCATGGTATATATGATGTTAGCATGATATGGCATAGTTTTTATTTACTATCAGTACTTTCTTGCTAGCGATGGTTGATCTATGCATTGTTGATTTTCTGTGCTTTGGGACTCAAATCTGGCTAACGAAATGTCTAAGATATTTGGTATACTTACCTGGGTTATCAAGACGAGGTACAGGTTATCTGGTAGCGCTGTAATGCGTTGACTGTGGGAGGTCCGAGATTGAGGTGAGGGTTAGGTAACGGGGATTGGGTCTATAGGTACAGGAACGAGAAATGTAGCAGGATAGTGCGAGTGGTATTATTTGATACTCTTGATTGATTGATGTTACTTTAGTATTAGTAGCCTTGGACAGATGTTCTATGGTGTTAGTGATGGATTGTCGATGATGTCGAATGGAACCATTGATGTGTCTGAGTATAAAGATTTCATAGTTGATGTTGACACTGTTCCAGGTTGATCGTTTGCTATGCGCTGGAAAGCGATCTAGATAGATAATTTTATGTGAATGGATGCTCTAATACCTAATGCCAGGAGTCAGTAAATAATATCAAGGGATGGACCGCCGAGCGATGGTTCCGAAAAGGAGGATTCTAGCTCTCCTATGTGCGATGGTTGAGAGGGCCAAATATCAAGTCCAATCTCGATCAAGGTCTTTGTAGTAGGTTTGTTGTACTCGGTGAAAAGGACAGAAGAAATAGGATAGCAGGGGTCAAGTGTGGGCTTGTCCGGTTGTTTGCTAAGCTTATCACTCAAGACCCTGCCTCTCACCGGGCAGGGAAATATGCATAGGGCTGAGCCGACATGCTTGGGCAAAGAACTCGATAATATCCGTAGATCTCGGCGATATGCTGGAATTTTACCGCTCTGTCGTACCTATCTAGCAAGCCGACAACAAGCCACCTGGGCTAATCGATGATAAACAACCCGACTTCAGCCATCGGCCTCCCGATAGGTAAATAATCGGGATGGCCGAACGCCAACGAGGCGAACAGGAACGGCGGAAAAACGCGTTTCTTCCGTCTGCAAGCTGGATCGAGGCGAATTCCCGGACCCTGGTAACCTTTATCAGACATGGTCCCTGGAAATGTCAGCCCGAGAAATCGTAAGGTCGCACGGGATCTAGATCCCATGTCGCGAACGTGTTTCCGATAGAAAAGTACGGTTGCACGGCGTCAGCGTCGCTTCCGGGAAATTATCTGCCAGAGAGAACTTCGGACCTCGGAGCTGTTTCCGAAGAATCAGGGCTAACTAGGAACCTCTTAGTTGGTGTTAGGGTCTGATGTAGATATCTAGTGCGATGGCAACGATCACGATATTGACCTGTTGTGTTAGGCAAGTTGGTCAATAGAATGTACTTTTGTCGGACTTAGCCCGACACACTAACAAGGTAGGTTCCCTCAGAATGATTCGGGTAAAATCATAAAAGCGAAGACGAGATTGCCGGCGAAAAAAAAAGCAATTTCAGAGACATTCGATGGTTCTGGCCATGTGTGGCAACCAGCAGCTGTCATTGGTCTAGCTTTAAATGCTCAAGTCCGTAGATCGTGCACCGTTGCATGATAAACGGAAAAGCCGCAAAAACCATTATCCCTCTTCTAGGCGCCGGTGTATTGTTGGCTTGTTATGTTATGTGTTATTCAGGTTTAGCAATTTTCAAACTTTCTGGTGTCGATTAGGTACTGTACCTGGTGGAACCGCGGCAAAATCCGCTTCGGGAGAAGCCACCGCAAGTCCGGCACGATAAGCAGGTTTTTTTTTTTTTTTTTTTTTTTTTTCTTTTTCTGCCTCTCCTTTTCAGGCACCCTGGTCCGTTGATAACAGCTAAAATATCTAATCAGCGCGCATGTTGGGCACACGGGAAGAGTGGGTATTGCGTTGCACCACGTCTGCTGTCTGTGCAGTCCCTGGCGCGCTGCGTGGCTTGCTTGGTGCTCCATTCAGAGGCTGGGAAAGGAAACCACAAGTTTTGTGTACTCCGTAGGAGTAGGGGTCAATTTTCATCTTCTATCTTCCAATCTGATGTCCCTTGGTAGAGTTGCCCTGGGTTTGACAGCCGGACCAGGACATGAACCAAAGTGAGGAGAGAGAAACGCCACTTTGTTCACCACAGTTTTTCATTCGGATCCAGTTTTCTTCCCGCTTGCTAGCCTCCGTGAGTCCATAGTTAAACGACTTGATATCCAAGCTTCGGTTGAATGCGACTTGGCAAGACTATGCCGAATGGGGACACCGGATTGCGAAACGCTTTTGAACGCCCTGAATACTCGGCATGCCGACATTATTATTGTTTCAACGTCGGCATTCCGTATATAGCAATAGCCTCAGGGTTAGGTGCTGAAGGCCTGAAACAGTTGCGTGCTATGATGGCGTGGAGGGTTGCCCTCATGCAAGCCCCTCCTAGGTTGCATGTCTAATGCAGAAGATCTTCACGTCAATCGGTCCCTGAAACGGTAAGTAGCTGTGCACCGTCTACAAAGATGGTGCGCCGGGTGCGTTTCCTTCCAATCGTCCCGACTGGTGGTCATGTCGAGATGCTATCAAATGCCAATACTGGCCATCACTGCACCATGATCTACGGGATGGTGTCCTCCGGATTGAGCAAAAAAAATGTAAAACCACCTTTAATGACAGTCCGTGCCACAGGCTTAGTGCGTTCTTGGGTTTCGAGGCTAGGCCCACTTAACTGACTTGGCCAGCTCGGATGATGTGATCAGTGGCTGGTCCTGCATACCATCCCTGGAAAGCGATGCGTTCTGGAATCTCGGCTCACCGAATGTGATCCTCAGGAAATGGATAGTTCCACGATCTACATGCTGCGGACTGTGTACCTTGGAAGACCGAAACTTTCGTCAACCAATGTGGAAGGTCGAAAGGCCGTGTGCGTGTATAGGGAGTGGGCCTTGTTTTTTTATTATTCCGTTCATGAGCTGCGCAAGCTGAAATTCGATCGTGATATTAGCATTGATAGTTAGTGCTTGCGTCAATATGGCACACTCGGCACTGGTCTAGGCTGTGTGAAGGGATCATTGAAACTCGCGGGCCGAGAGGCATTTTTTCATCGGATCAGCGTCATGGTTACGAAGGGGATGTGTAATACGCCTGTCTCGAACGTGATCAACTTCCGGAGTAAGTAGAGGATGGAAGAATGACAAGAAAGACATTATCGGGCATGTGGTTGACAGTTGAAGTAGGCCAAGTCGGGATGCGACCAGCGACTCCTGGAGGCCGTACGACTTTCCCCGATCACATGTTGTCCTGCCCGGGACTGCCCGAGTCCCGTAAGGCTGTAATACCGTACGGGCTTAATACGGAGGGTATTTATTTTACTTTGTCAGGGCAGTAGATTAGGAGTATACTACGGTCTACTTGAGGAGAAAACAAGCCCGTGCGCTGGATGATTGTCGTTTGAGATTGACACAATGATGAGCTGGCCTCCCAGGTATAGGAGACTACGGCACTTCCCCCTGTCCCTTTAATTAGGTGTGCTGTACGCCGTGCCCCTCCGCATGCTGCGGATGCATGTGAAGCGGTGATGGCCGTAGATGATTGCCCTGTACGGGAGGTGACTTTGGCCGGGAGTCTTGGCTGTGATTGCGATCATTCCAAATCTCTTCAGGATGCTGATCGATAGCTGTAACGCTCTCTTTGAACTGTCGTTAACTTTATGAGGCCAGTGCCACACTGTGTCCCTCGATCTACATGACAGGCTCGGCATCCAAGTCTCTGAGTTCGATCTACCGCTTCAACTTTCTTCACCGATAGTAACCTTCTAGAAAAAGACCATGCTGTTAATTTGCGTCGCTTGATCAGATAGTGGGCTGGCATTTTCTCGTGCCCGAGTCCGACAGTCGGTTTATCCGGAGTGGAGTCGTGAACAGCACGCCATTCCACCGCTCTTGGCCCGGTCTTGGGAGTTGGTTGCCATGCATGCATCTTGCATCGCTCTCCACCTTGGGGCCCGACTTGCGAAAGCTGAGCTTAGCTTGAGCTTTTCATGCCAACCGCCCGGTGGTTGACGAGCCAACTGTCAAACATGAATGTGAATTCGAATCAAGTGTTTCAGTCCGTCATCTCGGCTATTTCTTCAGCATCTTCAGCTGCGCTTGCCGGCTTGAATAAGGTGGTATGTCCTGCTACCGAGGATGTCATGCCACCCTCTCTTCTCCCTGACATGATCTGCAGCACCATATGACACACCACATCCACGTAAACAAAAGGTACCTTCAGAGGGGACCGGGGTCCGATGCACGCGCCGACAGAGGATCATCAACTACTCCGTAGGTGGGGGGAGGGGAGGGACCGCGAAGCCCAGACGACCGTGAAGATCCAGCCCCGGAAAGATATTTTCCGATAGCTGCTGTGTAACCTCGTTCTGCAGGCTGTAACTATATCGCGGGGTTAAACAGACAGGCAGGATGCGTGTCGTAGAGGTATTTGTCCGAGCACATGTCAACGACTGACGACTGGCGAGACTCGGCCCTCGAAGAAAACTACTCTGTACGGAGTAGAATTCCAGAATGGGAGGGATCATTCGGCTGTCCCCGCGGAAATCTAAGTCGATTTGCCCCTGGAATTAGTTGTCCGTTTAACTTCGTTAAGATCGCACATCATGCGGCATTGACGATCCCGAGGCAGAAAGATGGGCCAGCCGGGATGTTCGTCCCCCTCGAGAATAATCAGGTATTCAGCCGGAAAAATCACAGAGGGAGGGAGCAGGAGCTAAGCATCGGTATCGCGTGCCAAGATGGATATGGTGAAGGGATGGATGGTGATTCGTTTTTCCCGGGGAAATTGGTTGCTTGTGATGGTGGATAGATAACATCATCAATTAATCTACTCAGTAGATAGTAGACGCCGGGTAACCGGACTGCCGCCTAGACTCGGGGGGGGGAGGTCGATCTTACGAGTTCATGGCGATGAGATAAAACCCGACGATCCCTAGGAGAGAAGATTGCATCGTGAGTTCCGCGGTATTTAGAAGAGATCTCGTCCTCTTCAGGCTGTACTCTAACACTTTAACACTCTGACATGACACTGACATCTTACTGTGACTGACTCCAAGGTATGTGACGTAATCCGGTATGGCGTGCGTATCGAGGATACCGCCCGGTCCCTGTCTGTCCCTCCCTTCTTATCATCTCTTATCCTTGCACTGATGCAGATTGGATTTGGAGACTGTCATCCATCATGATTATCTCTATCTCCCCTTATACATACTCTCTCTTTCTCCTGTCATTCCTTCCCTTTGTTCCATTCCTTCCCACGATTGGACCCCTTTATCGACTAGTTGCTGACCGGCCAAAGCCTCGCCTTTCTTTCTTTCGCACTTTCTTTCGCATCGTTCTATCTTTATCCAGGAGTGGGCTTAGTCAAGCCAGGCAGGGCCAGAGACTAGAAAGATCGCATCATCGTCCTAACCTAAAAGCCCGAGAGATCCGCTTCTCGCCACTTTTTCCGGGCCAACTGAAAAAAAAAAAAAATTTAAAATAAAACCTCCGAACGACCAAATTTTCGAGACGGTGACGGAAACGGCTGCGAGCCCCCACCAGCAAAACTCCTGGGTGGGTCCCGTTTGTCGACCCGGCTTGCCTGGTAGATCACTGGCACGCTGCGTTTTGCGAATTTCCCGTTGATTCTGTGTCATCGGGTTTTTCTTTCGATTTTTTTGAATTTTCTTTCTTGATTTTTCTCTCCCTACTGGCGCGCGTTTGGTGGACACTCCGATTTCCTGAGTTTTTATTACTCCGGTGAATCCCCTCCCTTTCCCTCCTTCCTATTCCCTTCCACTACAATCAACACCCTTCAATCCCTTGGCTACTCATCCTGGCCTATTACTCCTCTTCTGGCAGCTGCCCCTCGTCTGCAGCTGTTAGTTGAAACGTCATGGCCCTCAGTTTCTTTGGCGGGGGAGGTAGTGCGAGTTATGCCAAATACTTCGACATTCGGTGAGTCACTAAACGCCCGCATACAATTCCGGGAACCCGATCTTCGTTCTCGGCTTTGGCTAACCCGTTATCTTTTCTTGTCCCGCAGGCTCGATGAAGACTATATCGTGTTTCGAGGTGGCGAACAGGAAGCCGCCAGTGCTCATCTGAGCGGTAAACTCATCCTTTGTCTATCGGAGCCGCTCTCGATCAAGCATATCCGACTGCACTTGACCGGCATTTCTCGAGTCTGGTAAGTCGTTGACCCCTCGCAATCTAGAAACCGCCGTCGACTAACTATCTGGTCACTTCAGTTGGCATCTGCCATCCAGCTCCGCTGGCGGCGGCCGAAAATCATGGAGGGAACGCGTGTTCTACGAGAAGACCTGGAGTTTCAGAGACCCGGGTAAAGGCAAAACCGAAATTCTCCCTGGCGGTAACTACGAGTATCCCTTCGACTTGGTTCTGGAGGGATCGATGCCGGAGAGTGTGGAGGGTTTGAACGATACCTACGTCACATATCGCTTCAAGGCAGACATCGGTCGCAAGTATGCGAAGGATATCGTCGTGCGACGGCCCCTGCGCATCATTCGGACGCTAGATTCCAGCGCCCTCGAGCTGTCTCATGCTATGGTAAGTGATCATTCATGTGCCCGCTTTTCGTGTGCTCGAGTTACTCACGTCATGTATAGTCGGTGGAAAACGTATGGCCGAACAAGATCGAGTATTCCATCAGCACGCCCACCAAAGCGGTTATCTTCGGCACAAGCATTCAAGTCGACTTCAAACTCATCCCCCTTCTTAAAGGACTACGCATCGGCCAGATCGTTTCCCAGCTGATCGAGAGTCACGACCTTACTCTCAACCCCGATGACCCTGACTCTATCCGCAACACTTACAAGAGCACGAGGACAATTCTGTCAGATGAGCACGAACTGGACCCCGATGGGAGCTTGGAAATCATCGACGAAGCTGCAGAAGGATATCAATTCACGCGACATTTGGAGCTGCCCAAGACTTTGACCCGATGTCTTCAAGACACCGACACCAAGGGCATCAAGATCCGGCATAAGATGAAGTTCCGGGTGCAATTACTTAACCCTGACGGACACATCAGCGAGGTAAGCGAATTACCCACGTTCCCTTTTTGGCGTATGAGTTTTCTAACAGTTCGCAGTTGCGAGCCACACTTCCCGTGTCCGTCTTCATTTCTCCGAACCTTGCGATCGACGAGAACAACAACCTGGTTGATCAAACCCCGCAGTCGGCGCAGCGCGCGATCGACGACATCGCCCAACAGGCACCGCCACTGTACGGCGAACACCAGTTTGATCAACTGTACAGCGAACTTGACCCCAATGGCTACCGAACCCCAGGCCCTGGAAGTGGCCCTGGCACTCCGTTCGGCACTCTGAGCCGCAACCTTTCTTCCGAAAACCTTGCTTCGATGAATGCCCTGACCAACACGGACATTTCCGCGTCGGCCCTGCACAGCCGTCTGTCGACTCTTCATAACATCAGACACAATCACCCCTCGCCATCCGAGCATGATCAACACCACGAAAGCGAGAACCGTCAGCTTGGGGTGCCTCCCGATTACTTCGGACCTTCCTCGGGATCCACCTCTCACAGCCCTGGGAGTCCCACTCTCTCTCGCCGGCCTTCTGACGAGGGCGACCACGAACACGATCACGACCCCCTTCCCTCGGGGATGGCTACTCCCTTCCACCCTCAGTATGCGGAGGTCGAAACGCTCAGTCGCGTCCCGAGTTACTCGACGGCCGTCCGTGCCACCGTGCGCCCGCGGGATGCCGACCTGCCTGACTACCAGGCCGTGATCGCGGGGGACTACGTTATTCCACCACCCCAGTCCCCTCAGCAGGCCTATCTGCGCTCCCCGGGGCGGGGCAACGGCGCCTATTATCCCTCGATGGATGTGCTTCATCACCGGCCGGGACTCGTTCACTCCCGCTCCCATAGCCACGAGGATGAGGATCGACGACTGCGTCTCTTGCAGGCCCGGGCTCGGGTTTAACCAACGGGGGACCGACAGCACACGAGATAATCGGTCTCGACGTCGGAGCAATCGCATAATATCGGAATCTTGGCGCTGGACGCCGAATCGCACACAATTTAGAAGTCACGCATGGAGGATTGTGGAATATGTTTATCATCGCGCGCACATACACATTAGAGGCAGGGATTTCTTTATCATCGGCGTTCTTTTACCACTAATAGACGGGACCGGGGTTAACTGGGACATGGATTTCTCCTTTTCATTAGAAGAATGGGACTGGACGACAAGTGACGAACGACATGGAGTCTGCATGAATTATGTATATACAGACCACATCTTTTGTATCTTTTATTACCCGGCATATCTTTGCATGAGCGATACGAGAGCAAAAAAAAAAATTAACACATCACATCTCTCTTCTATTTTTGGCGATGATGCTGTATGACCCATGGCTTTTATAATTCTCCGGGGAGCGAGAGGAAATGAGATCATAGCAGTGCTCCTTGCATTCATCATGTTACCCCCGAACATGATGCGATGAGGGGCAACAAGCGGTGACCTCATCCGCCGCCCGTCGATCATTCTTCATTCCACTCTTTCTTCTCTTCCTTCTCCTCTTCTCCCCTCCTCCTCCTCGTCCCCTCTCGTTAATTTGGTTCATTCTCTGGAACTCATTCCTGCTGGATCTGGTAAGTTGTCGTGATCAACCTTGCGCGATAGACCTCCGTGGCAGTCAATTCCCTACTCCGTCTGACATACCCCTAAGCTGCTTGCGGCCCACAGCTGCTCATCTCTCGCATTCCTTTCCCCCCCGCCCTCTCCGCTTCGAACGGAAACGAAAACGAAACGAAGACTGACGAAACAAGAGAACAACTGTAATTATCGATAGTTGAAACTAGTCTCGACTCCGCGCTTCCGGTGACCTCCACTGCGCCCGCTCCCTGCAGGCACCACCGACCGGTCTTTTTTTCTTCTCTCTTTCTTTCTTCTCTTTTCAATTTCCCGAATTGTTTCTGTCCCGGTTCTTCTCTCTGTTCGGCCTTCGTGCAATTTCCCCTGCTTCGTGCCACCCGACATCATGTCCGCGACAAGCAGTCCGATAGATACAAGGCTCCCTCATCGGTCCTCGACAATGAGAAGCTCCATTGGTCCCGATCGGCGCGCCTCGATGAGTGACGACGAGGCTATCCCGGGTTCCGACAGCAACGAGGTAAAGTCCGCGAGAACCCTGGTCGGAGGTGAAAGAGGCGAAGGTGGTAGAATGTTGCGGGCAATGGCTAATGCGCGATCGCTGGTAGACAACGAACCTTCTCCTTGAGCGTCTCCGGGCCTGGAAGCATATGTGTGGTTATCTGGAAGATTACGTCGCGGTGACTGCGAAGGTGCAGAAATCGCAGTCGAAGGATTATGAGAAGGTGTTGAAGGTGCGGATGGAATCCTCGGTTTTCCTTCTGGTCGAAGTCGACATGATAACTGACTGATGGTGGGGGATAGACTGTGAGCGATCCGCTCAAGGAAGGACACCATTTCTCCCAGAGCGCGGGTGGGATGGCGTCTTGGTTTGAGAATATCCGCTCGAATACTCAGGTATGTACGGACCCTCTGGTTTACGGTCTGGATGGTTTGGAATGATTGCTGATGTACGGATTGCTGTTAGGGAATGGTGAATATGTACCTGGAATCCGAAAAGAATATTCGCGGATCTATCTCCCCGACCCTGGACCGGCTGCATAAAGAGATCAAGAACAAGTCCAAGGAGCTCCAGGCGGGCGCCTCCAAGAGCGCAAAGGCCGTCGACAAGGCGAGAAGCATTACTCAGAAGCATATCGAGCTTCTTGGCCAGCAGAGCGCCCATTTCGACGCGGCCGCCGGAAACAAGGTCGACCAGAGCCATGACCCCTACATCCTGCGCCGAGGTATCAACCACCGCCTCAACAAGCAGGTCATCGAGGAGAACAACAACCGCCAGGACATCATTGCGGTCCAGAACAACTTCCAGCAATTCGAGGCGCACGTTGTGCAGACCATTCAGACTTCCATGGAGCAATTCGTCATGTTCGTGAACAACCAACTGGAGCGTCAACGCACCATGTACTCCGACATGCTAGGCGCCGCCCAACGAGTGCCCCCCGACTTCGAATGGGTCAACTTCATTACCAACAACCACCAAACCCTCGTCGACCCCGACGCTCCGCCCCGGTCCCTGAGCAACATCACCTTCCCCAACCAGGACCACCACTCGACCAAGCCCTTAATGGAGGGTGCCCTGGAGCGCAAGTCCCGCGCCGTGATCAAGGGTTTCAACAGCGGCTACTACGTCATTACCGTGGCTCGCTACCTGCACGAATTCAAAGACAACGACGACTTCCGCCGCGACCCCACCCCGGAACTGTCCCTATACCTCCCGGACTGCGTCCTCGGCGCCATCGACGGCGTCAAGTTCAGCGTCAAGGGCAAGGATGTCTCCAGCGGCAAAGTCGGCAACGCCTTCCACACTAACACCGAGCTGAACTTCAAGGCCCCGACCCCCAGCGACGCCGAAAAATGGTACAACGTCATCAAGGACGCCGCCAAGGCCCCCGCGGCCATCCAGACCAGCGCTGCGGCCTCCCCAACCGCCGCCTCGCTACCTGCCAGCCCGGCTGTCGGCGCCGGCGCCACTGGCGGAACCACGGAGAACCACCCTCCCGCTTACTCCGAAAAGCACAGCGAGGGATCCACCGCCGGCCAGGATGCCAGCGCCTTCTCGCCGCAGGCTTCCTCGCCTCAAGCAGGCCCGTCTGGTTCCTCGTCGTCTCCTCCCGGGATCTCGCGCGCCAACACCGCAAGCTCGGCGCAAACCCAGGGCGTGACATCTTCCGGCGGCGCCGGTGCTTCAGCTCCTCCCGCGGGCGAGAAAGCGTGATCTGTGATCGACGGACGGTTTTAACTTGAACTTTCTATATAGCATATGATTTTCTTTTACCCTCTCGTATGACTTATGGGCATCGTTTCCCAGCATTTTTCTTTCATCCTTATTGATGTGTCTTTATGTGCGCTCGGTTGATGAACCCGCAAAGATATCATGAAATACCTATCCTACCCTACTTATCTACCTACTATTAGTTGATAGGGTTGTTTATATTTTCTTAGTCATCTTATTTTTTGTTGATATCATTAGCCTCTTAATTGGATTATCCTTTTTTTTAACCCATTTCAAATGTTTCTTCTACCTTGCTACTCGAGTGTAGTTTGTTACTGAGACTGGATATACTTAGGTTGCTTGTTGGTATGATGATATGATTGTATGAAGAAACACTTGATCAAACGTGAAGATCAAGCGTATGTGCATTAAATCAAATACGCCAAACATCGCTCAATAATAAAACAAAACATGCAAGATAAGTAAGTAAAAGTAAGTACCTGGTGTAACAATAATCACAGGTCTGAAATCATAGCCAATGGATGTACGAACTGTACTGTAAATGAAAAATACCAAACCTATGGAGCACCAACAATGTGAGAGAGAGAGAGAGAGAGAAAGGAAACAAGACCAGATCGGCGTCATCAAAAATCGTCAGGACTAGCGAGGTCCTCGAGTTTCTGGGTCAGGAATCGCCCTAGCGCAGCAGACTTGGACTCCAGGGCGAGGAGAATGGCCGGGGACGCGGAGAGTTTGAGACTAGAGAGACGGGCGAGGTCGCTGCTCCGGTCGATTTCGTACTGCGTTTCGAGATGCGCGTCGCTCTGGAAGTGGGATTCGCTGTGGCTGCGGGAGAGGTCGTTCGGGGTGGTGCCGTTGGTGGAAGTCGGATGATGGAGGGATGTGCCGTTTGGGGGCACGAACTGGGCACCGGTTGGCCCGGGCCCGTCCATGGTAAACCCGTTCGTGGTGCCCGAAGTGCCGTCGAGGGGTCCTACGGGTTTCATCTTCGAGGGTCCGACGGCGGCTAGGAGGACCTTGTCGGCGATCCGCGTGACGATGGCGACGAGGTCGTCGAGCTCGAAGACGATGGACCCGACGTCGCCTAGGGACACGGATTGGGCGGTCACGTAGGAAGAGGGATGGCTGGCTGGGTTGACACCCGTGAGGTTGCCGCTGGACGCGTTCTTGGCGTAGCAGGTGTAGGCAGCGCCGTAGGTTGCGCTGAGGTTTCGTAATTGTCGCAGCGGTAGAGATGACGCGGAGGCAAAGATGGCGCCGTTGGTCGCGAATACTCTACGCACACGCAGATGGACTGGTTAGCAGTGATGTGGAAGCCGGATCAGTGAAGAAAGAAAGTGTATCGTACAGAATGGAGGTGATTTCCGGCGGCGAGAGGTTGTCCTCCAGCAGGTCGCTGAGGGCCTCCGCATCCAGCATCTTGATGTCTGGTAGTCCGGGAATCATGGTGTCGTAGGGGTCGTCGCGGGAGAGATCGTATTTGGGGTCGTGCTGCTCAACGATCCAGTCCTTGGGAGGAGACCAAGAACAGTCCTCGGGGAAAAAGAAACAGTTGTCCCAGTAATCTCGGTCGTCGTGGTCGTACTCGATCGGTTCACCCGAGCACTCGAGAAGATTTTGTGCGTATTGAACTTGGCTCTGTGCCCAGTACGGACGATGCGGAATGGCACAAGCGCTGGTGGGTTTGTGTTGGCACGACGGGCCAGGATGAACTGGATGTTGATATTCAGTCATTTTGATTCGCGGGTAAGTGAGAAAAGGGAGAATAGAACACTCTGTGGGTACGAACGAGGAAGGAATGGGCAAAGGGGGTGGGGAGATGTGTTATAGTCCAAGGAAAACAAATATGAAGTCTGACACGAGGTACAACTGAAGGGATCGGTGGCACAAGAGATACACAAACAAGAGACAGTCTCTTCGGGGGGGGCATGAGCGAAACCCAACGGAGGAAATAGTCTGGCGCTTTCATTCCATGCCTGACCTTGAGACCTCGCAACTATCCATGACGGAAATGGGCTGTTGGGACACAAGGAGGAATTTCAAAAGACGCTCGAAAGCGTGGGGAAAGGTGCCATGGGGGGAAACAAGCGGCACGGTCCTGGAAGGACCGAACCAATTGCGCCACGAAAGGAAAAAGAAAGCATTAAGCGATGAGCAAATGTAGGAGTGTAGGAAGTCGAGAAAATAGGCACGGAAGTCGAATGCAAAGGGGGGCAAGCGAGCAGGCAATCTCCAAGTGCCAACAAAGCACATGGATGGCTGGGGCATGGCATGGAATGATGGATGGATGGATCTAAATGATCCTCGGGGGTGTTGGGGCACTCCATGGAGACGGACAACAAGGGAGCAAACTACCAACCTTGACCAATTGACAATGCGACCAGCGCCGAGGAAGCTGCAAGAAGCCGATCCGATGGGAAGGACGAAGTTTGGGAAAAAAAGCAAGAGGAGGAGATGAGATCCAGTCAAGAGTCAAGCACATGACGGAGGAGAAGGCCATGGACTGGCAGAAAACGCGCTGCCGTCATTCCGCCTTGGGGGGAACCACTTGGGGTCACCGCCTTCGGGAGGGACCGGATCTTCTTGCGGGAGTTGTACAGACTCTTCCGTTCTGTTCCGTCATGCTCTGTCCTTATAGATGCGAGAGCTGTCTACATCCTACGTGTTTGTCAATAGGGTAGCTGTTCAGCTCTCTAAATGCTTTTAGGAAGGTCAAATTTAGTTCCTTGAGCTATTTATTATTGGGTTCTGTTATATTCCAATTCTTTACAGGTATATATAAATACATGGGACCAAGTGGCCATTGGGAAGAACCGACATAATATTAACACGATCGAGTGATATTGCTGTATAAAAGCAGGGAGATGATATTAGCTAGGACAGAACTGTCAGCTCGTATCATCCATTACACGCCAGCCTCCTCCCGCATCTGCACGCTGTTGATAAACTCGCATCTACGGAGTAGCTGCGCCCAGTAGATAGCTTTTTCTGCTTCGGTAGCCTTTTCCTCATCCAGATCCTTGCTAACGATTGCTGGGCCGGTCCCATATGGACCCCCAAACACCTGAATTGAAAGCCTGCTTGGAGACTCCCCGGCCAAGTCTTGACTGGTTGCACCAGAAAAGACCGCAGGCCATCTCTTGATTTGACCGTCTTCGTTCTCCGGACTCCCCGTATTCACGAAATTCGCGACGGCTCCGCTCACCACCCGGGCCAAGGCAAGCTGCGAGGCAGAGTTATCCGCACCGCCCTCAAGATTCTGGGCGTTCAAGGCGTACGGGATATCACTCAGGTGAGCAATCCGCCACATCGGGACGCCCATTTTCTCAAAGACAGGGGTGAACCTAGTAGAGTTATGCTCGTACACTCGAACCTGGGACGGCTCCACGCCGCCGTTCTTGACGTACTGCCAGGCAAAGTCCAGAACGGGGCACGTGAACCAGATGTCCCGATTCATTTGCGCGGCACGGTAGTATTGTGCGGAGACCGGACCGTCGGATCCCTCTCGAACCATGTGTTCGAAATCTTCACGTGGGTAGAGTTTTAGCAGTCGCTGCTTGGTTGAATTGGACAGATTGAAAAGCCAACGCCCAAAACTATCCAACACGTCTTCGTCGGTCGAGGCTAGAGGGGATGCATACCAGGCCCCATCATTCGTTACCCAGGAGCCAATCATCGGAATTCCTTTGGCAAATTTGCCTGCGCGCACCAGCTGGGATGGCCGATCGCGAATAAAGTCACCGTCAATGGTTGGATAGAAGAAACCCTCGCCGAAAGGTGGCCGGGCGGCGCGAGAAGCCGTGACGGAGAGATTGGTCAGTGTCTCGAAGGGAACATTCCGCAGGCATTCCAGGACCTTCGAGGATTGATCATCGTCATCTTCAACACATCCGACCTGCCTTGCGATTGCTGCGATGTTGTCTGCGACAATATCAGGCTTGCTATTGAAGTTCAGGCCTGGACCGCCCGACATCATTCTTGGTGAAGAGTTCGAGGTTAGCGGGAAATTAAACATTTTCAATGCGGTTTACTCACATTGCTTGCTGGAATGGAACCCCTTGCGTTCCGTCAAATGCTGTCAACTGCAGGCCAATGTCGCTAGCTCCTACACTTTGTCCCACGACAGTCACTTTATCCCGAGAAGTCAGTTCTAGGCCTTGGTGATCGACGTTTTCAACAGAACCTACCTTTATTAGGATCGCCACCAAACACCTCGATGTTATCCCGAACCCCTACGAAGGATTTCAGTGTGTGCTCAGATGAGAATACGATACCCGAACATACATTCAAGAGCGGCCCGTTGGTCACGAAGACCCACGTTTGTCTGTCCGGCTTCAATCAATGCTTTGCTTGTCGCAAAGCCGAACACTGCATGTTTTAGTTAGAAGCATGTTTGCTATCTCGAATTGAAAAGCGAAAACTTACTGCCGAAGCGATAGTTAATGGCGACATATATCAAAGGTCGATTATCTGCCGCAGCTTGCTTGACCAAGCCATCTGGGGTATATAAGATATCTGACCCGGAACCCAACGCATGACCACCTAAGATATCATTGAGTGAGGTGTCAAAGGCAAGGACCTGAGTCATTTACCTCCATGGATCCATACCACCACCGGCAACTTGGCATTCTTGCTCACGCCGCTCGGCCGGGCGATCCTCAAACTTAGACAATTCTCACTGATGTTGGCTACACGACTGGTGAAAGGAAGTATATCTCCAGTACCCTGGGGACACCAGGCCCCAGGCCGTGTCGCATCGACGATGGATCCTTTAGAAGGCTTTACGGGGACCGGTGGCGCAAATCGTTTTTCGCCAACAGGATTCTCTGCGTAGAAGATCTCATGGAAATGCTCAATGCTAGCAGAGTGGATGCCGAGATATTTAATATCTCGGACAGGGTCGATAACAGTTGGTGCTAGGGAAAACACACCGAGCGAGTGAAATCCATACTCGACGCCTTTTTGAGCAAGAAAGTCTCGATAGGGTTGAAGGTAGACGGCTAACACGCCTAGAATCACGGCGACCAGGGCCACCAGAGTGGGAGCTCTAGCACTGGCCATGCTTGTATCCTCACTGTAGCCTCAATTTCTAGGATGAACCAGAACAACCTCCAACCAGGGAGAATGAGACTTGATCAGTTAAATTGGATGTAAGTACTCTGGCAGAAATTTTCCATTGCAAGAACCGAAGGAGAGACGCCTAACGACTTTAAAGGATTCACCGAGCCAGCCTAGAACAGCGCAGATCCAACATGTTGTACTCTGTACCATGTCAGACTGGTGAGACGGTTTGCTGGGGCTACTCCGGAGTATGGTTGGTTCAAGTTGGTTACTGTGGGTCGGCACGGACGAGGGCAAGAACAGGCAGTCCAGGCCGCGGAGTTCGGAGAAAACGGGATCCTGCCCAGGGCGCTTGATCCGCGCAGGATTCGGCGGTCTGCGAATTGGGGCTCCTGGACTCTACGGTAAGTACGGAATAACGCTCGGGGGAGGGCTGGGAATAGCCTCAAAGTGCCTGCGGACATCGCCTGCCCCATGCAGACATAACGTCATAGCCCCCCCCGCCCCCCACTAAAGTCGGACTAAGAGAGGAGGGGGGAATAACTACTCATTTCATCTCGACTTTTCCTCTCCACTGCCCCTCCTTGTCCTCCCCTCCTTATGCTCGCCTGGCGTGCGTTTTCTTCCCTTCGTCCATCTTCCATCCGGGTCCTCAACCCAAATTTACCTTCGATCTTCCCAGGTGGGCTGTCCTTCCGATTCCTTTCCCCCCACTCATCTGCGATTCTCGCTCACAAGGTTGTTCCAGGAACCAATAGAACTCTCGCAACCATGGCTTCCGATACCTCCCAGTATAAGCTTAACCGTAAGTGATCGACGATCCTTCAATTCCTGACGGCTGATGGCTGACAATGGTGTCTGCTTAAATAGACACTATGATCCGGGTCAAGGATCCGAAGAAATCTCGTGCGTTTATCCTCCCCGTCGACTGGTTGACGACCAGAATGCTCATAGCTGTGGTCTCTAGTGGAATTCTACAAGTTCCTCGGACTTAGCCAGATCCAGTACATGGATTTCCCCGAAGCCAAGTTCTCCCTCTACTTCCTCGGCTACAACGGCGCCAACTCTTTGCAGGGTGGTGACCGACACTTCACGGACCGACAGGCCCAACTGGAACTCACCCACAACTACGGCACGGAGAACGACCCCAACTACAGCGTGGTGAACGGAAACACGGAACCCCACCGCGGTTTCGGGCACATCGCCATCTCCGTGGACAACATCGAGTCGGCCTGCAAGAGAATCGAGGATGCCGGGTACCCATTCCAGAAGAAGCTGACCGAGGGTCGGATGCGAAACATTGCTTTCGCTAAGGATCCCGATGGATACTGGGTCGAGCTCATCCGTCGCCACGACGAGGATGTCGGCACTACCACCGACCCCGGCAACTACCGATTCAACCACACCATGCTCCGAGTCAAGTCCGCCGAGAGCAGTCTGAAGTTCTACCAGGAGGTCATGGGCATGACTCTGCTGCGGACTTCCGAGAACAAGGAGGCCGGCTTCAACCTGTACTTCTTGGGATACCCCAAGCCCAACCCGCAGGTGCAGGAGAACGCCAAGAACCCGGTGGCCGAGTGGGAAGGTCTGCTCGAGTTGACCTGGAACTATGGCACCGAGAACCAGGAGGGCCAGGTCTACCACAACGGTAACACCGAGCCCCAGGGATTCGGACACATCTGTAAGTACCACCAATCAGTCGACGGAGACTGGACGGGTTTGAAGGGCTGTGGTTGCTAATGACGTTACCACAGGCGTGTCTGTCGACGATCTCAACGCCGCCTGTGACCGGTTCGAGTCGCTGAACGTCAACTGGAAGAAGCGTTTGACAGACGGCCGCATGAGAAATGTGGCCTTCGTGCTGGATCCCGACAACTACTGGGTTGAGGTGGTGCAGAACGAGGCGCTCAAGCGCACCAGCAACTGGTGATTTACCTAGTAGTTAGTAATTCCGAGTATATAGTAGTGTCAAAATGATGAGTGCATGTAAAGTCAAAAATCCCCTGGAATAATCAGTACAAGATCAGCGGAGAGTGGGGAAATCCCCCAAAGTCTGGCCCGCACGGCGACCGGATTACTACTCGCCGCCATTGAACCATCTTCACCTTCTCTTCCCCAGACTCAACCATCTCCAGCTGGACGCTGCTGTGCCATGCCAACTCCCTCCGTCTTTACACTGCATACGATTATGTCGATTGTGCGCTCTCTCGATGTCGGTTGACCACGTATCAATTTTCGCTTTCGCTCCGTGAATCCACTTTCACCGTCCATCTTTCGCAACCTTCTCTTCTCTCTCACGGTCGGGGCGAAATTTCACCATTCCCCGCGGTCGCAGCTCTCCAGTCGTCCAAATCATGGAGTCAGACTCCAAGCCCAAAAGGGCTCCGCGTAAGCATGTCACTACCGCTTGCGTTCCGTGTCGTGAGAGTAAGATCCGAGTATGTTGAATTTCCCCTACGATCCTACAATATCGCACGCCGAATTAACACTTGAGGTCTAGTGCGACGGAGCGACTCCCCATTGCCATAACTGCGAGCGAAAAGGCAAGGAATGCAAATACCAACATGGGGATGACAAACGGAAGTAAGTCCTGGCTCTGCGCCTCCATTCTTCGAATATCCAGGTGGTTGAAGGATATTGTGTAATGAATTGTTGAACAAGAGGGGCTGACCATGTCCCATCCAGAGTGTCACTGCGAGCGGCGACAGAGCTTTTTTCCGCCCGAATCGACCAACTATGTCAGTTTATATATGACCACGGGCTAGAACCGCCTCCGATGAACCCCGAGGATGAGTCGGGTATCAACCGAGTATTGGATACGCTTCAGATTCCTCGAGGGTTGGCAAAACGCACGGATTCTCAGAATGCGCGCTCGCAATCGGTCGTTACGCCGTCGCCGGCTCAAGATACACCCGGGCCGTCTACGTTCGATAGAAGGCTAGACTCGATTGACAGCCTGGCAGGGATTCCCTCCCCGGCGCAAAACGCATTTCCTTCTGCGCAAACAATTCTTTCCGCGGCCGAGAAAATTCCGGAGACGATAAACCCGCTCGCAGCCAATTCTGGCTTGTCGAGCCACTATCCGCCACCCAGTTGGGGGTTCACTCTACCCACAGCGGAGAGCCTCGACACTATTTATGCGAATATCAATGGTGCGCCGAGTGGTTCGCATGAGAACAGTCTCAGTCCCGACAGCTTCCATTTGTCCCAGGATATGCAACAGCAACCGGGTGTGCTGCTGGGACAGACGTGGAACAACAGGGATTATGACTCGGACAGCGGGGAAGAAGACGAGGCCGAGAAGGATGTTATCGAGCAGATCTCGAATCGGATCGGAACGTTGAAAATTGCCGGGGATGGCCATTTGCGCTTCTACGGGGCCACCTCGAACTTGAATTTGGTAGATGTCTCGGCGACGCAGCAGCGTCAACGTCCGGACGCGCGCACTGTCCGTCACGACGGGCAGGACATTTTGAACCACCTGCGCGTTGGACAGTCGGTGGATCAAGCACTTGAGGATCATCTCGTGGAGCTGTATTTTACATGGCAGAACCCGAGCACTTATGTCGTGGATAAGGAGATGTATATGATTGCCAGGTCCAAGTGGCGGAACGAGCTTGATGATACGCCGTTCTACTCAGAGGTTCTTACCAATGCAATGTATGCTCACGACTTTCCTTTACCAATTACTGCCTATTGACATATTCTAGGTGCGCTATTGGTAGTGCCTTCGAGGCGCGGTATCACCCGACCTTTATCACATTTCCCAAGTCCCTATCCGAATTTTTTGCAGATAGAGCTAAGGCTCTGCTTGAAATTGAGCTGGACTCGCCGTGTGTCGCCACAGTACAAGCACTCGTCATTTTAAGCTGTCATGAAGGATCATCAAATCGCGATGCGCGCGGTTGGTTGTATAGCGGTATGCGGAAGTTATAAGCGGCCAAAGACACGGGCTAATATGTTCTAGGAATGTCCATGAGGCTTGCCTTCGACCTTGGATTGCACATTGACATGACGCCGTACGTCGAAAAGAGAGAAATCAGCGCTTTTGAAGCCGATGTACGGCGAATAGCGTTCTGGGGGAGCTACACAGCAGATCAGTAAGTTAGATCACCACCACTAGGCATTACCTAGGAGCCTTGGGACTGACTTCTTTAGCTTCTGGGGCTTCTACCTAGGCCGACCGTTCCGGATGAATGCGGGAGATATCACCGTTCCGAAGCCTGCGTCGGGCCTGGGGATAGGGAAAGAAAGCACCTGGTATCCATACGGACTACCTGGGGATCTAGAACCTTCGAAGAATGGGGTTAGGAACCCCAACGAACTTGTGAGCAGACAATTCGCTATTCTATGGGAGATAATATCTCCTGTTGGTCACATTCTGTAAGTGTCCCGTAATGGTGATTGATACGCATGAGCTTATGCTGGCATAGATATGGCTGTTCCGATATTGGTCGACACGACCTGCAAAGGTTATGCCATACGGTGACCGATGACCTATTCGCCTGGAAGGCCAACTTGCCTTCGACACTGGACATCGACATGGATAATGACACGACTCCAAAACTGCCCCATCTTCTCATGCTACAGTAAGTCAAAAAAAACTTCCACAAACGAGACACCAAGACATAGATTAATTGGAACAGTATGCAATATCATCAAATTGTCATCTTCACTCATCGGCCGTGGGTGTCGAAAAGTTACATTCAGCCACGCAGTCCGCGCCAGGGACCTGGCTATCATCACGCTCGAAGAATGTGCGTCGAGTCCGCCACCGCCATCGCACGACTTCTTCATCTCTATGAAAAACACTACACCTTCCGTCGTATGAACAACCAAGTTGTGGCCATGATCTTCAGTGCAGCTCTGATGCTCCTCTACGTGACCATCTCCAACTCGACGCCGTCAAGCCGAAGCAATGGCGACAGTAGTAGCAGCAATACAGGAATGGTCGCATATCTCAACCTTTGCTTCCGGGCCCTAGACGAACTGGGCCAGTCCTTCGAGAACGCCAAACGCACGCGCGACTTCCTTGTCAGCCTTCAACGAAGATGGCAAGCTCACATGCGCCGTTCCGGTGCCAAGCGACAAGTCAGCCGGCGACCATCGGCGCAGCAGCTGGCAGGCAGCAACTCAGAAGCGAATACTTCCCGAAAGAAGAGCCGGATTTCTGCACCAAGAGGGCATGCCTCATACCCATTCCCGATGCCAGTGAACTCACTACAGGCTCCTGGTCCACTACCGAACCAAGCCGATCCACTTCGCGCTGCAGCACCGCTGGATCCCAGCCGGCAGCTGGGTACTTGCCAACCGGGCGAATTCGACTGGATCCGCAATTCCGATCTGCAGCTACTCTCGGGCGCACTGGAAGATCCCGGACTCGGTCAATTGGGAGGCGCCAATGCGTATGGCGATGACCCTGCAATGCCCAGTCTATCGGATATCGAGCCTTGGTGGGATTCTCCACCCGGGAACGGGCTTGGAGGTGGTTCTTTATAAGCAGATGAAAGGAGACCCATTTATATATAAGACATTTTGCTGTAGCATATTTTACTTTCACTGGGACGTGAACGTACAGTCCCTCGTATGTATACGACAATGCTGTCCCTTCCTCAGATCTGACAGGCAAGAGATCCGTCAATCCAATCGTCGATCGCCAGTCTATTCCGCAGCTAAGGTGTTACTATTTTCAGCTCCTTGACTAGCATCATGACCGGGTACCTAATGACTATTGTCAGTAAGTCATAGGTAATGATGACCCTGAGGGTATTTCCCCACAGCCTTTGGTGCGAAACCGTGCCAATTTCTTGGTTTTGAGACGCTGCGTTGGCCTGGTCTCGAGACTTGGGGTCCGGCGGTTGCGCTTATATTTTTCTTCACGCAGGGATGAGGCTGTGTAGTCAGGAGATGGTGTGAAGTATGGCCGATTTAGTGCATGTTTCCTGCATTAGATCATTGCATTAGTATCATAGGACTGTTTCTGGGAATCGAAGGGTTCAGGTTCAGCTCCAATTGTATTTCGAACAGTATACCTATAAACCCTAGCTTCCAACACCCCTAAAGTTCAGGTCTTCCTTCTCTTTCTTTATTACTTGTGATATTAAACTTCGATTGAGACCGACTGTCAAACACAACTTCTTGCATCCACAGCCTCAATGCCCAGATTTCCGCGCCGAACGCCAAGTTCACCACAGAGGAGGCTATGACAGGCGCGATGCGATTAACTCCAGTCTGCAGCATTCACTGTTTCTCCTGGCCCCCACGTCCCAGGCTTTGTCTGCCAGTAGGCAAGGAGACAGGCTGTCAGATCATGTCAGGAACATGAGGTGCTAAGGGTTTAATATAAGAAATCAAGTCCCGCTATTTCCTCGTGTTTCTTCTGCCTCTGCTTTGGTCTCCGTTGCTGCTAGATGTCATGTATACTCACGAGGAAAGAACGCTTATCATCAATCTTTGTTTCTGGCTTTACCATTTAATAAATCCCCCACCATTTGAAAAAGACACGAACTTTGACTTCACGATCTAAAAATATCACCATATCCACAACCACATATCACCATGTGCCGTCTACGCCTCCTACCTATCCTAAACCTCGCCATATCCACGCTCCTCGCCCAGCACGCCGTCACCGAAAAGACCCGCACCTGCTACTTTCCCGACCACAGCATCTCCAACGACGTGCCCTGCACCTCGGACACGTATACGCACTGCTGCACGGCCGGCGATATCTGCCTGGACAACGGATACTGCTATAGCGTGTCGCATCAGCCATATGTGCTGTCCAGGGGGAGCTGTACGGATCAGAATTGGGGTGCGGATTGTCCGCAGTTATGTTCGGGGTGTATGTTCCTTCATTTCCTACCCGCTCCTCTTTCTATAGCGTATGCAGCAGGCTTCCCGTTTGGGATGTTGAGCCCTAACTCGGCTCTTTATCCTGTCCGACCAAATCAATCCTCGTTCTTCACCATCAAGAAATTACACACATATATATACCTATCTTGCACCAAGATGAACAAACCAAAACAGAAGAAAGAAACAAACTAACAAAAATGCCCACAACAGCCCAAAATAACATTGGCGGCGGCTGTTCCATCATCAGCCTCCTCTTCCTCGACGGCACATCAACCTACTGCTGCGGTAACCCGATCTACGACTCAGAAACCGGCAACGTGACATGCGCGAACGGTGAAATGCCATTCGAGATGCCATCCGCAAAAGTCCTGCTTGGTCGCGCGGCCCTGGAGAACGTCACCACCGTGGGGGATAACAACGAGACTAATACGAATGTCACAGGGATGGCGGAGGATTCGGGTCCCTGTGAATCGACGGGCGGGATTGGGTCCGTGAGAACGGCGATTGGGGCCGGGGTGGGTGTGCCGTTGGGGGTGTTGGCGATGTCGGCGCTCGGGTGGGCGTTTTTGGAGAGGAGGAAGAGGAGGAAGGTTGAGGCTGCTGTGTTGGGGGCACACGGGAGAGGGGTTTATTTGGGGAAGGGGCAGCAGAAACAGCAGCAGCAGCAACAGATTGGGGGAATAGGGATGGGGATAGGGATGTCTGGGCTGACGGTGACGAGTGCACCTCCAGAGCAGGGAGGATATTCGGCTGAATTGAACGAGCCACCGGCGGAGTTGATGGGGACACCGAAGAGGAGTCGGTCGGGATGATGTGTTTCTGTGGAGTATAGATCCTTGATTATTATGACTGGTTTCAATGCGTATAAGCGTGATTAGTTGTGACCTCGATATACTAAATCATTAGAGTATGGATATAGAATGAAACCCCTCGGGACTTGATGAGCATAGATGAAAATCGCTGGTTCCGGAGTGAGGACAAGAAAGTGTTCTGCTCTGACAAAGAACCGTGGGAGAGCACCCTATTTCTTCGATAATTTACAATGGAACAACGTCGTAATTAGTCCCTCGAACGAAATCCTGCCATGTCACGCTCCGGGCCCTCAAGGGATTGTTGTCTCTCCACGCCCAATAGTCGACGCATATTTGTTTAGCATTGTCGAGGCTCTTGAATCCGTGGCGATGTTTTGACTGGAACCATTCCAAGGAGCGCGTTCTCATAACCGGGTCATTGCATTCTACCGCAATGACAAGACAAGGCCACAGAAGAATACATCCATTCGAGCCCTGGGCCTTGATTTCGCTGATCTCGAGATGGTGAAGATCAGCTTTGACCATGTATTGGATTTCGGCTGGTGGCCGATGATGAATCTTTCGCTGGATAAATATCAACAGAGAATAATCATAGACATGAGAGTAATGAAGGTTCGTTGAGTTTTTCTTGGTGGCGTCTGACCGTTGTTCAGGGATACTAGATGGGGCGCTGAGATACGCTTGAAGCTCCAGTTGCTGGGCCAGCCGATCAGAGTCCGGCAGGCTAGACGATATGCGATAGATTGGTAGGACCGTTCGCAGGAGGAATTTGCTGATATTATGATACCGACATAAGTAGTCGCTTGAGTCGGGGAGCTGTGCGATTAGGCTTTCAAGATCGAAGCCTGATGTGTGATTACCGAACACGGCGAGACAGAGAAACTGCAAGAGAACTGTGTGTAAATCTGAGCCGGGTTCGACATCAAGATCGCCAGCCTTGGATAGGTAGTTCAGCGCTCCATGAACATGACTTCTCCAGTGTACTTGCCAACACGTGACTGCTGCTACCGGTACTTTCATCGAAGCCTGAATCTCTTTTTATTTTTCCTCTTTGCGTCATAAAAAACATGGATTCTGTCACGATTGTTGGTCTCGTATGAACAAGCCATTCTCTCTCATTTCATGCTATATACGCCGCGAAAGCTAATTACAGATCCCTCAGAGGGATCTCCTCAGTGAGGTGGTTATCCACAAATATTCAGTTATCCTTGAGCCACCCTGCATGATATTTTTGGCCATCATAGCCACTATCTAGCGCAGTGATCTCAAGTCCACGGGTCGACTCGTGGGTGGACATTGACCAAAGTTTCCCCGTGTTGTTACGCCATAGACAGTGAAAGCCCATCCCCTTCCCACTTCATCATCCTTCCAAACCAGCCACCCTCAGATGTACGAGATTTTCCCGTTTGCAGATTCTTGCTGGAGGGCTGCAACGGACCCATTCTCTTCGATATGCTCCTCGTTTAGACATTCGTCGCTCTCTTCGAACAGGGACGCGTATATATCGGTGGTTCGCAGTCTCAATCGCGAAAAGGCCTTCTTGACCGATCTCAAACTGAAGAGACCCGGGTGCCAGAGCGTGAAAGCTAGAACCGGACGCCCCGCCGGTGAAATGATTTGTAGCTGTAAAACCACAGTTGGGCGGAACTGGAACTTGTGCCGATTCTTGCGTTTCACCGCGTGTGCGATGTAGAAGGACGTTGGTTTAGAGGCAGAAACGAGCTGACTGGACCCCGTTAGTAATGATACACAGTTTGTGATAAGTATAGATGCGTACCTCGTAGAGCCTCCATTCTCGTTGTTACTAATTCGCATCTCAATGGAATCCGGGTCAGAAGGCATGGTTGGTGTGATGATTCCAGAAGCGAAGAAAGTCACTAAGGTATGGGAAGAACTTCGTCTGAAGAGTAATTATAAGCAACGGGATTTTCCGTGTCTTTAGGAGCTCTCCATCGATATTGGCGTCTTGCCTTCCAGTCTGATCCAGTTGGGCCAAGTCCATTGTAGACCCGTCTCAGCTGATCGAGTGGAACTTGGCTTAGCAGGCGAGGATTTCCGTGAACTCATCTTTTTTAATGTTTCTAGGGATTGACCAACTTGAGGAGGGAATGAGGGAACACCGAACAGCGAGTCGGCCTCCGGAGTCGGCCGAACCGCATAACGGGAAGATTCTCTTCCTTCGCCCCCCCGTCTCTTGTGTCTCCTTTCTCTAATCTTTTCTCTACTATGGTGAACAGATCGTTAAAAAGCCTAAATTACATAACATTCTAAGTATAACGTAACTGTCGTGGTATGTCTTGACTAGATCCACCAACGAAATTTACTTATTGAAACTGGTAAAACCATTCGATACGGAACTCTATGGGCTCAGCATTGAATATAACGTTCCTCGAAAGACTGCAGGAGAAGAGTAAGTGATATATTTAAATGTTTAAGAATTTTGGTGTTAATGTAGTTAAGTCGACGTTGATGTGGACATTCTGAATATCAAGTTTATTTAGTTGCTGTCAATCATCCCCAATGACCGGATATTGAATCCCGCGTGACTGTTTATGTAGCTTCAAGATTCCACGACGAAAGTTGTGACTCGCGGAATAGTTTAATAAGACTATAATTTTTAACGAAGTGGTAATGTTCGCGTGTTATTCATTAAACTACTATGTTCTAGGCTCCTTCATAGGCAACCGAAAAAAGAGTATTGACGAACCTGCTGAAGGCGGTTTATTTTTATAAACATAACATCCTGTTCATCAAAGGTAGAATTCTGGTTCGAACAAGCCCCAGTAAGGCATATAATCTTTAGGAAATCTTTGATTTGGCTTGCCTTCTTGTAAAGGATGGAATTCTATCGCGCAATGTTCTTTTCCTTAAGTGTTTGTTATTTTAATACGGAGTCAATCCTCTAGTTTCGCCTCACTTCGCGAAATCATTGTTTTCGTTTAAATTGGCTGCCATTCAGCGACCATCTCGACTGGTGTTCTGGAAGAGCTGGTGAACCCTGAACGTTATTAGATTGAATTGGAAGGGACACTACCTACGAAGCTAAATAATCTTAGAAGACCGTATGATGTAAGTGTGCCGATTCTTTTATTGCGATTACAAGGATTATTTTAGAGCGATCCACTCCAAAGAACCCGGGAGTAAAAAATATGTAATCTGAAAAAAGTCTTTTTCGCGCGTAATGGCGATGTCTTCACTGAAAAGATTGAGACCGATTTTGAGGGTAATAAACGGCTGGAGTAAACGTTGGAACTCTTTACAATAGTAAAATAAGCAAATATACAGCTGGTTCAAGGTCCTTGATACCTCTTCTGTGACATTTAATAACTTCTGAGAGAGAGAGATGAAAATCATTCAATAAGCTTCAGAGAGGCTCGGATGTCATCAGATCAGCTCTCCAGGTTGTGCTGATTCGGCTTCGGGGTTGGAGTGGATTATATTGCGATCCGTACCAATTGAAAGTGTTATTATGATGATCAGTATCTCGCCAGCCATCATGATGAGAACACTCTCGTGCTTTGGGTGATTAACAGTCAGATTCTCTTTGTGGAGTTTTTACTATTGGAGTAGAGAGCGACGCTTTCGTTAATATAACTAAATCAATTCAGACAAGGGGATGTTTTCATCATACTATCCACGCTGTATACGCATATCCTAGGCCCTGAGACAAAGTGACAAAGACGTATACTTCATAGGACTTAGTTTTATCATTTCGGCTATACCGAAACAATGACTGAGGAACGCCGCTGGGCTATATGCCAGTGGGACTCGTATCGAGAGTCAGCAGGGCGCGATCATTTACGAGGACATGATTGGCGATCAGCCATGCTAGCTCGTTATGTGGAGTCGACCTGGGGATTATGTGGAGCCATCATGATAATTCCTCGTGCTAATGACCACCCTTCGAGGTACTAAAGGTGGCCTCGAGACGATGTCAATTCCCCACGCTCTATAGGAATGGGTTAGTGTTGGGGCTGTGTAGAAATCCATATTGCCGAACGCTTATTGCGAAGGAGGTTTTTGCTTTATTTACCACAGTTAGGTAGGACAGTTTCCTGTCCACGTCATGTTGTATGCACACAACTCTAATATTGCCTAGATCCGCACAGGCGGGAGTGTGGGGGACTGATGGAAAATCTGACCCTATACGCAGTACGGTGTACTCCATATGCCATGAATAGGGTCAACAGGAGCCAAACAGAAGTTGCCTCAAGTGGGCCTGCAGAACGCGGGGTAATTAATAATAAGCGCACAGGAATATTTAACGAAATCGTAGGGCCCTCGAGACGACACCCTAGACAACTGTACAGTCTCAATGGACGGTGCGAGCACCGCACGACAGAGCTCAGCGACGGGAGGTATCACCAGAGGCACCAAGCGCCGCCGGATCAGACCGTCTCGAGCCCGTGGCCTGAGAACTAGAACAGGATGGTAAGTAGATAGGCAGCTGGTTCAACTCACAATGCATCCCCTTAGCGAGCATCCCATTCGCTTACAAGCACGATAGCCTCACTTGCAGAGAGAGACGCGTGAAGTGCGATGACGGCAAACCCACCTGCCTGCGATGTTCCAAGTCGCATCGAATCTGTCTATATGCCTCTGTCGGACACGCAACCGACCCTGAGCCCCCAGGAGCACAGCCAAGTCCGCAGGAGCAGCAGCCGAGCCTTGATGCACCATATTTTGAGGATACCGGCCCAGCCCCTGCTGAAGCTCCAGTTGCACTCCACGCAAACGAAGCGATTGAGACGTCGCAAAGTGACCAGAGGCTACCTGGTTTGGACTCTGGTCTCTCAAACTCCCCACTTTCACTCAGCCAGGTGTCCCTGCTCAATATCTCCCCATTGGAATGGTACGACTTGCTAGCCCGGGATGCCATCAGCAACATTCAACGCCGGAACGACGCTCCGACGGGCGATCCACGATGGAAATTTCCCGATTTGGCCCTTTCTCGTAGGCAGTCACCAGCTCCTGGTTTAGAGGATCACTATGAGCTAGCTGAGAGGCGCCCCGAGCAGCAGCAGCAGGTGCAAGACGACACAATTGAAGCTTCTCTTGTGGGCCATCCCCAGGTGCTGGAGCCTTGGAACACAGCGAATAGGATAGAATTATCGGCAGTAGATTTTGAATTCTTTCAATATTACATTGAAGTTGTCGGACCCATCCTAGACTTGTTCGATCCCGATCGACACTTCATCAATATCGTTCCGCATCTTGCATTGCGAAATACAGGGCTCTTGAAGTCCATACTCGCTGTTGGGGCCAAACACAAGTCTCTAGGTTTGATCCATATATCGAACGAAGATACCTCAGGTCATCATGCGGCCTCACAGGTGAATACACCCTCGTCGTTGGCAGCAGCATCAGCAGCAACGACCGGTCAACCGTCTGAATCAAACCCGACCCCAGCACACATGGCAACACACTATTACTACGAAACGCTACAGTATCTCTCACAAACACTACTCTATCCCTCCTATGCGGACTCCCGAGAAATCCTCGCAACTGCCACCATGATCAGCACGTACGAGATGTTCGACATCGACAGCGCCTCAACCAGCGGAGACTGGGAGAAGCACCTACGAGGCTCTTTCTGGATCCAGCGATCTCAAGACAACGATGGTGAGTCTGTGGACGGTCTTAGACGAGCTGTCTGGTGGGCATGGCTGCGACAAGACATTTGGGCAGCCTTTCGAGCAGGAAGGCCAACGCTGAGTTTCTGGCGAGCTCGGAAACCTCTCGAGGACCTAGATCCTGATGGATTGGCCACCAGGATTGTCTATATATGCGGCCAGTGCGTCGCGTACGCCGCGTCAGATGAGGCAACAGATCGAGATCCCAGACCTAGAATTGGGCACGGGGATAGACTTCTACGTGCCCTCGATGATTGGTATCGTGTTCTTCCTGCGTCCTATCAGCCGGTTACTATCAGCGAAGGTGGCTCGCAGGCAACATTCCCGTCGATATGGATTCATCCACCGAGTCACGCAGGAGCAATGCAGATGTATAGTTTTGCACGTGCCATAGTGCTACTGAATCAACCTACTAGAGGTGGACTCAATGCATACCGTCAGCGCGAGAAGGAACTGACCGACAGTGTCAAGATGGTCTGTGGAATTGCGAGCGCTTGCGGGGATCATGACTCTGCCATGGCGTTTGTTAACGTACAGGCTTTGTTTGGAGGTAGGTTTTGCCCTGACTGCGTTGTTGTCCATTCTTTCCCTCGGCTGACGAGACACCTCAGTTGGCCAGTTTGTTCGGTCGCAAGAGATGCGTAGCGAGTTGCTCCGTATCTTGGAGAAGATGTTGAGAATTAGCAAGTTCCCAGCTCGGGGGCTTGTTGGTGAACTGAATAGCTTGTGGCAGGAATGAACCTTCGTAAAATACGAGTGTAAATGGGCCCACCCTAGCACGAATTTCTATGCGACGAAATGGATGAACTGCAAAAAGCTTTTGTTTTTTTCGTACTGTTTCATTTGATTCGTCACTGCCCTCTATTGATATATCAAATATAAAATCTTACCACGCCCCCACAATACCAGCAACCGGAATATCAATACCAGTCGTGTACGAAGCACCATCAGAAAGCAAATAGACATAAGCACCGCCTAGTTCCTTAGGGTCTGCCAATCTCGGCATACCACCGTAATACTGCATCTTGAGATCCCAGTCCGGCGCCTGGTCCACAAAGTACGTCATGGCGGTCTTAATAAAGCCCGGCGAGATGGAGTTGACACGAATGCCATGTCGTGCCCACTCCATGGCCAGCGTATGTGTCATATTGCGCACGGCAGCCTTAGTAGCGCCGTAGGGCGCCGAAGGCGCCGCGCGGTTCGGGCGATAAGAAGTCATGGAAGCCGTGAAGACGATGGATCCCTTGATGCCGAGATCGATGAAGCGGCGGGCGACGGTCGTTGCGCAGGAGTAGGCGCCGAACACGTTGAGATTGAAGAGTTGGTCGAGTTGGGCCCGACTGAAGTCGAGGGCTGGTTGGTGCTTCGTCATGCCGGCATTGGCGATGAAGCCGTGGATGGCTCCGCGGGCTGTGATGACGGCATCGATTGCGGAGCTTACACTCTCCTCGGAGGTCACATCGCAGTGGATATAGGATAGACGTTTGGGGTTGGCCATTTGTAGCGATCCGAATTCTTCGCCGGGCTCGAAGACGTCCAAGCTGAAGACGGCAGCTGCGTCGTTGGCTAGGCACACTTGTGCAAGGGCTAGTCCGATTCCCCGGTTGGCGCCAGTTATAGCGATCACTTTGTCTTTCAGGGTGATCTTCCAGTCGTGATCAAGCCCTGGATGAGTATCCAAGAAAGGGGGGGACGTTTCAGAAGTCATTTTGTCGATCATACCTGAAGGCATTGTTGGCAATATAGTTGTGAGCTGCAAGGAATTGGGGGTTGAAGAAGCGGTTATTCAATGGAGGTGCGAGCGTTATTTTAAGTCCGTTATTGCCATTAATTCAGTCAAGTAACACTGAGATGGTGTAAATAGGCGAGGCACTTTTTATCGGCCATGGAAGTAATGAAATCGCCTAATTGTCAAGGCCACTGGGGCATTCGAAACGAGGAACTCCACCATGAAATGCCTACTTGTCCCTCGCATCGAGTCCATGCGGCTAGCGTAATGACCGAGTCAGCCTTCTATACTCCCCAAGTTCTCGCGGTTATTCGGAATTTGGAACTTTCAATTGGTGGCCGAGACTATTGACAGTATTTGGATTTAGATGGCTGGAACATAGTTGAAGACTAGCATATGTATTCTTGGAGCTTTGTTGGGCCATGTAACGCGCCGAATATATTTCTGATTTTCTCTACCTAGTACTATACGACAAACTCATATCTAACCATAGCCTCCATTCTCTTATAACATCCGACGACAGACTAATAATCAGTTAACACTGCCCGACCGCAGCCGTCGACGCAGCCAAACATGCAAGAACAGAAACACAACAATGCCGACTGCTAACATCGCCGAAATGACAGAGAACCCCATAATGTATTTCGGGCTGTCATCTTCAGGGAACAAATACTGTGGTATCATGGGTTAGTACGGTAGCCAAACAGGAAGATAATATATGAATTAGCGAGATACGTACCGATCCGTAAATCTGGGCCAAATTACCCAGTGCGTTGACCATAGCCAGAGCCACACCTCGAGCCTGCGGATGCATCCCAGCAAAGGCAGACGACGCATATGCCAATGTTCCTCCATTGGTGGCCCAAAGGCCGGCAGCCATGAGAACAAGGAGAACGTAGCGAGCAGTGAAGTTATACACAGTACACACGATAATCGAACAGATTAGAGACACGGTCAACCAGGAAGCAATGATTAACCCACGCCAAGTAGGAACCATATCGCTGTAGTAGGCTGTGATACCTGTAGCGACGAAAGCCACGCCATAGATAGGGACAGTCAATAGGTTAACCTTCTTGGTGGATGCGTCTCCGAAAAGTCCTTTTACAAGCGTGGGATAAAAGTATGTCAAGGTACTCGAGCCGACGATGACCTATAAAGAATCAGTCCGTGAGTTAAGTTGAAGATTGGGGGTATCAACGAACCATGTACCCAATGACGAATGCCCAGGTGCGCCAATCCCGACATGCCACTTTACAAGCATCCAAGTTGCTCAGATGCTCGCTATCCGCGGTGGCAGCCGTCACATTGTCAGTCGCTAGACGTGCTAGGGCGACCTGCTTCTCACGCTCACTGAGGCGCCGCGATGTCGCCGGGAAATCTGGAAGAAGAAAGAGGGAGATGATGGCAAAGCCAACAGTAGCTGCACCTTCAATGATAAACAACCAACGCCACCCACGAATACCATGGACTCCCTCAAGACCATCGACAATGCCGGCAGCAATAAGGCCCCCAAAGGCACCAGATAGAACAGCCGCCGAGATGAACACACCGAAACGCTTCGACTGCTCGGCTTGTTTGTACCATGATGACAGGAGAAGTATAACCCCCGGGGCAAATCCGGCCTCAACGCATCCAAGGATAACTCGGAGGGCCACTAGGTGGGAGAAGTCCTTGATAACAGCCATCACGCAAGTCAAAGCACCCCAGAGAATCATGATTGATGGGAGAAAAATAGACGGTCGGGATCGGCCTAAGGCAAGGCTGTATAGAAAATCAGTCAGTGGTCATGTTTCGAAAGTAAGGACTGAGCATTGATTATGGGATAATCGTACTTGCTAGGAACTTCAAAGACCACGTATCCGATGAAGAAGACGACCAGTGCAATCGAGTACTGGTTTGAGCTCAAGTTAAGATCAACCTCCATTCCAGAGATCTTTGCATTGCCAATGCTGTACATACATAACCGTTAGTCTGCTGGGAAGGGCTTAAACCTTCAAGTCAAACATGTTCCACTCACTTGGTTCTGTCCAGGTATGACAGGAGATACATGATCCAGATGGTAGGCAGGAGGGTGAGATCAATCTTCCTCACCAACGCCTTCTCTTCCTCGGGAGTGATCGAAATTGCTTCTGCGATATTGACATTTTCGATCTCATGAGAAGAGACGTCCTTCAACTGGCTTTCGGCGTCCACGGGGTCCATGATGGCTTATCGCAAAAGCTTTGAGGTGAGAGGAATGAGGAAAGGTGATGAAAGATTGGAGATTGCCCCTTGCTTGGTGTTTATGTTTGATTCCTTTACCTAGTATATACGAGGCTAGGGCTTTGGGGTTACTGCCGTTGGACTCATCATGCCATCCGCCATTCCCCGGATTCTCCATCTCCATCTCCACAGCTCAAGAGACACCATTTCCCGCTCTCCAAAGTCTGGGCAATATTATCCGATTGGCTCATGAGGGGGTCATCGCATCGAGGCCAATGTGGACCCTCTCGTTAGCGTCAATCCTGGCTCCCGGATCGGTTGGTATGACAAAGAATGGTCCTGCTGGTGTTTACTATCAACCGAACAGAGATCCCAAGGCGCCAAAGACATATCAACTAGATTGAGAGAGAAGGCTTGTGCCCTCGTAGGGGAGTATTGGTGCCTTTAGTTAGAGATTGGCTCTTTGGCTTAAAGAGGAAGTCCTGTAAGCACTTAATTTGGGTCTTCTGCTACGGCGTTTTTTGCCTGTCAGACGAGACAGGTTAGGAAAGGAAGACATGCTCCCGTCGACGGTGACATAATACTAGAGAGAATGCTATATCACTCAATGTAAGACACAATACATTCATTCTAGAGGTGTCACTATATACATCCATAGCCATGCGCATCATTCATGAGTTACCTCACTGATCTAATGTTTCAACCCAATCTGCAGACTCCCATTGAAGTCCCTAAAGTCACCTCTGAGAATGCCAATACCATCATGCCTAACCTCCTCCACCAGGTCTTTGACTTTCTGTGCGATGCTCTCCGGAGCGAATCCGAAATGCTCATAGGTCTCTTTGGAAGGAAGACTTTTGCCAAAGCAATTCATCGATACCGAAGCATCCGCATAGCGCTCCCATCCGTTTGACGGGTATGCCTCAATAACGACTGTGGGCTTTTTGGCGCGTGGCTTGAGAACTGATTGCTTGTATTCCCATGGCTGTTGTTCAAAGAGCCTAGTACAAGGGAAGGACAATACCCGTGCCTTGATATCATAATCCTTTATAAGTAGTTCCCGGGTCTGCATTGCGTAACACATCTCAGAGCCGACACCGATCAAAGTCACGTCAAAGTCGTCATTGTCGGTCTCAGTGAAGACATATCCACCTTTCATAGCGCCCTCGCGCGAGGAGTACTGGGGGTATTGGGTCAGGCTCTGCCGGGAGAGGGAGATGACGGTTGGCGTCTCGGTAGCCTGGATAGCGGCGATATAGGCACCGGCTACTTCCTCGGTATCGCACGGACGGATAAAGAGAAGATTGGGCATCGCTCTCCAGAGCGCAGAAACGGCAATGGGTTGATGCGTGGGTCCGTTCTCGCCGACGCCGATGCTGTCGTGGGTGGCGATGTGGATCTGCTGGAGGCCTTGAAGTGCGGCCATGCGTATAGCGGCTGCGGCATACAGGTGGAAGACTAAGTACGTGCTCGTCATGGGGATGAATGTGCCTTTGTTGAACGCCGCAAGCCCGTTGGTAATGGCGCACATGGCGTGTTCCCGGATTCCGTAGTGTATGTATCGGCCGCTGTAGTTTCCATTCAGACCGCACGCAGTTCGAAGGTCAGGCTAATTGTACATTAGCAAATCAATGTCCTGTTGAGAGCAAGATCAATGGGCAATGAATATATATACTCACCGATTGAAAGTCGACTTTGTTCTTGTAGGCGATATTGCACGAAGGAGTAAGATCCGCTGTGCCAACCAAGAAGGAATTGATTCTCTCTCCAAGCGCGTTAGTAATAACACCGGCTGACTTTCGTGAAGCAGTCGGCGCGGTAGGCTGTTCTTCCTTACGCGGAATACATTTGGTCCAGTCCTGGGGCATTTTTCCTGCCACACGCAGCGCAAATTCAGCTGCTAGCTCTGGGTAATCCTCGCGATATCTCACCCGAGCTGCTTGCCAAGCTGCTTCGTGGGCCTCACCGCGGCTCGGGATATCACCAAAAAAGTCGTAAACATCTTCGGGAATGTGGAAGTGCTCGTTAGGGTTGAGACTGAACCGCCTCTTGAAGTTGGCAACTTCGTCGACTCCGAGCGCAGCTCCATGTACATCAGCAGTTCCAGCCTTGGCCGATCCGAAGCCAATTGTGGTGCGGATGTTCAGGAAGGTGGGCCTGTCACTCAATCGAGCGCTGGCAAGGGCTCGTGCAACAGCTGATATGTGTGAGCGGATCTGTAATAACCACCTTGAAGGAGATCCAAGACCTACCGACAACGTCCGAATCACCGTTGGACACGTCCATCACGTTGAAACCAGTAGCCCGCATCTTGGCATTGATATTCTCGGTGTTAGCAACATCTGCAGTACCATCACACGTAACTGAGTTGTTGTCGAATATAACGCAGAGATTATTTAGCTTCCAGTGACCAGCGAGAGAAAGCGCCTCGAGTCCAACACCTTCCTGCAGGCATGCGTCCCCGACCATGCACCATGTCATGTTATTAACCAGCTCATGATCAGGTCTGTTGTATGTGGCGGCTAGGTTCTTAGTGGCCATGGCAAGTCCAACAGCATTGGCGAGGCCCTGACCGAGGGGTCCAGTTGTGACCTCTACACCCTCGTTCTCGATCTCAGGGTGGCCGGGACAGAGTGAATCGAGCCTTGATGAGTGGTATGTTTTTAGCTGCTCGTGTGTCATGCTCTTGACGCCAACAAGGTGCATGAACAGGTACTGCCATAGACAGGCATGGCCTACCATTATTCCGGGTAAGCCACATGACGTTTGTTTGATGGGAACGAGGAGGGTGTTGATTACGACGTACCATTCGAAAGAACAAGGCGATCCCGGTTGAAGTAATCGCAATTCTTTGGAGAATATCTCATCACATATTTATACAGGGCAATACCAATAGCAGCCATACCCATGGGAGACCTGTGACAGAAGGTCTAGTCAGCGCTATGCTCTGGTTCTTCTAAGAACAGTGTCGATTTACCCAGCATGGCCTTCGCCGTATTGCTGGCAAACATCAGCGATGAAGGCTCGGAAAACGTTCATCACTCGTTGATGAGTATCTGTGCTTTCAAATCTGGGGTTAACAGCAGAAAAAGCTCCATTTCCGATGCTTGAAACGGCCTTGACTGGCAGTTTCTCGGTGGGCTTCTCGAGGAGTTCCAGCGCAGGTGCCATGGTGTAAAAATTGGTGTTGGCTGTGGCACTGGAGATAATTGGTTTGGTATAGCACTTGATAGTCCTGAGCTGTAGTACGCTGGCGAAGCAAGTAGACCAGACAGACGGTTCTTATACTCTAGGTATGATTCCATATTCTTTGACTGTCCGAGAATCAATGCATTCTATTGACGTTAAATTAAGACCGTTGGACATCGAGACGAAGTCATGGGCCACTGAACGTCGAGCTTACCCTTCTGCAGTAAGTTATCTCTGCTGGGGTAAATCCACGCAAGACTCCTACTGCCATAGGGTGGTCACGATAGTCGGAGTGAGTCCCTCGCTTCGAGACCAGCGGGCGCTCGCATCGAGAACCCACCGACTACATTTTCCCAGATATTAGCCAGCACAAGACGGAATTCTCGCGATTGGTTTGTTGCTCGCGACTCGAATCCTAATTTGTATGCCTCTCGCGTCCGTGTCATTGTAGTCCTCCGTTGTTTGACAGAATCAATCCTTGGCGAATCTAGGGATAGGTATGTAGGTAGGCAATCTTTCCCTTAGGAAGTCAGACATCCGGAATATACAACAACTATGGCGGCCCTATGAAGGCCTATACCTCTCTTATAGATCATCTTATTATTGAAGAATCTAATCCTCCAATAAGGGACCTTAACACCAGAATATTATAATTGACCGGCCTGATACTGTTCCCTCGTCTACTTCACTCGGTGTATTAAGTATTTACTACCGGAATATGTGCTTTGATGTTTGTTATTCATAGTAGCTTTTCTAATGAGTGACTGTCACTGTTACTGGCTCCAATCAATTCATCACAGCGTTCAAATTATACTGGTATAACATAGGTGCGTAGACTGGCTGACCAGATCTATTCTATGGTCTGCTTGACCCCGGCATACAGATCGCCATTCTTTTAGGGGGTGAATCTCGGCGTTGTAATTTGGAAAACCCCCAAAGGGTTGAATTTTCGAACAGTCATAATAAGGCCCGTTCCGGGCAGAAGATGGTGGAGGTATCACATCATGAGTTCAAAATGCTGGATATTCAGCCATGCTCTTCATGTGTCCATATAGGCACTTGAAACTGTCGCAGCTCGAGCTGCCAGCAGAGGGTCGATTACCTCCAAGGATACAGCATGGTTAATTTTTATGCAATTGCCTTTGGCGTGATTGTCCTTAATTATTAGTTGATTCGCTTCTCGCCATCCCGTTTCTCCAATGGGTGCATTGATCTGTATAGCTTGATCAAGTGCCACATTATTGTGAATGAACCTAGTATTAGGAGGGCGAGAAGCATCATTCCCCAAGGATCCGGGCTCCTCATCATTGAGTGCCACCGTGTCATCACCTATTCTATGTTAGTTGCTTAGGAAATTCCTTGAATTCACTCTCCCTATCATTTGGTATCTGAAGCTCGCTTGAATTGTCGATTTTAAGTCCCCCTATCCGTCCGAATGAAGTCTTGGAGAGGCTATGAATTCGATCAACGGCTGCCATTTTGCCTTCAATACTGCGCGGTATGTTGCCAACTAAATCGTGTTTCGCCCGAAGGAGTTGGTCCATAATATTATGCAGCAGCCTGAACTCATCATCAAGTAGTTGCCGGTTAAATGTCCTCTTCTCTCCTACTTGTAAAGTCTCGAGCAATTCTTTCAACTTGCCACCGATGTCATTAAATACCACGAGACCTGACGTCACCTCTGATGTCTGTAATGCTTCCTCATTTTGAACGATAGTGATGATAGCCGCCATCTTCTTAATTTCATCCTTGAGGATTTTGAGTGTAGATACGAGTGCCATTTGACATTCATTGGCGTTACAAACTCGCTTGATCAAGAACACTGTCATCTCCAAATTCCCAAGCGCCGCGGAAGCGACACCAATGATCTCTGGCTCCGACTATCTTGGGAGATGGAAGATTAGCATGCGCAGATAATCTGGGAATGTTTTGAACTGCCTACCATTTTCTATTTTCTTTTGCTGTCTAGTTCACGGGTAATAAGTTCCGATTGTTAATAACATAAAAAGAGGAAGAGCACTGGGAAATCCAACACTAATAGTCCCGACATCCTACGTGGCTTAAACTAAGCACATGAGGGGAATAGCTCGGCGAACTACCCCTCCGAGCAGGGATATAAATTACCGTCTATTTCTCTACGTGTCGCAGATTAGAATCATATTAGCTGAAATATTCGTTAAACTGCTGTTCTTCCTCCACCCATTGGTACTCGTCGCCAGTATGAAACGTCGCCGCAAGTCCATTATCTTCGGACTGATTAACAGAATTAATGCGAACCATGTCATTTTTAGTTACTTATAGATTATTGGTGCTCTTTCTCAAAAACTCCAGTACTTGTGCTACGGTAGGGTGGAAAACAAAAAAAGAACAAAGGCCTTATCTATCAACTGATCTGTGTCGTGATATGTGCCTTAGAATACTGGGTTTCCTGTTGAAGATCAATGAGTTATGCATTTATTATTGACAAGATTTACAGGTGGGACAGGATTTGAATTCTCAATCGCTTCATATCAAGATAATTGTATATAGCCAATTGAATTTAGGGCGTGCGTTATACCGAGTTCCTACTTCTGATTCAGTCAATATGATCCGGGAAGAATATGTTCGGGAGAGATATAAATATTAAGGTGGGCAGAAATAGGAGGCGGGAAACTGGGCAGTTGATGTTTCGCAATCCGACAAAATGTGTTCTACGAGATTCCGGAATACACAGGGCTAACATGATAATGAAATATTGATCGATTAGGGCGATTTTGGCCCCAATTCCTCTATGATGCCGAGAGTTTTTCCACTCCGCGGCGACACTATAGCGTGGCTCCATCCCTGCGTTGCTTTCCCGCGATGCTCCGTACTTTCCCGTCAAACTTCCCCGACAGGCCAGCAAAGATGACTCAAGACCTATCAGAAATTTTGAAGGGTGCTGCGCTTGACCTGACTCCGTACGAGGATCTCTACAAATATTTTCATGCCAATCCCGAGCTCTCTCTGCAAGAAGAATCTACATCGCAAAAGGTTGCGGCACATTTGTCGGGGTTGAAAGCGTATGAAATCCAAACTAATATCGGCGGCTTTGGACTTGCCGGAGTCCTACGAAATGGCCCCGGAAAGACTGTTCTGCTGCGCGCTGACATGGACGCACTTCCTGTCAAGGAACTCACTGGACTGCCGTACGCCAGCTCGGTTACCATGCGGGATGCCGACGGCAATGAAAAGCCCGTGATGCATGCCTGCGGACACGATATGCATATGACCTGTCTGCTCGCTGCGGCCGAGACCCTTGCAAAGACTCAGCATGCGTGGAGCGGAACATTGATCGTGGTGTTCCAGCCCAACGAGGAAAGAGGCGGTGGTGCTCAGGCCATGGTTAATGACGGGCTTTATTCCAAGGTCCCGGTGCCCGATTATGTTCTGGGTCAGCATGTGATGAAAATGCGGGCAGGAAAGATCGGCTCACGCCCTGGCACGATTATGGCCGCGGCCGATAGTTTGAAGATTACTGTCTTTGGACGCGGTGGCCATGGATCGTTGCCGCATCAGACCGTGGACCCGGCACTGCTCGCTGCGCATATTGTTGTTAGGCTCCAGGGCATCGTGAGCCGAGAGGTGGATCCGACGGATTTAGGCGTTGTCACGGTGGGGAGCCTGCAAGCCGGCCAGACCGAAAATATCATAGCGGATCGAGCGGAGATCGGCCTAGACTTTAGGACGGTGAAGCTGGAGACCCGACAAAAGATTCTTTCTGCTATCCAGCGTATTGTCGAGGCCGAATGCATGGCAAGTGGCTCACCGAAGCCTCCCGTGTTTACCCCGACACGACGGTTTCCACCAACTGACAATGACAATGACGCGGCGGCTCAAGTGGCTAAATCATTTGAGAAACACCTTGAAGATTTTGATGGGGACACGCCCAGAAGCAACGTCAGTGAGGACGTGTCCACGCTGGCAACTTGCAAAAACATCCCATGTTGCTTCTGGTTTCTCGGGGGGATCGATGCTCAGGTCTGGGACAAGGCTCAAGAAGAAGGCAATCAGACCGAGATACCATCGAACCACTCGGCGCTTTTCGCGCCCGCTATACGACCAACGATGGAAGTTGGAGCTAAGGCCCTCTGTCTCGCAGCTTTGACATTCTTAACGAAATAAATCACAGGCAATAAGTTAGCTAGGAGCGGGTAAATGAGGTTCTATTCGAATGATCCAGGCCTTATTTACGATATCAAGTGAGCTCAAGTAGTCCGGTCGTTGTTAGTCACCTAGGGCCTATTCTATGTTTTACTTTGATAAAGAGACGTCTGTGCACAGAGCACTGATTGTATTTAACTTCATAAATGAGAGCGCAATTGTAAGAGAAGTAATATATTCTTGCATAAAGAGTGTGATAGTTATGTCTATGGGTCACGCTTATGAAACGAGGGGACCCACCTCGAGGAATTGTCTGTATGCATAAGTTAGGTTGTTTCTACTTAGCCGGCAAGATTAGATTTATTTGCCTTTTTTTTCTTAGTCTCTTTTTTACCATGTAGCGAGAAGCATGTAACTCAATATGTTTCGTCTTCCCATGTGAATATGCCATGTCCTCTACGCAAGAGCAAAGTCTAGACATCGTTCGAGCTTCGAATAACGTTTCTCCAAGAGTAGCCAAGCTTCCAGTAGAGCCTGTCTCAGAGTGTCGAATTCAGACAAGGTTTGTGAGACTTTATACATATATTTTTGTTTGATGAGTAGGAGTGCAGTAGCCTAATAAGGTAGCAGGGAGGAAACGATGAGGGTCCTGGCATCGAGTGACAGCCACGAACCCTAATCCATGACATCCGTTGGATGGGAAAGATTCTGGATCTTGAACAGAAGGGAATGACGTCCAGATGTGACACATGAGGCATGATGGTCGGACGAGAGAATTGATTAACTAATTTATGGAGCTTGGAATAAGCTCTTTTATTGGTATGGAAGAGGGCTCGAACTAGAATTAAACGAAATCACGAGATGAAACGGGTTTGCTAGACGACAAGGAGAGAACATAGATTCTGGCTGTAGGCTGAATAGACTACGTGCCTCATTACTAGACTATCTGAGGAAACGTGGATTGAAAAATGAAAGGCCGGATAGCGTGAGAAATCTTGGCCACAAGAAGATTGACTGGTAGAAGCAATCCTTTGTGGACAAAGTTATTACTTGGATGCTGGACTTTATGCTTGCTGATGAATGGTCTGACAGGGGTCATGGATGTTGAATTGATAAATTACTATGTATGTCAACGCTCCTCTAGCTCTTATAGGCTAATCTCGATCCTTATGATACTTGACAACCTCTAGCTAATGTGGGAATATTTAGACGTCCCTCATTTTATGACGCTCTGGTGCAGCCCAGACAGCCCTTATTCTCCATCTAGACAACAGAAAAGGCTGACATCGGCAGAAAGGGCGATTATCTCTGGAATATAGTCAATGATCACTCCTTGAACGAGGATTCAACCCTTATCTTGACTTCGACCTATATCCAATTTAATTCGACTGACAAGCAAAGGTTGATATCACCTCTATACATGTGATTTGAATCGCTAGACAACCCGACTGGTTCCTTTTGTGCTCACTCAAGGGGTCTGGGAGAGATTTGCAATTTGCGAGACTGGGTCTGGTGTTACTAAGTATAGTATTTAACGCATATAACTCACTTCAAACCGCAACAGTCTGCAATAATTTACGATCTTCAGAGTAAAAAAAGATGTTTAGTTTTCTGGAGTTTAAATTACCTTTATGAGGCGTATATCTTTGCGACTAGTCGATCTTACTTTTTTAGGTTTGGAACTATATACACTTTCCTAAATTGGATGTTGAACCTTAAAGGGTATATGGTATCCCGGATCGTTGACCTGAATTGCAACTAATTCCTTTCTTTCAGTGGCATTGTCAATATAAGATTGCACCGATTTCCATAGTATAAAGACGTCTTTCCCTCCCTCCGCATCGAAGCCTTATGGGGCAGTCAATCTCAACATCGTACTCAAACTTAAATCAAGATGGCTCAACCTATTCCATTCTCATATACCCCGAAAGGCCTTTCCTATACCAAATTGTCTGTCAGTTCATGCAGCGAATTTACCTTTCTCAAAGCCAGCGCCATCGACAAAGCACAAAAAAGCTCTTACGACATACCGATCCAACCACTCGAGTGCGACGTTCCCTGGCCTTCTTCGTTCCCAGCGGTTCGGCAGTGCAAGTATTGGAAGGAGGTCCAGACTTCTTGTGAAGATCTGATGCAAGAGATCCGAGCCCTGAGGAATCAGAATACCAGGATGGTCCCCGAAGGATTCTCTCATATGGGAGATGAGCAACGTCTGACAAAGAAGGAAAGCATGATAATAGCGACGGCAGTCAGTTCTGCGACCTATATGGTACCGAATTCACCACGTGATAGGATCGAAGCTATAGCAAAGCTCTGGATGTTGCTCTGGACGCATGATGGTGAGTTGGTAATACAAAATTCTCGCAACTTTAATGTCATGGGTTCACTGATCTGATTGGGGTGTGGGCAGACGTTGTTGAATACAGCCCAGAACAGGCGGTAAGTTATTGGCGACTTGGTCAGCAAAGCAGTTCCGTGACTAATGAGAGTCGATAAGTTAGGGCTCGACCGTAGTCGACGATATGATAGGCTCACTTCTTCGAGTCGCCAGGGGCTTCGAGGATCTATCGGGAAACGAAGCCTGTGCTACGTTCAAACTGACAACAGAGCTTCTTGATCTGCCAGGAGGTCTCATGCAAACTCTCTTAGAGACTTTCGAAGACTTCCTGGTCTTTACTAGCAAACATCAAAGGTCTCGTTTCGAAGGCTTGCGAGATTTCCTCGACTATCGCATGATTGATATTGCCATGACGTGAGCCCCTTTTTCATCGGCTTTGTAAAACAACCATTAACCACATAATCCAGCCTCATCCTGGCATCAGTGAGACTCGGTAATGGCCTGGACCTGAACCGCCAACAGCTAGAGCCACTTCGTCACATCATTGACTTGACCAGTGACCACATCACTCTAGTTAATGACCTGTATTCCTTCGACAAGGAGAAACGAGCAGCGGTGACTGAAGGCGCCCTCCTTTTGAATACAGTCAACTATCTAGAACAGGCATTATCAGTGTCATCGCCTTTTGCCAAAGACCTCACCTTGCGTCTGATACTTGACATCGAATCTAAACTTCAGGATGAGCTCGGCCTAATTTCGCAAACTGAGACTTTGAGCGAGTCCCAAGTCCGATATGCCCACGCGTTGGTCGAATGCGCGTCGGGAAATTGGCTCTTCTCAATCACTTCAATCCGGTATGGAAAGGAAATGAAATAAATGAGTTTGCTTAGAGTATTCAATTGCATGGATTCTCTTCACACTTTAAGACGAATATCTTTTCAAAAACCGAGATTGTCTCTTTTGGTGGTCTTTCAATATCGATAATCTTCATTCAGATATATATCTCGCCTCTCGCACTGTTAGTAGCCTTTTGAGTCTGTAAATTCACGAATTAGACCACAAGCCAGACATCAGTCAAGTGCACACAGAACAATAGACAGGACATACTAAGCCAGAACAGTCTCTCCCCCCACAAGGATGACAACAAATAATCTGTCAGATGTGACGAACGGCTACGCTGGCGATAAGGAATCGCGAGAATGTAGGGGATGCATTTAACGAAGAAACTAAGCTAGGCTGTGAAGCTATTCAGGAGCTGATCACAATATGTGTGGACAGCTCTGAAGCTAGTCCCGATCGGGTAGTTAGGTCATAGGGTATCACGAAGGAAGGTCTTCGGAGGCTGGTCACGGTCCGTGACATCAGATATCTCAGGAGCCAGACTCCCTTCAGTTGTAAGAGTAGAGCAGATTCTTAGTCTCGTCAGTAACAGTGGTCGGCCTTATCGTTCCTTTGTTTTGAACTCGGGGCGAAAGCTGCCCGAGGCCGAAACCCCGACATATCAAGGTGGAGAAAACGAGCCCTCTTACCATCATCTTTCCGGCTTTAAAGATGACTCCGGAGACCAGACTCATAATTATTTAAGAAGCCCATTTTCCACCTGTAGTACTGCCAGATCATACACAGGGTGATCAGCAAACTAGGGGTGTAACGAATACGAATATTCGACATCGTCAAAACCGTCGAATATTCGTATTCGATCATGGTAAGGGTGTCGAATATCGTATTCGACTTTTTATTCGAACCATACGAGGCGTCGAATATCGTATTCGAGACATATTCGACCTCACAGGGGTGTCGAATATTGTATTCGAAATCTTATTCGACCGAATATATCGTCGAATATATCGGCCGACGTCGAATATTCGTTGCACCCCTACAGCAAACATGGTAGCACCCATTCTGTTGACGAAAGGAACGCTGCTGATCCATGATCATGACGTCATTCGCGCTGAGCGAAAAGACCTCCTCATCGAAAACTCGATCATCTCGCAGATCGACAATAACATAGATCCTCCACAGTCTGCGACGGTCATAGACTGCTCTGGAAATATCATCTCACCTGGTTTTGTTGACACTCATCACCATGTTTGGCAGACCTGTCTGAAGGGAACCCATGCCGATCAGACACTGGTGGATTATTTTTGGGACGGTTAGTCAATGAGTGAGAACTGTGAAAGGCTCATGCTGACCAAGATAAGGAAACTTCATCAGCTCATTTCTGTCACCCCAGTACGTGTTTTGGAGTCAGCTGGCAGGGGCTCTGGAATGTGTGGAAAGCGGAATGACGACGGTAGTGGACCATGCCCACATTAACTATTCATCTGAACATTGTATGACATGTCAACGCAGACATTGCCAAACTTGCCCTGTAAAGCTAACAAACAACAGCTACCAAGGCATTAAGAGCGACCATTTCGTCTGGTCTGCGGTCTGTCTTCGCCTATTGCCCAACTCCTCGCATAGCCACTTGGAAACCAGAGTTTACTCTCGACAGAGACTTTCTGCCTCCGTGGGTGATGGAAACATTCGAAAAATTGGCCGAACTGAACCCATTGGGACCAAATGGTCGCGTTAGCCTTGGTTTCGCTTTTGACGGCCTCTTCCTTCCCGGACCTATGCTGAAAAGCCTATATTCAAAGGTGCGGGAGGCAGGGGCTCGGTTGATCACATCGCATTCAGTTTACGGTGCCCAGTTTGGCGGTAGGTGTACTTCTCTCTAAGGGCTGTATCAGCATGTCTGACGTAGAAATTATCAGCTCGAAACCAAACCTCTGCGGCCGAAACACTCGACAAGAATGGTCTCTTGGGCCCGGACAACCTATTATCCCACAACAACAATCCAACCTCACAGGACGCGCGACTTGTTACGGAAAACCAGGTCAAAATCTCCAGCACACCAGGGACAGAGCTTCAAATGGGCCATGGAAACCCAGTCTGCCTGCGAGATAATCTCTACCCGTTATCATCTCTCGGAATCGACTGTCATAGTGTATGTAGCGCGTACATGCCAGCACAGATGATGCTAGCGCTGCAGTGAGCACGGGCACGAAGGCACGAAGACCTGGAGTCGCAGAACAAGTGGTCTAGTGACGTTGGATTCAGCGCATCTGCAGTTTTCAAGCTTGGTACGATCCTCGGTGCGCGCGCAATTGGTATGGAAGATAGCATTGGGAGTTTAGCGGTAGGGAAGAAGGCCGACATTGTGGTTTTCGACTGCGATACTCTCGGTATGGTTGTCGCTGCTGATCGCGACTCGCCGCTGTTGTAATTCATAGCACCGTGCGAGACGTCAATACTGTGACTATTGACGGGGTCATCAAGAAGAAGGATGGCATTTTGATGCCAGTGCTTGCTCCGGAAAGCATCTCTGAGAAGGTTGATCGGGGAGAAAAGATTGAATGGAAGGAGATCATCCCGCATGTCATCGAGCTAAGTCAGCGGATTGATGAACAGAATAAAACTACCGGCGATGGGAAAGCTGCCAAGAAAGCCATTATGACAGCTTTCCATATGAAATCTGAAGGTCATGTTGGGGATGTCTAACGAGATGTTAGGGAGGCGTAGTGGAAACAAGAGGAATTGTTTATATATTGTGTAACTAATAGGAAGGACATAAATGCATCCTCAGAGACAGCAGAATGAATATCCCCAACCGTATGCTTTTTAGGATAAATGTAGAAGGACGCATGATGTAGCATAGGACTTAGTTATATTTTACGGCCGCGGTTCACCGCCTAGGCACGTGTCCCGCCGTCCCCTGTTGGGGCAAAGGCCGCCAGGGGGTAAGCCCTGGGCGTCACTAACTAGTTCTAGTTCTAGTTCTAAGTACAAATAAGGGACTTTAGCGCTTTAAATAGCTGCTGCAGTCAAGAAGCAGAGCCTGTGGATCAGGCAGAAGTTAATGCCAGCTGCAGAGGCCCTCCTAATCTCCATGACCTATCCTACCACCTCTATCTTTTTTTTGGGGGGGGGGAGGTCTCAGTCTAGCTGAGGTAGTGGATGCCGAGTGCATATATCTTCAAAGAAACGAGTTTCTGAAAGCCACGCAGCCAGCTCGGTTGCGCCTTTTGGGGTGCCGAACAGGTAGGGGATTATGTCAGAAGGGGACCCTGGAGGTCGGGGCAGGCGCCTCTTTGCTATGTGGTAGAAGAGGAAGTGTATTGTAGTCTTTCTTGTACCGCAGCGGCAGAAAAGATAGGCATCTTCATGATTGAACCGATCGTGATAGGCTGCAAAGTCTCCGTGGCCCGTACGACTAGCTAGGATCCGTGCTAAAAGCGGCCTTGAGAGCTTTAGCTCTGCAGGGCATTTAGGGAAGTTGGTAATCCAGAGATCTTGGTAGGATTGAGGGGCCGAGGACTGCCAGTATCTTTGAAGAGCAGTCATGACATCAGCCTTAACCTGCCACCTTAACGAGGCGTACGAGTGGTTACTTGAAGGGGGAGGGTCCATAGCAGCACCTTTCTTTGCTGCTTGATCAGCTGCTTCATTCTCAGGTATTTGTGTGTGACCAGGGACCCAGCAGACGCGTACGGAGCCGCCATTGGTATATGAAAATCTCTCTCGTGCCAGCCAGGTCTGGGCTAGGGCTTGGAAGGATTCGAAAACCCCTTGAGATGAGCCCGCGATGGGTGAAAGGAGACGTGTGGCCACCTTCAGGTTATCTAGACAGACCCAGAGGTTAGTGGCAAAACGAGCAGTGCCTAGTTTAAGGGCTGCTTTCGCCCCAGCTAGAGCTGCTTCAGCTTCAGCATCAAAGACTTCCTTGTTCGGTCCCAGAGAGAAGGAGGATTGTTGAAATAGCATTCCAGATTGATACAAGGCATAACCGCTGTAGCATAGGACTCGTACAGATGCAGATGTCAACAATCAGCCGAACGATGACGGCAGGTCACCTGACGGCACGCGGACCCACAAGTTTGGGACGCGGCCTGAAATCGTTGGCCGCCATCTTCCTTCCGCGCACACTCGAGGCCAACAATGCCTCCACGTCGTCGTCCCAAGCTATCTCTGTGGACACGCTTTCGATTATGGCTTCGCTATGCACACTCACCTCTCCGGCTGCGAGCCAGCTACATCCGACTAACCCAGAACCACAAACACCCCTTGCTGGCGCTTCTGCGAATGTTCATACCCTACCCGTCCTGGTATTTCCCAATTCCCGGGCCATTTCCTCTCAGGGCGCTTATCAACGACAAAAAAGATCCGCTGGGCATCATCGAGTCGCATTTTGGCGATATCCATAACCTTCGGGCGATTCCTATCTGGCGCATGCGCGACACGCCGCTACGGTCGATTTACCGGCTATACGAGCTTCACCTGGCCGATAGGTATGCGCTACTGGGTTGGGAAACAGAATATTTCTTCTTCCGACCGGACTGGAGAATTCAGGATATACCCGACCCCAAGGATCCAGATCCGCTTCGTTACGCGATTATCGCCTCGATCGTCGAGGAATTACACGAGGCAGTCAATTGGAGATTGAGCTTGGGATTGAGAAGAAATCGAGAACATGTTTACCGCGAGGAAGACGGAGACCCCTGGCCGCCTTTCACGCCCGAGAAACTGCCCGGTTGGACGAAAAGAGTGCCCGCTATCGATAAGGATCTACTGAAAGAGTCAGTGCCGCCTGAGTCCCTGGATTCTAATGGGAATCTGTTGCTCGAGGAAAACGGTAAAGCATCTAATTTCGCACGACGAAATATTATCACGAATACTGGCTGGCTATACACCATATAGAGGAGATGCAAAGGAGCGTACCTTTCGCTCTAGACTGTCGCCTCTGTTGAAAGACCTCTTCCTTGTACCTCAGGCGGTATGCGTCGGCCACCTGCGACAGTGTCTGGTGATCCGGTATCACGTCGAATTGGTTCATATTCATTGTCCGGATCAGTTCCAGGTCAAGAGGCCCGCCGTTACGTTCTCTCAGGTGTCTCAAGAAGGTAACCGCGTCCACCATATCCAATTCCGCCTTCCTGTCACGGTCCGTGGCGTGAATTCGCCTCAACTTGCGCTCCAAAGCCCATTCGATCGGAGCCGCCATGACCTGCAGGTTCTTCCCCTTGAACAGCGTGATGCCCTGTCTTTCTGCCCGCTCGAAGAGGGTCCGCCGAGCTTTCTTAGTGACGAAGATGGCCATGGCTTGATTGACCCAGTCTTCATTGTAGTGTAGTCGAAATGAGACTTTACTGATAGCGGCTTCAAGGGCGCCCTGAATATCTTTGTCTCCCATAAACTCCGGCTCGATCAGATAGTCGAGGTCTCCCGTGCTGTCGCGACATTTGAAATAGGACACGGCCAGGAATCCGCCGGCCGTGATCATTCGAATCGGGGCGAATGCGACGAGCCAGTCAGAACGGCCCATCTCGGCATCGAGTTCCGCTAGTCCTTTGGGGTCTAGTTAGCTCTGCATTGCTTAGGTTGTGATGGCTTCGTGGTCCAGGGTGCCATATTCCAAATCGCTTACCTGCTTCGAAGTCCCTCGCATTTAGGTACTCTTTTTTCGCGGCCATCGCGGAAGATGGAGCGAAACCGACGCTGAAGAAGGCTGGAGATGGCGGGCGGGGGTCATGTTTGTGTTACTTCTGCTGGCTTGAGCCTAGACCTCTCTGCGCTGGGTCTGGTGTGTGGGCTGCCAGTATGATTGGCACCTGAAGAGCCCTATATGCACGAAGCCGCTAGTGGAAAGCGTGAGGAATGATGCCCGATTCAAGGGAGCTGTCCGCGATGCACTTACGACATGATCATGTAGATCAGGTGCCCTAGAATTTACGCATTGACCCATTACCCAACAGTTGAGATCGACGAGCTATCTACCATCTACGACAGAGTGATTCAATAAAAGGCAGCGTGAGATTGACATAAACCTAAAAATTGCAAAAGGGATATCACCAACGCCCACTCCTAATCAATCAGCTCCAATCCAAATTGAAGGATCCGAAAATTCTGCAGTTTCTCTCAACTGGACAGGCGCAGTTCCTGCGTGTTGTTGGTAGCTCTTCATGTCTGATTTTCAGCACCCCGTCGCCCCAACCTGAAATGGGAACCAGTCCTGGGCCTTTTGGTCCTTATTGCCCTTAACATCCAAATTCAAAAGCTCACTCCCGTAGTTATCAATGTACTTCAACGATGCATATGCATACGTGTCACTGAAGTAGTGGTTTGCTACGCCGGCCTCCAGGCGGACCTTAAGCCTCCTGCCGATTAGGTCTACATCGGCCGTCAAGAAGACATGGTCCCCAATTCCTTGAAAGGTGACTGTGAAAGAGGTTCCCAGGCCTTCAGTGGGAGGTGCATTGTCTGACGGGAGACAGCCGGCGCTTTGTTTTAGCAGATCGTCACGCTGGGATCCGGAAAACAGGCTGATGGCTAGCCAAATGTCTACTTTGGGAGGACATTCTGCACGTAACATGGATGTACGACTGCGCAGCTCTGTCACGGCCGCTTCGATCCGAGCCAAAAGTGCTTTTGTGGGGTCGTTCTTCAGAGACAGGCTTTTCAGACCAGTCATGGTGATCTCGAATGTATTTGTCTTTGTCTGTGTGTCGATTACCCCATTGAACGTCGGGCTGAGCTGCACACGATTTTTAGGCTCTTCGTGAAAAACCACGAGGGTGTAGCCTGGAACGAACGAGATCTTGTCGTTTCTCGGTTTTGCCCCAGTCCCGGGAAAGGTAGCGTGGAACTTCTCATTGCCTGATGTGTCCTTGATGATGACTCCCGCGTAGGTTTGGTCTCCGAAGTAGGAGTGAGGATTCTCTCGAGTCACGGCTATTCCGAGTACGCTGTTGACCTGATCCACCAATATGGTACTGAAGATATCATCTCCAAGACCTAGCAGATTTGCGATCGCCCAGCATCGCACTCTGATAGCAGGAGGCGTAAATGTTGTTCGATACCTCGCCGTTCCAGAAATATACATCGTTACTGAAGGACGCCTGGTACCCGTAGGCAATCTCATGAAGGTTTCCCCAATTCGTGGCGAGCGGATCCAGCCACCAACTCTTGATGGATTTTTCAGATGCAGCTGTAAAGTCCTGGCCATAATACGCCGCCCCGGCACCATTGACATCTGCCTTCATGAAGTATCGGTTTGGGATATTCAGGTCGGAGTCATATTCCGGCTCGAAGGAGAGGTCGGCCAGCGAGTTATCGAAAGAGAACACTGAATCGTAATATGCGATCAGCCCGTCAATGTTGTCCACTCCTTGCGGATGCTTTAGGGCATCTTGATCTCGAGCGGGAATGAGGACCATTGTATAGCGAGAATCAATGAACGCGAAATCGGCATTGGTTTTATCCCATTGTGAAAAGAGAGCGCTTTCATCGTCCCCCTGGCGGTAGACTTACAAGATCCTAGACTCGTTGGGGAAGTCATTAAATGACTGGCTCCACTTTGTCCTCGGGTTTGTTGTAATACGGGGTATCGATGAACGGAACAGACACGGCGTTGATGCTGACGCTGACCCAGCTCGAGTTTATCTTTTTGGATGTCTCAGTCTTCCGGCCATCGTTTAGAAGCCGGAGGATTACGTTCCCTTTGAACGCGCTGTTGGTCTGACGAGCCTTGATGGTTTGGCCGGCGGCGAGGATAATGCCGAGATGTTGACAGTCATGATCGACTCCCTTGCCCATTCCGGCTTTGTCCAGCCATGTTGGGCGGGGAAGAACAGGAATTTGGTTGCTTCTGATAGTCATTTGATACCAGATACCGAGAAGCTCAATAGGAGGTAAAGGTGATAGATGTGAAGAACTGATCCAGGTGCGAACAACAACGAGATCCCTTTCCATGAAACCGTTTTTATTGGAGAGCAACGCTCCAGGCAGCCGTTCAAATAAACGCCACGAGGTAGTTCATTTCACAATGTGAAAATTCCCCGAATGCCTGTCTTCTGGCTAGCTGAACAACATTAAATCCCAGTTATACCCCTCAGTCCCTCAGCTCACCACAAACATTTCCCTCTGCTCCGCAAAACCATGTATCTAGGGACCGGGCCACACTCGCTGAGACTACCTCCGCTGCTCATTGGTCGGGCAATGCAAGGATTGAGGTACATGGTTTGCCATCCGGGGCGCCACGGAAACATTCGGATTCGTCGACGCTGAGTTTGTAAAGACGTGGAGCTGACTGTATATGTACTTTTTTGTGTGGCCAGTCGGTTGAAGAATTTCAAACGGCACTCACAGCTCCGGGCGTACGGGATATGATGAAAGTGCGTCGTAGATAGCGTAGCTGCGGCAAGATCGAAATATTGGGTTTCAGGTCGCCACGGACTTCATTCCTAAGGTATCTTTCCTGCTTTCTGTATTATGAAAAATAATGTCCCTAGTCATAATGAACAGGCTCTTCAAGGTGGGTGCTTCAATTACCTCGACTGGGTCGAGTAGTGGCTTCCCAAAAGGACGACGCAATCAAACGGCCGAGAGCTGGAGCCAATTTGAGCTGCCCAGCTTTTAGTGTTCTGTTTTCAGCTGCAATGGCCCAAGGCAGGGTCTAGGCCCCGAGTGAAACTCCGGGGTCCGAGCGGACAGTGCAACCCTGAAGGTACCGATCTATATCGGCACCAGGCCACAACGCCAACATTTACGTCTTTGTATCATTCAACAACTAACAATCTCTCTAGCTATCTCCAGTAGTGGTCGTGTCTCTGAATATGGACCTCTTCTAGGTTCAGTTCCATAACAAGAAGTGATATTTGGAATCATCGTCTTGTCTCCGGTTCAGGCCTATAGACGCCATTTAAACACCTTTTTCCCCACTCAATGGAGAAGGGACAGCTGTCATTGATCTTGCTAAATGGCTTTCAGGATATTAAACGAGTGAAAAAGCCATTTCAAATAAGATTTCAATCAAAGCGTTCCCTGTTTAATAGATTACGCAGTAGCAATTCAAATAAATATAACGACTTTGAACTAAATCCTTGGAAGAATCAGATCCCAGATAACCGTCCTCAAATAGTCGCCTTTCAACGATATCGAGAACCACGAAAGCAGTACCCATTTCCCGAAAGAAAAATCTCAACCAAATACTTCTGTCACAAAATGATACTCAATCTTGCTTCCATCCTGCCTTCCCCTCGCGCTAAGTTCCGCACACCTATCCGCCAAAATCTCGCCAATAACTGGCGCTCCGCAGAAAAAGACCCCGATCTTCAGTCGTTCCCTGGAATCTAGATCCCGCTTCGTCATGGATGCCTTCACCTTCCGCATATCCTCGTAATGCGCGTCCAACGCCTCGATAAAGTCCGGCCGCCCGAAATGGGTCGGATTGATGAGACCGGTGAGGGGCGACTCGGGGTGCTCTGCGGTGCGATGCATTTCGAGAAGCCACCGATAGACGTGGGTTGAGATGTTCTTACGGCGTTGTGTCACATACGTTTGTATGCGGATGTCGAGATGTGGTGTTCCTTCTTGGGCACGGTGGCGCATCTGGGATCGAGAGACGGAGTTCAGGAGATCCGAGAACCAAAGAAGATAGTTCCTGTCGCGGACTATCCAGTGGAAGTCGACTCGGCGATAGTCTTCCGCAATTAGGGAGGGCTCGTCTGACGACGACGATGGAGAGTCAGAGTTGACCTGTCCTTGCAAATTATCAAGCTGTCGCTCCTTGTCGGTCTGTGCTTCCGGCTCCATAGCATCTTCCGATAAAATGTGCAGTTGGTCATCACGTGCTTGCAAATCAGCCAAAATCCCAGAAAATGGGGTGACTCCGATGCCAGCGCCAACTACTATGCTGTGGCTGAAGTCGTAAAAACGCTGCGCCGGAGCACCAAACGGCCCGTTGATGCCGACTTCAATTTTCGTTGGCCCCGAGCCTTCGGCCAGATCCCTCAATCGACCGGTCCAGTCACCGTCGGTTTTGATATGGACTTGCATCTCGTGGCCGATACATACAGACACTGTGAATGGGTGCCATTGGAAGAGACTGAGCTTCGGGACCTGAAGGAAAATGTACTGTCCTGCTTCGTACTTCCAAATGCGCTCACTAGGGATCGTTGCTTTAATCTCGACAGTATCTGCATCGACAAGCTTCAAAGTGGCCGGGATGCGATGGAACCCTAGCGCAACGCGAACAACGCGCTCGACCAGTATAAGCAATGTCGGGAATGCAAGCCAGTACCCGAGCATTGGCCACTGTAGAAGCCCAGCTGTGCCATGCGCCATCAGGAGGCCGATCATCGGGTACATAAGGAGGTGGCCGATTTGGAAGGCCTCGTAGCTCCGTCGCCGTACCACTGGCATGCTAAGTAGTGCAAGGGTCCAGAACATAGCCAGGCACACGACGCCGCTCCACCCCGGCAGGGTAGCCACATAGTCCTTATAGGGACGAGGAACCGCATCGGGTCCCAGCACTTTAGTAACCTTCTCCTCTTGTGCCGGTCTACTGGCGTAAAGAAAAGAGCCTGTAAGGTGCCCAATAGCATGCAACGAGGCCAATCCCAGCGCGAGGATTGACATCTTGATATGAAAGGACTGTGATAGATCCCAATTGACGAATCTCGAGACATAGTAAAACTTCCGCAAGAACGTCGAAAAGTATCGCGACATGCTGAGTAACAAAAAGAAGAAGGTTGGGTAGAGCAAGCCTGCACAAGTCTTCGCTAGGACAGCGCCCCATCCAAACGCGTGCCGGTACTGCATGGTCGTGAGGTACTTGACAAGCTGCCAAATACCAAACGCCAGCTGCATAGACACCACTAATATAAGAAACAGAATTTTAGGTCCATGGACACTCCAGTAAGCTCGGACGCGTCGCCACATAGAAAGACTGTGCACGTAATTGTCCTCATCCTGGTCGCTTTTTGACTCCATCTGCAGCGAAGGTATTTTCCATTCTTGCACCCGCTGCATCATATCCGCTCGCGATATCCGTCTCTGGTCGGATCCTATAATGTGTCGCAGGAAGGCGTGGCGCGTATCATCTCGTTTGCTATCATGGTGAAGGTGATGGCGCTTCGGAATCGGCGCGATTTCCTTATAGACCTGGTCGATTTTGTGTTCAACCTCTCCGTAGTCTATGGTGCCATCTCCGTTGATGTCAAGGTCGTCGAGGAACTGGTTGATTTCATCGGTGGTCAGGGACTGGTCCGGAGAAGCCATGGGGTGAGTGCTTTTGCGGTGATTCTCGGAATGTGCGGCGAGGAGGGCGCGCGAAGCAAAGTCATGACGTCCAGGAGGTGGTTGCCTGAAGCCGAGTAGAGATTTCGTCTGCTACGTAGAGCCAAGGGCTTAGGACGGCCGAGAATGAGTATCATGCCCTATGAGGGACGGCAACATGGCGATGCCAATGTTCTCGGCTAGCCCTGCCCAGCCCTACGTGATGTCATGCATCGGAGCCATATCTTGCAGTTGTCACTTGGCATAATGTGAATGGAAGACTCTTCTCTCCGACAATAGGTTCTTTCAAATTCCAAAATCTCATGTCGGGGTGGACAGGTCTCTGAGATGCCACGTGCTTCCAGCCCTATGAGTTTCAGTCTGCAGTTGCCCTACATTCTCCTTGTACATTGTGTGTAATAGCAGGAATCCTTTGTTAAATTGTTTTTTTATTTGTCACAGTTGCTACTTTTGTCATTTCTTCCCGTAGTGTTTTTTTATCAATTGCGCTGCGACAATGGTTGTGCTTTGTACCTAGCAAGTTGCATAATTCGCGATCTGCGAACAATAAGGATTGATTTTTATTTCGTGTTAGTCTAATTCTACCTATACATGTCTATCGAGTTGAAATAAGCTGCACGGCCTCCTACATTACATATTGTACATGATTTATCCTTTCCACTTCCATTCCGAGTCCCGATGGATGAAATAATCCTTGCTCTCAATCGCCTTGCGAATGCCCCAAAGCCCACCTAGCGGCCAGATATCACGCAACTTGCGACTCCAGGATTCGCTGCGCTCCTTCCGATCTGCCTCAACATCGATGCGCACCTTATCATACACACTAGGCAGGGTCTGAGCCGAATACTTCTGTCGTAGACCATCATACCATTTCTGGTCGTACATGCCCCAGAACTCGTCCTGGTTGTAGTAGGTATGGGCATAGAACCACTTCATGCCACCGAGCTCCCGCAGGCGTCGTTCGAGGTCACGATTTGCCGCAACAAACGTGTCCGGGTCCTTGGGTCCGAATCCCCATACTCCAATGTTCAGCATCTGCCCCGGTGTGAAGCCCTCACTTTTCACCGTAGTCTCGTGAGGATGGAATGTAGGTGCCGGGCTCTGCTTGAGAGGGCAGAGCCACAGCGGCCAGATCCCCAGTTTATCGCTCGTGTAGTCAATGAAGGACTCCGCTGTGGAGTACGGCAACGCCAGGTCTTGGATCATGTACCGACTCGACTCCCCGCTGGCATGGAGGGCCTTGTAGAGCATCCGTGTGTGTAAGAAGTCGTCCAACCACCACCGCGTCAGCCGGTTGAAGGGGAAATGAAAGTATTCGAACGCAGACCGGCCAACCCAGAAACCTGCACGGTCATAACGGAACAGATATTCGGCCAGCGGGATGTAGTCCGTCACGGGGGCCCCAGATTTCCTTGTCTTATCCTTAACATGCAGATAGTACCAGAGATCCCAAGCATGGCTGAAGGTCTGCACCTGTGTCGCGGAGGGTAACTCGTCCGTCATTTCACCCGCGACCACAACCCCGTGTTCCTGTCCGTAGAGGATCCCATCGACATAGTGATTCCGGTCGTTCAGAGTATGTTCGTGCACCGAGCGTACGGAATCCCCGACACTGCGTTGGGGGTGATAGGTCGCCTTGACGAACATCTTCGCCTCGATCAACTGCAACTCAATTAGCGTCGTGACGCCCAAACTCCCAACCGCACCAGCCGCGCCGTGGAAGAGGTCCGCATTTTCCGTCTCCGACGCATTCACCACACTGCCATCTGCCAGAACCATCTCCACCGAATGGATCGTCTTGTCAAAAAACCCGTACTTGAAACTCGAGCTCTCGCCGGCCGTTCCCGCAAACCCTCCACCCGTTGTGATCCCCGGAAACTCCATCACCACCGGCGGCACCAGCCCGTACTTCATAGTGGCCTCGACGAGTCGGTCCATGGGGACATTGGGCTCGACGAGCGCCCTACGCGTTGACGGATCGACTTGGAGGACATTGCGCAGGTCACCGATGTCGACTTGGCGGTCGCGGCGGATCGGTCGCGTGCTGTTCGTCGAGCCGTGGTTGATCCGGAAGGGTTCCTTGCGTTCGTAGAAGCCGCGGATGCTGCTGGCAATCCGTGACACCGCCGCCTTGTGCCGTGTGAGTCCCATGGCCGGTGCCTGGTGGTAAAACGAGGGTGGGAATGCGGTGGTGATTCTCCCAGCAGCGTGTCTTTTTGCCTCATTTTCGCGACCAAGGGACCCACTTGGCGAGGCGGTTCGAAGAGTTGATTGAACAATGGATTCACTATTGATAGCCTCGGTTCCTGATCGAGCAGGCGGAAGGCTCTTAGTTTACGGAGTAGTGCTCCGGCTTTTCACCCCTTGCGTTGCTGTGCCCTTTCACTGGCGAGTTTGTTTTGGTTAAATCTAAGTAAAGCTTTCCTAGAACACAAGTATTCACTCTTCGTTTTCAACCATTCCCTTAGTATTGCCCGAAAGAAAGCACAGACGAGCTCCAATGTGTGATCGGCGAATTGAGTGATGACTCGTCAATCTTGAGAAATTTTATTATGCGAAAACCACGAAGGACTTTCTGTCTGGCAGGTGAAGAAAGGGGCAACCCGCCAGCACCGAAAAACAATATGCAGGAAGACAGCCAGGAATCGAAGTTAATATTAATAAATGAGAAAATCAGAAGCGCTAAACTTATGGCAATGTTCCTGTGATCGTCCCAGCCCGAATAGGGTCTTGGTTACTCTGACTTGGGTGCAATAACTCTTCGTTTCTTCTTTAGGTAGCCATTCGCGCCTACTATGTCCTTCCAAGTCCCTTGAGCCGAATAGCTTGGGTTACAGTAGATAGATACTTCTGTCTCGCGGTATTCTAATTTGAAGTTAGTACGGGGGTGAAATGAGGCACAGGCTTCTCCAACAGCTTACTCGCAGATATACGCAGTAGGATCGGTCGGTTGTTTATTTTCCCTGCACATGTATTGTCAGTCAAATGAATCTCAACGTTGTTTATCACATGCATACTTGATGATTGCAGCATCCCGCAGAACCGGACAGCTACCATGGAGACATCGAGCAACGAACGAATCGACACGGGGAATCTCCTGGCACATAACGTATAACTTGGCCGACATTTTCTGCGTTGAAATCGTAGGAAGATCGTACATCAGAAGACAATATTTTGGCACCTGGAATAGAGTCCAGACCCTGACTGGTGAGGGAAGTCCACAGGTTGTGGCAGGTCTCGCGGAATGACACGGAAAGACTAATAGCGCCTCCCAAGGTCAAATGAGGTTCGAGGTCTTCAAAGCGATTTGTTTCCCGGAAGATACATCGAACATATACTTTCACTCGCCACTGTGGATATCTAGTTGTATCGATCGAGAGCATCCGGGGTTGCAGCACGTTCGGATAGCGACTGATATATTGCTGGACCTTTGACCAGCTCTCCAGTACTGTCGAAAAATCGGGTTCGACTGCAATACATGATCGCATCGTGCGCGTAATACCTTGACAAACATCCGCTGTCTCCAGGCAAACTGGGAATAGCCAGTAGAATCTGGCATATGCCTCAGAAGCGACCAGGTCAAAGGCGACGAAGACCCCGGATGGCGAGCACCTAGAGCACATGGTCGAGTGATGAGCTTGATGCTCCAATTCGATCATTTCTCTGGTAACCTTCGTCCATAGCTCCGGAAAGATACGCAATACCAGTCCATTTGTGGATTTCAAATCAGTCTGTTTAAGCCTCTCAATAACGGCTAGGGCTGTTTTGAATGCAGTTACCCGGGACGTTTCTAAATTCGGAGGGATGATATCGACGACATAGCGGACAACTGGTCGTCCCTTTTGCTGCTTACCCTTTCAGCAAAGACTCAGTTCAAAGGGTGTGTGATCATTTGTGAGCGATCCGGGGAATAGGATCTCCATCGCGCCGGTATCGCGGTTGTATAGAGGGCCAGGGCCAGCCAGTCAGCTACATAATTGCGGAAAAACTCAACATGGCGACTGATATCTTCGGCGGTATACCGCCCTTGAGAAGTCAACGCATGCTCAAGACATGGTTGAAGAATAGGACCCCACTCCTTCGCTTCGAGACAGGCGTTCTCGGTCTGTTGAATGGTACCTATTAGCTACTTCAAGTGGAAATATATGCTGCGGACTTACCACTCGAAAAGGGTTGACTGGGCCTTGTATTGTCGGATCACGCATTTTACAAACGAATATATTGATGCTATGAAGAGATGAAATTGAAAAGTTGTCCAAAGCTTTCTCCTGCCCGGACCCCGCCTGAATCCGGGGTAGTATTTAATAGCCTCGCCAAGAATCCAGACCTATCCACGGCTTACTCGATACGATCATTTGTTTGCTCGACGAATGCTCACTTGATGCGCCTCAAATCCACAATTCCTGTCATATTTTGATCTCCTATTTTAGTCTAGCCTATGGTTGGAGAAAGGTACGGCAAACCGATGCATTTAAGACGGGATCATTAATCGCCACTCTAGTCTGATTGGCCACTTGTGTCTTCAACGCTCAGGTCTTTGGCGTTAGAGATGGCTTTTTAAGTTGGTTCAGGTTCGTATTGAACTAAGGCTGCTTATTTTACGGCCATAGTAGCTACCATATCACAAGGCAAGGCGCCATCCGCTACAAAACGAGAGTAAGCACACCACATGGCCCAGCTAAGGTTTGCACATGATTTAACTACATACGATCTATTCGAGCATCTCCGAAGCAAATAACAAATGATATATATAGTTTTCCAAAGGATATTCGAAAATAATTCCTATTAATTATAGAAATAAAAGACAGTATCTTTGCCGAGAAAGTTAATAATTACAGGAAGAAAAACTATCTGCCATCACGCTTCCTCTGGAATTGAAACAGAGGTCTCCTATGGCTTGGCCAAATCGCAATTGAATTTAGAGCTTGCCAGCGCCCGCGTTGTTGGGGACACTGGACTGGGCCTCGCTGGCGGAGGTGGCAGGGGCAATCTTAAGATCTTTGAAGTCGGAAAAGAAAGAGGTATCAGTGGACTCAGTGAAATCGTTCGAGTCGGAGACAATGTTAACCTCGCAGGCGCGACCAAGAGCCGAGGTGCACTGGTCGAGGGCAGACTCAGGAGAGGTGAAGATGCGGCCGGCGTAGTCGCCGATCACTTGGTTGACGCTAAGGAAGACGTTACCCTCGAAGATACCGCGAGCAGTATCGTCTCCGCCCTCAAGGGCATGGCCGTTGTTGTCTTCCCAGACGTTGTTGACGGCGTGCAGAAGGGTGCCGCCGCTGAGGGCGGGGCTGCGTCCGGCAGTGCTGAAGATGTAGTTATTCTGCAGAGTAATCTGGTCGTCCTCGCCGACCATCTCGAAGGTCCAGTAGTGGTGCTTGTCGCCGCAACCGGTGGAGTAGGGACTTTCGCCGTCGATGAAGTTGTTGGACAGAGTCACACGGGTGCTGGTATCGAAGCCGAAGACGTAGTGCTGGCGACCAGGGCGAGCAGTCTATACATATCAATTAGCCTTTTATCGGTGTGGTTAAGATTTGAAAAGTACGTACCGTAACGTGATCAATCCAGACCAGATCAGCTCCGTCAAAGGAGATAGCATCACCTCCCCAGACGTATTCAGGGTTCAGGTCGGTCACGTGGATGTTCTGCACGATGATGTTGGACGCACCACCACGGAAACGCAGACCCTTACCCTTAATAGCACCGCTGTCGCCGACACCCAGGAGAGTCTTGTCGGAGCCGACATCGATCGGGTTCTTCGGGGCCTTGTACCAGGTTGCAGTAGAGGCAGGGTCGCTGCCGCAGTCATCCTGAATGATCTTCTGGCATCCCTCACCCTCACCCCAGGAGGCGCAAACGTTGCCGCTCTCGGTACCCTCGGATTCGGTGAAGTCGTATTCCTTAGAGAGGAGGATAACACGAGGGGTGTCGTCGGTAAGCCACTCCTTCAGCTGATCAATGTCGCTGGGCTCCTGTCCTTCGGCATCACCACCACCAGTAACACCAGAGGCGAAACCCTGAGCGGCGCCAGAGACTGTCTGCGCGGCACCGAGGTGCGCAAGTCCCAGAATAGCGGCGAGACTAGTGGAAAGAAGCTTCATCGTGTGCAACAGGAAGAAGAAATGCTCAATTAATTTCAAAGGATACTTTGGGACTTGACATTCAACTATATCAGGGAACTCAGATTTTGATATAAGCGCTCGTCCAGCCTAACTAAACTATAAACAGAACGGAAGCGTGCACAATGGAAATTAGGGACTGGGTGGAGCATCTATCGTGGTCATGCTGGGTTAGCGTGGGGCTTGGGATGGTATGAAACAGTTCGGACATCCCACCCCCGTAGGAGCCAAGACCAGGGGTCGACATGCTCCGGAAGAGCTCATCGATTGGACAAAAAAGTCCTGCAGCTTGATGCAGAGCGACGATATCGCCTCAAAAACAGCAGTCTCGGAAACTCATTTGTCCATTAATAGGGTCATTAATAGGGTGGGGACATGGCTTAGACTGACAACGCAGATCTAAAGAGCGAGGAGCTGAAATGTCGGAACAATATCAAGTTTGTTGCGGAGTCTGTGCAGACTAGTCAGTCTTAGGTGGAAGAACCACACGACAATTGGCTATTTACAGGATATGACAGGAAGTGAGGTTTGGGTCTACAATCTTGGGTGCTTTGTACGTACACGAAGTAGATATGTGTAAACCACGGAGAAATCACGTTGAGATGCGGAACACGTAATCTATCGGATGAAAAGCGCATATACTCCGTACGGTGCATTCCTTAGCGTGCAAAGAGCAGGGATTTCCCCCGATTTTCGATACCGACCAGTAAGCTACATCTCTGCTCAGTCATTTCCAACGGTGTCCTGTACGGAATCACTCCATCTGCTCCGTAGCCGATGCTAACAATGCTGTATTTGTAACAACGGCACCAGAACATCTTTTTTTGGAAGTCGAGAAGGATAAAGTACGCTAGGAACAAGCCAGAACCGACCCCATTGGCTTAAGTGTAGTTACTATAACTGCTGGATTGCGAACATGTTCCTAGGATATGCCGAAATATATCAATGTCAGCCTACCAGGGTACGCGCTGCTCGGGGCTTTCTCGGTGCCTTTTCGCACAAATAGTCCCTACCGAGAGTAAGAACATGATTGTGCATGCTGCCCTGGGTCAAAAATACTATCGTGATCAGTTCCTGGCGGAAAAGTGGATACCCTTGTCAAGGCTTACCTGTAGTGGTGGAAATATAAATGGAACACTGACCTTGTTCCATCAAAAAATGGTTCTTCCTACTGGCCATGAGAGGCATTCAACCCGAAACGCAGGGGGTTCGAGAGGTACCTGAATAGGGATGATCGGCGCCATGCCAAGAGTAACGTCCAGGGGCCCTCTGTAGCCGAGTCTTACAATCTTGGCATGGTCCCTTTATCTTAAGATAAAACTTTGGTACTATCCGTGGCCTCCGGGAGCCTTCGGACCACCCACCGGCGAAAAGGCGGTGGGTGGTCCACAGCGAAATTGAAGTTATCAGCGAAATTGAAGAAATGAAGCAATTTAATCACCACTAATTATCGCGTAAATCAACAAAATGTATGTGCTCCGTGGCGGGTATAACCGCCGTGGGCAGGTACCAGATGTCTAGATTTCAACGCTCTCAAATTCCCGAGCTGTCCTTGTAACTTTCATGTTTGACTCGCTGTGTCTTCAAGAGTGTTCATATCTGCCTGGATTCTAGCTCAAATAGGAAAGGTTTACAAGTTCGACAGGACGCAGTAGACCTTTGTTAATATTATGACGTGATGATGGTGAGCATACGGGGATATTCACCGAGGCCTACAGGTCAGCTGAGTTATGGCGATCTTCTTCGGCTCTTTTCGCTATTGAATATGGTAGAGAACTTTTGCCTAATTACAATAATATGCCTAATTATGATAACGTACAGGTTGACTACTTGCCATTGCCATGCTGCCTTTGGTGGGCATACACTCGTATATTGGACCATTGCATCTTCTCTGAAAAATCAAGTCGATGTGAGATAATAGCATAAACACTAATAAAGCCCTCTTAACATGTGGGTGCCAGTTTGTGTGTCCCCCTGCCCAATGGTCCGAATATATATACTGGATCATTACTTCCGTCCCAAGCAAAACTAAGGGATTATGCCATAGCGACATGCCATTTCATGGGCAAATCTACCACTACTTAGAGAGAATGTTCAATTGACTCTCCTAGTAGAACAATCCCCTACCAATGTCCCGTATGCCAAGTCAAAATTTTGATCATCATAAGACTTTTGAAATCAGGTGTGTTGATTGGTCCGAGAAGATGCAGCAAACCAGACAAACAAACAACTGGCGCGATCCACATTCCCGAGTTTCCTCGAGTTAAGATTCCTCCGTTTATCGACTGTTTCTTTGAATTGTGTTGAATAACTACATCCTCACGGTCGCCGGCCTACCGATATCACAACATATGCATTTCCTATGTGATTTGAAATCTGACAGGTTCGCCCAAAGAATCAAAAACTTGAGAATTATGTAACTATAATTCCAAAACCTAACCAACCATTTATAGCACCTTCGTGGAAACTGTCCGCACTTGGCTAAAACAAACAATAAATCATCTAGATGTTTATGGTTTTGGGGTAGTTGCTGTTTAAAGCCTTGCGAGGATCTTGCAAATGTTGTCCATCATTAACTTGGCTTCCATTCGATATATCTTCACCTAAGTACACAGCCCGAAAATTCCAATTCAATTGAAAACATCCTTATCAATTCCCCACGATATACATGACGTTTGATCGCCACTCAAAATTAATCAATCCCACCATCGTTCAATAAAGCCACAGGCCAAAGAAGAATTCAGACCAGAGAGAGTGAAATGGGAGAATCTCTTAGTAGGCCGCAGCACATGCACCAGCGGGAGCGGGGGCAGCAGCGGGTTTGCTGGCAGGAGCAGGCTCACTAGAAGGGGCGGGGGCGCTAGCAGGGGCAGGTTCGCTAGAAGGAGAAGCAGCAGGGGCCTTAGGGGCTTCTTCAGTCTCCTTAGAGCTACTGGACGAACCACCGGAAGAACCACCCTTGCCCTCCTGGTCCTGGTAGTCCTTGATACCCTTCTCGATAGCCGTCGAGATACCACCAGCAATGCTGCCGGCAAGATCCTGCAAGCTGTCAGGGACCTTGGAGACAATAGTGTTCGACAGCTTCTTGGCCGCGGTCTTCTGCTGGGTCAAGTCATTGTAGGTCTGACCACCCTTGCCTGCCTTGACGATTTGCGACTTCTTGCTGGAGAGGTGGGTAATGACAGTGGAGATCTTGTCCTTCAGCTCGTTGACGGGGCCAGGAAGGCCGAGAGCATCGCTGGTGCTGAGAGAGGAGGTACCCTTGACCTTGGTAGTTCCGGCATTGATGGCTTCAACAAGGGCGTCGGATGCGCTCTGGACCTTGGCAACATCACCACCCGAGTAGGACTGAATGGCAGAGTCAAGGGCTTCGACCTTAGGGCCTATGCCAGATAGGACCCCGGTGACAGTAGGGAGATCGCGCTCGACGCGAGTGGGCTGGGCCAAAGTACCGGCTGTGAGGCCGAGGGTGAGGAGAGAGAATAGAGAGAGCTTCATAGTGAAAGATATTATAATGAATGATAGAATGGAGACTGTTTGTTTGAATTGAAGGAGAGTAGAGAATGATGGATGATAATGGAGAGAATGACCGAGAGATACATGAGGATTTATATATGTTAAGGTCTATACTTCACCTCGGAAATACTGACCATCATCAACAGTGGTGCTGGATTACGATGGATGAAAATTGAAGTGTTCTAATACGAGTATAGCTTAGTGGTACTTTGGAGTAAGGCTAAAGGCGCCGAATATTTGGTGATCGACAGGAAATGAATCGCCGGTGGTCTGAAATTCTGGGGAAGGTTCCTGAATCAGACCCAAAAAGCAGTCATTTTAGGGTTTTGGCTTCGGGAGTGGCCCTGGCGGGTTCGAAATACCAGCTCGCACCCGGGAACCTCAAAAGCCGGGGTCAGGTACGCTTTTGCTAAGAATGCTACATATCCACATTTGATTGGTGGCTATACATTGAACGTAGATGATCTAACCCTGCACTAATCTACCTACCTTGCTCCCCATCTGGTTGCCCGTTTTTTGGGTGTTGTTCTGCAAGGTCTGGGGCTCTGGGCCTGAGGTGGAAGCTTATTGTCACTATGAAACAATCACGAAAGACCCTTTTTTGAAGGTGTTTGTCTAGGTAAAGATGGAACTGGACTAAAGCAGCGGTTTGCAAAGTTATTATTTGCACCACGAATATTTCCCTACTAACAGGGTTCTGAAAACAACGCTCATCAGGTCAGAAGTTGGCATGTGTGGTCTTGAATGGTAGTTACTGACGGTCGATTGTTTTTTTTTTTTTTTTTTTTTTTTTTTTTTTTTGGCAAACCCAGAATAATTCAAGAAAGGGACATGATCATGGGAATAAGTGAGTGAATATATGTCAGGTTTAATGTCGCCTTTCTTAAGTTAGATTTACTCTTCTCATTGTTGGCCATACTAGGTTGGGTTTTCCTCATAGTCTCTTTCTCCTTGCTCTTGTCTGTTCTGGGCACTAAATTCAGCCTTGTCCTTCATTTCTATACGATTTCTTTTTGGAATGGTGTTATTAATTTACCCCTCCCACTTTAATTGAACAGAAATTCCTGAGCGAGATATCTCGAACCCTCATTCTGAAAATCGGTTTACTTCATTGCACGCCTAGCTAAGGAAACGCGACCAGAAAGATGAACTACAACAATCAAGAGGCTTGGCATTGAAAGGCCATTATTTTTGAAGTAACGTGTACGAGCCTTCTAACTTAAAATATTCGTTTTTGCAGTGCTAAAGCAGGTAGATATGATACTAGGAAAGGTGACGGGTAGAACTATCATGGATAAAAATCCATAATGTTACCAAACCCAGCACCCGGCCACTTGGAGAATTGCGAGGAAAGTAGGAGACAAGAGGGAAGATAAATTGAACTAAGAAAAGTCAGACAGATCTCTATGAGGTATACGAGGGCAGACCGCAATCATGTCAATATTCAGGCAACAAACCTGAGGCTGCTATGAGTGTTAGTAACCCCCCCAAGAAAGTACCGATAACGGAGCTGGCCGGAATAAGCTGATTAATGGATCGATGAATGTGATCTCGTTGACCACTGGTCCCATGGATCCACTTTACATAATGTGCCGGTTTTCGCTGGCCACCCGTATTCATTAAATCATCGAAATGCTACAACATGTCTAACGTTAAGCCTTAGATGAATCGAATGAAGTGATTCAAAGCCCTCTTCCTGAAATCAAACTCAACCATACTTTTCTTTCCGCCTCGCATTAGCAAGTCGACGTGAACCCTGGGACTGTATATCAAATTCCTAGTTACCAGTCTATCTTGAGCACCCAACCAGTCTATAGCGGTGATCAGGTTAATCTGGGAAAACGGCTACTTGAACGGCGTCGTTACCTAAGATGCTTTGTCGGACTGCGCCTCTTTCCTCGGGAATAAGAAGCTCGCTCTATTTCAAGCCATTTCTCTCCTCTCGACCACCTAGCCTCCAAAAAATGGCCCACAAGAGCACCGGCGCCCAGTCTGATTGGAGTGCTTCCCAATACTTGAAATTTGAAGACGAACGCACTCGGCCTGCTCGGGACCTTCTTTCCAGAGTTACACTTCAAGATCCTAAAAGCATCGTCGATCTCGGCTGCGGGCCGGGTAACTCTACAGCCATTTTGGAAGAGCGTTATCCTACCGCCCACATAGTGGGAATCGACTCATCTCCCGATATGATTAAGAAAGCCAAGTCAACTTTACCTCAACGGGAGTTCTCCGTGCAGGGACTAGAGTCTTATACGCCCTCGGAGTCTGTGGATCTTTTCTTTTCAAATGCCGTTTTTCAATGGCTCAAGGGAGGAGAGCGCTTCGAAATCATTAAGAGACTGATAGGAACTCAGAAATCTGGCGGGAATTTTGCTTTTCAAGTTCCTTACAATCTATCGGAACCGTCTCATGTTCTGATGCGAGAGACTGCAACCAATGGATCTTGGGCAAGCACATTGAGTCACGTTAACCGGGACGAGTTCCAATCACCCCAGGAGATATACGATCAGCTGAAACCGATTTGCTCCGAGGTGCATATTTTCCAGACAAATTATTATCATCCTCTCGCTGATCACAAGTCTGTGATCGAATGGGTCAAAGGAACTGGATTAAGACCTTATTTGGATCCACTGACACCGAAAGAGCAAGAGTCATTCATGGAAAATTACTTGGGATCCCTCGAGAAGGCGTATCCCAAGTCTGTCGACGGGAAGGTCTTGCTTCGCTATCCTCGCTTATTTGTGGTGACCGTTAAAGGATAGGGCACATTTGCAGCGTATTTGATTTCTCAAACCTTGTTAATACTATGCTGATATAGCCACCTTGTATGTCTGTATGTATGTCGCATCGACCTCCCCTTAGATGGTTAGGCTGTTAAAAAAGCCACTGCAACTAATATATGCCCTTGAATAAAAAAAACAATTCTGTAAACCCTTGACACTGCATAATGGACTAATCCCGATGGAGCGATATGTTTGCTTGAATAAACTATATCTTCCGAGATCGTCGGTTCTTCTTCCTACCCTCCGACGCACTCAAGGCCGAGGCAATTCATGAGTGTGATTGAGATTTAGTTTCTATGCAATCTATGCAAAATTCCAACTGAGAATATGACCTCATCTAACCACCTCAAGTTTGGCTGATCTTAGATCCTAGGCATGGTCAAAAAAGTCTGTCGAAACTTGGTTTATGTTTGTTATTAAATCCTTTCACCTTGATACTGCATATTAAAATATCATGACGTTCTTAAGGACAAAGTATATCAAAAAGACGAAAGTGCTGTGGTCAGGTAAGGGTTTAAGTGCATACATATAGCGCTTGGCGGATATCGACACCCTTCATCGATGGCTCTGTTCGGTTTATATGATATACGTGGCTGTAGGGTCCTGCCGAAATAGAAACAAACATTTATAATAGAATCAGAAGGCGTCTATTTTAAGTACCTGCCGTCTTTCCTTGACTGGAGCAGTTACTGTGGTTGTAAGGTCGTCGGACTCTACATTCTATCACAAGCCTAAAAAATGGCCCGGTGGTGAGGATTTCAAGAAAGCAAATGACGTTATATCAAGCATGAACTTTCTAAATCTTGTTCATATGGGTAAGCTTAAATTACGCTTCCGTCATGTGAAGAAGATAGCTGTTGGAACAATATTGTCAACCAGCCCAGAGAGGTGGAGTATCCTGACCTAATCCACATACCGAACAGTACCTTGCTTGGCCTAGACCTGGCCTACCATTCCAAATGGCATACCAAGGGATCAGGAATGCATAGGTGTAAACAAGTGGAACTATAAATAGCTAGG